TTACGGCCCCCTTCTTCCCCATTCGGGGATGGGTTTCTCACTGTTCCCTATCAATAAACACCCCCTCCCCCAGGCGACTGGTAGCCGACCAGGAACCATGAGGGCACCCCCCACCATCCCTTGTGAAAAACATGCAAAACACACTCTGCTTCAAAATTCTGACCATGCGCAGCCAACCCGATGCGGCCTCCCCCCACCATCCCTGCCAAAAAACAATACAGAGTACACTTGGCGGCGGCGGCGGCGGCTGCGGCGGCTGCGGCGGCGGCGGCGGCTGCAGCGGCTGCGGCGGCGGCGGCGGCAGTGGCGGCGGCGGCGGCGGCGGGGGCTGCGGCGGCGGCGGCTGCGGCGGATGGGGCGGCGGCGGTGGCGGCGGCGGCGGTGGCCGGTGGCATGGGGGCGGGGAGGGTCTTGATCATGTTCCCTATTAGTAAACACACCCCCCCCCGACTGAGGGGCCACCAGGGTCCATGCGGACACCACCCCACCAACCCTGTAAATTATCCCGGCAAAGCAACCTAACAGCGATGTGTAGAAGCATATCTGAAAGCATTCCCCTTAAGATTCAGATGAAAATCCAGTTGTAGAATTCTGCTGTTCTCGCAGTCGTAGTCGCATTCGCGATGGCAGTCGCAGCGGCAACGGCAGTCGCAGTCACAGCCTCAGCCTCGGCCTGCCTCAGCATCAGCCTCAGCCTGCCTCAGCCCGCCTCAGCCTCTGCCTCAGCCTTCAGCCTCAGCCTCAGTCTGCCTTCAGCCTCAGCCTCGCTCAGCCTCTGCCTCGTGCCGCAGCCTCAGCTCAGCCTCAGCCTGCCTCAGCATCAGCCTGCTTCAGCCTCAGCCTCAGCCTACCTCAGCCTCAGCCTCAGTCTGCTTCAGCCTCAGCCTCAGTCTGCCTTCAGCCTCGGCCTCAGCCTCAGCCTGCCTCAGCCTCAGCCTGCCTCGGCCGCAGCATCAGCCTGCCTCAGCATTCAAAATGTGGCCCAGGAATGGAGTTTTGGGAACTAAAAGAACACGAAGTGGCCTACAGTTGGCTCCGGGCATTCAAAATCATGCCCAGGAATGGAGTTCTGGGAACTTGAAGACCACGAAGTGGCCTACAGTTGGCTCCACGCATCCAAAATGTGGCCTAGGAATGGAGTTCTGGGAAATCGAAGAGCACGAAGTGGCCTACAGTTGGCTCCGGGCATTCAAAATGTGGCCCGGGAATGGAGTTCTGGGAACTCGAAGAGCACGAAGTGGCCTACAGTGGGCCCCGGGCATTCAGAATGTGGCCCGGGAATGGAGTTCTGGGGACTCGAAGACCACGAAGTGGCCTACAGTTGGCTCCGGGCATTCAAAATATGGCCCGGGAATGGAGTTGTGGGAAGTCGAAGAGCACGAAGTGGCCTACAGTTGGCTCCGGGCATTAGAATGTGGCCCGGGAATTGAGTTCTGGGAGGTCGAAGAGCACGAAGTGTGTGACTGTTGGCTTAAAACGACTTCTGCGGCACCCTGTCCGGCACCCGCCCAGACCCTCCTGTGGAGTCATCTGCTGCTCTCTTTTGACCCCACTAGAAACCTATCAGCACAAGCTGTTAGGTAAAAACACTACAAAACACACTCTGCCTCCAAATTCTGAACATGCGCAGCCAACCCGATGCGGCCCCCCCCACCATCCCTGTCAAAAAATTACCCCGGCAAAGCAACCTAACAACGATATGTAGAAGCATATCTGAAAGCATTCCCCTTCAGATTCAGATGAAAATCCAGTTGTAGAATTTTGCTGTTCTCGCAGTCGTAGTCGCATTCGCGATGACAGTCGCAGCGGCAACGGCAGTCGCAGTCACAGCCTCAGCCTCAGCCTGCCTCAGCCTCAGCCTCAGCCTGCCTGCAGCCTCAGCCTGCCTCAGCCTCAGCCTCAGCCTGCTTCAGCCTCAGCCTCAGTCTGCCGTCGGCCTCGGCCTCAGCCTCAGCCTGCTCAGCCTCAGCCTGCTTCAGCCTCAGCCTCAGCCTCAGCCTGCCTCAGCATCAGCCTGCTCAGCCTCAGCCTGCCTCAGCCTCAGCCTGCCTCAGCCTCAGCCTGCTCCAGCCTCGGCCTCAGCCTCAGCCTGGCCGCTATCAGCCTGTCCTCAGCATTCAAAATGTGGCCCAGGAATGGAGTTCTGGGAAATCGAAGAGCACGAAGTGGCCTACAGTTGGCTCCGGGCATTCAAAATGTGGCCCGGGAATGGAGTTCTGGGAACTCGAAGAGCACGAAGTGGCCTACAGTTGGCTCCGGGCATCCAAAATGTGGCCCGGAATGGAGTTCTGGGAAGTCGAAGAGCACGAAGTGGCCTACAGTTGGCTCCGGGCATTCAGAATGTGGCCCGGGAATGGAGTTCTGGGAGGTCGAAGAGCACGAAGTGTGTGACTGTTGGCTTAAAACGACTTCTGCGGCACCCTGTCCGGCACCCGCCCAGACCCCCTGTGGAGTCATCTGCTGCTCTCTTTTGTGACCACTAGAAACCTATCAGAACAAGCTGTTAGGTTAGGGAAACAATTACGGAGTACACTTGGGGCGGCGGCGGTGGCGAGCGGCTGCGCGGCTTGGTGCGGCGGCGAGGCGGCTGCGGGCGGCGGCGGCTGCGGCGGCGGTTTGGCAGCGGGGAGCGGCGGCGACGGCGGCGGCGGCGGCTGCGGCGGCTGCGGCGGCGGCGGCGGGGGCTGCGGCGGCGGCGGCTGCGGCGGATGGGGCGGCGGCGGTAGCGATGGTGGCAGTGGCTGCAGCGGCGGCGGCGGTTTGGCAGCGGGGGGCGGCGGCGGCGGCGGTGGCGGCGGCGCCAGATTGGCCCCCAGTAGCTGTCCATCCCAAGACGACTGCTGAATATGCTCAGGCTCGGGCCAGACTCGAGTGCTACGTATGTGTTGGGAGGGCGGGTGGGAGTGAGCGAGACGGCTTGCGGGCGGGGAGGGGGTAACTTGACCTCTCCCCCTACCCCCTCCCCTGGACCTGGACGGGGGGGGGCGGTGCGAGGCGTTGGAGTGTCCAAGATGGCCCAAGACGGCTCCAAGAGGGCCCCTGAGAGTCCCAGACAAGTTTCAAGGTGGCTCACGATAGCGCACGGTGCCTCAATATGGCTCCCAAGATGCTCCAAGAGGCCACAACAAAATTCCAAGACGGCTCCAAGAGGCCTCCGAGATCTCAGAGGAAACCCCCAAGAAGCCCAACTACGTCAAAGACCAGAGGAACATCAGTGAGTTGTGCTTTCTCGCATTTTCGCTTCCAATGGCCATCCGAGGCCTCAAGATGGCTCCAAGATGGCCCATGAGAGCCCCAGGAGTGGTCCACGAGAGCCCCAAGACGGCCCCGAGACCGCACAAGAGCGCCCCAGCTTCAAGAGGGGTCCAGGAGGCGATGTTCGGTGCTCCCGAGGGGGGAGGCTGATTGAAGCTCCTCTCTTTTTGACCGATGTCCTCCAAGATGGCCCCGAGGACGCCCCTGAAGCTCCCGAGAGCGCCCCAAGAGGGCCCCAAGAGGCGCCCAGACGGCCCCAAGAGGCCTCCAAGAGGCTCCCAAGAGACCCCATACGAGGCCTCAAGAGGATCCCCGATGCACCCAACTCTCCCTCCTTCTCCTTCTTCTCGTCCTTCTCGTCCTCTTCCGTCCTCGCCCTTTTCCACCTCCTACTCCTCCTCCTTCTTTTCTTCCTCCTCCTCCTCCTCCTCCTCCTCCGACGACGACGACGACGATGATTCCTCCTCCATCCTGCCCCTCTTGGGGGTAAATGACGGGTTTCCCCGCCCTCTGTTCTTCCGCATGATCTCCCATTTCCCTGATCGCCTCAAGTCCCCGGGGCATCGTTTCTGGATGGGCTGGTGGGGATACTTTTTGGTACGCGGGCGCGCGAAACGGATCGGACGCCGGGCTAGCAGGGGCAGGCTATGCCACCGGCTGCGGCAAAAAGAAGCAACGAGCGACGCCAGGTGCGGAGGCGGAACTCAGGCGGCCACAATGGCGCCAAGGAGACGCAGGGCACCAGTCTGGCGAGGATACTTTTTTTGTCGCAGCCGCAGGCGAAGGCGCCGGCGGCGTCACAGGTCGGCTCGGGCTACGAGGCAGGTGGGGATGCGCGAAGCGTCAAGAATCTTCGGAGCATGCGGATGTGTTAAGCAATTGCGGCGAGCAGGATGTCTATCCCATCAGTGCACGCAACTCACGTGCGAACGATAGTACGAGTCTTACTAAATACGATCAGAACCGCGAACGGCCCTCGCCCCACCCACGAACACACCTACGGTCCGTGGAACATTTCTTTTGCAATATATTCACCGAGCTGGACAATCAGGTCAATCTTGTTGGTCGTGCTGTTTTTTTGTTCATCGCATGTTGACCAACGAGGGTCGCCAACGGTGGGCCGAACGGGCAGGGATGCAAGGGCAGCCTTGGAAATTTGCTCATCCTTGCTATGCGACTTGGCTGTATCAATTGTTGGGATGCACTTCGCCGTCTTGGCGTGATGAGCGTGGACACTTGTTGTCCACCCACCGTCCCGCTCCTCCCCCCTTGCGCTCCCCACCCCCTCTCTACCTCTGCCTCCCCTCCCCCTTCCTCCCCCTCCTTCTCCTGCCCTCCTCCCTACTCCCTCCGCTCCTCCTCCTCTGCCTCCCCGCCTCCCTCTCCCCCTCCTCCCTCTCCCCTTCTCCCTCTCCCCCTCCTCCTCTGCCTCTCCCCCTCCTCCTGCCCTCCTCCCCATCCCCCTCCCCCTCCTCGAGCTCCGCTCCTGCGCCTGGGCCCTGCACCCTCCCCTCCCACCCAGATGTCCGACGCCGCGCTTTTGTTCGCAGCGTGGCTCCCCGCAGGTCTGGACCCCCCTCCTGGGGACCAGCTCTTCTCATCCCGAATCGCTCTTCGACGGCTCCGGGGCGGCCCAGCCAGGGCCCCCATGAGGCCGAAGACGGCCAGAAGCCTTCCGTCGTGAACCTCGCGACGCGAGGATGTCAGGGTCGTGCCCCTCCCCCCCGCCCCTCGCACCCTGCCGCGGGAGCCTGGCCGGCGGCGGCGGCGGCCGACGAATCCTTGGCCTCCACCTGCTTCACCTTCGGTCGCGGAGGTCCCCCGGCCGGCTGCGGAGCCTCGTCTTCCTCCTCCTCCTCCTCCTCCTACACCTCCTCCTCCTCCTCCTCCTCCTCCTCCTACACCTCCTCCTCCTCCTCCTCCTCCTCCTACACCTCCTCCTCCTCCTCCTCCTCCTCCTCCTACTCCCTACTCCATCTCTGTTCCTTGTAAATGACACCTCCCTGTCGAACCCCAGACGTGTCCGTAGGCTGGGCTGGGCGTTTCGCCTGAGACATTATGATTCTCACCATTTCTGATCCTGAAGCTTGAAGAAAAGCACTTGCTTCAATGATTGAGGGTGAGCCGTTTGCGAAACGGAGCTCTCGCCCTAGCGCCGCGCATATTCGTCTTGAAAATTCGCGTTCTTGTTCAAACAACTTGAAGCCGTTTCATTCTCCAAATGTGGTTCTCCCCCTGCGTCGCGCACCTTCTTCTTAACCATTTGCAGCGGTTTCAAAGATCGGTAGGGATGACATCCCATGATGTGGTCTGGCACGATTCAGGATTGTCAGGGCGCAACAGTCATGTGGATTCGCAGTGTTGAAATATGTTCTTGCACAGTTCAGGGTTGTCAGGGCGCAATGGCCGCGTTTATTCGCGGCGTTGAAATCCCAGATATTGTGTTTTGGGACGATCTGGGACTCCCCAGTAATTATACATTAAGGAGTGTCCGAAACACCTCCCTGTTTGGAACACGGGAGAATCTCATCCGTTCTTTTTGGAAGTATTCGGACGGTTATCTTTTAGTGGGCCACTTCCTGTACCAACAATACTTGTTGCAGGGGCCTATGAAACTGGAACGTGGAGGGAGGTATATTATAACATCGTTGACGCGGCTTGGGTTTACAGTGGTCGTTCTCATCAACTCCTCCTCCTCCTCTTCCCTCCCTCCCTCCCTCACTCTCTCTTACCTTCTCCCTCCTCCCTCCTCCCTCCTTCCTCCCTCCTCCCTCCTCTCACCTCCCTCCTCCCTTTTCCTTCCCCCCCTCCCTCTACTGTCCTCCTCCTTCGCCCTCCTCCTCCTCCTCCTCTTCCTCCTCCTCTTCCTTTCTTCTCCCTGCTTCCTCCCTCCCCTCTCTACCAATCGCGGGGATGGCGCCCCCACTGGCTCGGGGCCGCCAAGAGGGGGACCGTCTACGGTCCAGTCCTCCTTCCCCCCCTCCCTCCACCTCTCCTCCGTCCTCCTCCTCCTCCCTCCTCCACTCCATTTCTTTACATCCAACTCTTCCCTGTCGCGCCCTCAGACGTCGATGGGGGCCCCTGGAGGCGTCCACAGCAACCCCAAACTCGCAATCAAAATCGAATCCCCCTCACCTCCTCTCCCCAAGCATCCTCCGCTTCGATTTGTTCGGTGCGTGTGCCCCTGCACCTCTCGACTCCTTCCCCGTGGCCGGTTTGCCGTCCCGAGTCGTTCCGTTGACGCCCCTGGGGCTCGACGCCGGAGTCCAGAGGCCAAGCACTGTGGCACACCGTCGGCCTTGAACTGATCGAGGCGCTGGACGCCGTGGCCTGCTCCTCCTCCGACGGCTTGTGCCAGCAGTCGCAGGAGGGTCAGCCCTGCTCCCGCCCGTCAGCACCGTTTCACCAGTTCCCGTCCCCATCCCCAGACCGTTGACCTCGCCATCGCTCGGACGTCCATTCCTGTGTTTTTTCGGTTTCGTGCGTGGTTTTTTCGCCAAGTGATCAAGGATGCTCCTCGATGGCCCTCGCCGAAGGAAACATGCACACGTCCGAGCGATGCCAAGTGACCGATTTACCTCCCCAGATGGGATATGTGCTGCTCCCTCCGGGCTTCGCGGGGGGGAGGGGGGGGGGAAGCTGATGGGACCGAGATGCCATGACACAGTGCGGACAGGGATCGCTTCAACTGGAGGACTCCATGTTCATTTTAACTTTCGGAGCTCCGTGCAGATTTCTTGGATCGGGGCTGGGCCCACCTCCCTGGCGAGCGGAGCGCGCCAGGGAAGTGCCGGAAGCGCCGCCAGTGGGGCTCCAGCGCAGATGCGAGAACTCCGCACGCCGCTCCGAAAATTGACGTGTTTGCGCGAGTTGTCCTTCGATGATCTGTGCCTCCACCCTCGAGGGCGGTGCCCAGCCCGCCTGCGAGACGCCCTTCAGCGACTCCATGCGGAAGCCACTCGCGCCGCCGCGCGCCGTGCCGTCGTTCAGCTTGTTGCCTCCACAGGCGGCGGCGGGCTGGTGGAGGAAGCGTTCGAGGATCGACGGCATGTTCGTGTCGTGGACACCCCAGCGTCGGTGTCTGACGCCGCTCGGATCTCTCAACCTTGGGCGATCGTCCGCTTTTCGATCACCATGTCTATTCTGGACGGTTCTTGGCCAGTGGCGGCATTCAACCTTGAACGCCCGCGTCGGATTGCTGCCGCGTCGACACGACACGTATTTGGGCGGCGCTCTTTTAAGAGATAGCTCCTGGGAGGTCTTCGTGGGAACGATGACGGGCTCATGAGGCCAGATTCGTGAACCATTGAGCCATATAATATCAGCGGGATCAGGCCAGATTACGGTCAGGAGCTTTTGCTTGGCGTGTTGCGGCGGCGGCCTCGGCGACACGCTATGCCTTGCGAGCGACTAGCGTGTCGCTCAGCTCAGCAGGGCGGGAGGCTTGAAGAAATGTTGGACGGTGGTGCTTGGAAACGGGGACGTGGGTAGCGTGTCGCGTCGAAGCGTGGTGGGCCAGAACCGGCGACGCGACACGCTGATTTTCGACAACGGGTGTACCATCGCCCATGCTGAATGTAACCTCCCAAGGGTTGCAACCGAGCCTATTGGGGTTTTGGAACCCCAGAGCCATACATCTGACGTCGCGATGTTTCGCAACCTGGCTCCCCAGAGGTCTGGGCCCCTTCCCTGAAACCAACTCTTCATACCGAGTCCTTCTTCGACGGGCTCGAGGCCAAATGAGGGCCCCCAGAAGCTGAAAGCAGCCCGGATCCTTTCGTCGCGCGTGTTTTCTCCACGACGCGATCGGACCAGCCCTAAACGTGCTCGAAACTGCCGCCACTGGAAGCAACAGGCGCCCGGGCCTCGCCGCGCCGCCCCCGCGCCGCCGGCGCTGGCTTCGACGGGCCGGCGCCGCAGGGCTGGCCTCCGCGCGGACCGCCTCGATGGCGAGCGCCCTGGCCGAGTCTCGCGAGGGTGAGGTATCGGGCAGAAAATCTACGTAACTATCGGAGCCCATGGGGCCCGGGGCGACGAAACGGCTCGTGGCGAGGAGCAGGTTTCCCAGGGAGCGCTGAAGGGGCCCCTGCCGTGGGCCTGGAGCACATGGGCCTTGCATCTTGGTCTAAACCTCTCGCCCATGTTCTCCCTTTTCCACCTCCCCCTCCACCTGCAATGCCATCGTCGACGGTGGACGCATATGTTTCGCATCGCTGGTGCAGGCACGGCACCGACGCTGTCGGCGAACGCTTCGAAACGGCATGCCGCCAATTCCGTGTGTTCCGCGAGCTGACCAGCGAAGCCTGGCCTAGATGGGGCGGCGCGCCGCAGAGTGGTGGCGCGCTTGCGGCGCGCTTGTCGTCGTGTTGTCCGTTGGCCCACCCACGAGGGAGGGGACACTACAACAACCGCATATGGAGATGCGCTCCACTCACCCTCCGAGAGACCCTATCAGGCCGCGCAGAGGGGCAATGAGATCCGTCACGAAACCATTTGCAGCGTTGGCGGGCTGCAGATCCACAGGGATAACCTTCGCCCAGACGCGCATCCCTGAATCCGCGTGCCGCCCCTTCCTCCTGCATCCTCCCTCGACCTTCCCCTTTCCCTCCCTCCCTCCGTCCCCTCTCCATCCCTCCCCTCTCCCTCCTCCCTTCGCCCCTTCCTCCACCTCCGCCTTCTTCTTCCCCCCCTGCCTCCCCTCTCAACCTCCCCCTCCCTCTCCTCCCACCCTCCCCTCCCCCCGTTCCCTTCCCTCTCTCCTCTCCCCCAACCCATTCCCCTCCCCCCTCCCCTCCTCTCCCCTTCCCCTTCCATCCCCCCTCCCCCCTCCCTCCCCTTTCCCCCCCTCACCCCTGCACGTTGGACTAATCCCAACCATTTTGGGACTAACCCTAACAAACTGGTACTTTTTCCAACCAGCACGAAACACGAACTGGTACTAATTCTAACCGGGCAATGTCAGTACATCCCAACACCAAGTGTCACTTCTTACGCCTGCACATTCATCCCAACAGCTAGCATGACTGCCCGTGTTGGACGTTGTACCAAAACTGCTTGTAACGACGTGGATGTCAAACTATAGATGTGGATGCCGGTGTTGATGAATCAGTGCTATACCTTCTAAACCCTCATGGCTTAAGGGCTTAATGGTTTAAGGTGCAAGGGCTTCAAGGTTTACGAACTTGAAGGATTAAGGGCTTAAGGGCATGAGGGTTGCCAGGAGATTTACGTTAGATTTGACTTTAAGGGTCTAAGGGCTTCAGGGTTCAAAATCTTAAGGGCCTCAAGGTTTTAGGATGTAACGGTTTAAGGGTTGAGTGTAAGGGTTTAATGGTTTAAGAACTTCATGGTTGATGGGTTCCGGGGTTGAATAATTTAACGGTTTAAAGGGATTGCACTGTAAGGGTTTGCGGGCTCTCGGGTTTAGTGGCTTAACGAAGGAATGCGACAGCTTTCACGTTTGAAGATTTAAGTGGTACCGGTTTGAGTGTGTAAAGCATTACGGGCGTACGGGCTTAAGAGTTACATGATAATCGCTTCCTGTTGAAAGGGTTTAAAGACTTAAGGGCTTAAGGGTTTAAAGGCTTTTGGGGTTAAGGGTTGAAGGGTTTTATGAGGTTGCGGGGTTAAGGGTTTAAGGGCTTCAGGGTGTAAAGTGTTAAAGGCTTCACAGTTTACGCATCCAAGGCTTAAAGGCTTGAAATTGCCTCGGGACTTTGCGGGAAGGGTTTACGGGCTTGAGGGCTTAAGGGCTTACGGGGTGAGGGTTGACATGTTCGAGCGATAAAGGCTTATGTATTTCAGGAGTAAAAAGCTTACGGGCTTAAGGGTTTAACAGCTTCACGAGTTACGAAATTAAGGGTTTAAGGGCTCAAAGGCTTGAGGCGTGCCTGGGGTATATAACTCAAGGGTTAATAGCCACAAGGGTTCAAGGGTTTAAGGTATTAAGTGTCTTAGGGCTTAAGGGTGTGAAGGTTGAAAGGGTTAAGAGCTTAAGTGATCAATGGTTGAAGGGTTTAATGGTTCAAGCGCTTCGATGGTTAAGGTTTTAACGGTTTCAGGGCTTAAGGGTTTGATGGTTGCCTGGGGGGGGGTCACCTGAAGGGATTAATGGTTTATAGCTTAACGGCTTAAGGGTTCAAGGGCTTAAGTGCGTTAAGGTTCAAGGGATACGAGTTTAAGCGTTCGGGGGCTTTAGGGCTTAATGGTTTAACGGATTGGTTGCATAAGCGTTTGAAGACTTAACAGTTCAAGGGCTAAAGGGCTTAAGGGTTTAAGCTCGTAAGTGGTTAAGGGTTTCAGGGCTCAAGGGCTTAATGGTTTCGGCGACGGCGCCGCCTGCCAAGGTCCTCGACGACCACCCGCGGATGTGGGAGCCACGGGACACGACCGGAGGAGGGCGAGAAGGAGGAGGGCTCGAGTCAAGGTCTTGAGCAAGAGACGGCCTCGAGCCAACAGATGGTCCATTCACAGTGGATACGGAGAGAGAGAGAGAGGGAGAGAGCCGGCTGGGAGAAGTGGCGGGGAGACGTGCGAGCTGGTGCGGTGGGAGGGGGCGTCCAGCACGGAGGACAAAGCCCGGGCTTGAGCCCAAACTCGTGGCGGACGCCGAACAGCAACAACAGGACGGGGCCTGAGCCGAAACGGACGGCCACGGTGGGGGGGGGGGGGTAGGGGGGGTGGAGGAGCAGGGCGGAAGGGGTGGCGGCGCCGGCGAAAAGGCTGAGGGAAAGAGCTGGCGAGCGAGGAGGGGGGGGGGGAGGAGAGGGAGGAGGAGGGGGAGGAGGAGGAGGCGAGGGAGGAGGAGGAAGAGGAGGAGAGGGCGGAGGCGGAGGGGGGAGGGGAGGAGGAGGAGGAGGAGGAAGATGACGCCCGTAGGACGCCAATGAGGCTTCTCATGTAGGTCGTCTGGAGTTCATGCTGAGCTGGTTGGAACTTGTATCAGAGTGGCTGGATGTAATACTGAAGTGGTTGGCATGTGCTCTCGTTGCGTTTCCCGTCGCCCCTTCCCTTCCCCCCAGCACGAGGCGCTGAGCACGCCAGCGGCCTATCTCTTCCCCCCCCCCCCTCCCCTCCCCCTCCCCTCCCCCCCTCCCCCTTCCCCCCCTCCCCCCTCCCCCCCCCCTCCCCCCCTCCCCCCCCCCCTCCCCCTTCCCCCTATTTCCCCCCCCCCCCCCCCCCCCCCCTCCCCCCCCTCCCCCTCCCCGTCCCCCCTTCCCGTCCCCCCGCGCAAGGCGCTGAGCGAGTCGGCGGCCTATCTTCAGGACGAGCCTGAGGATCTCCGGGAAGCGCTTGCTGTCTCGCACCTGCCGCATCGCGTCCGCCACCGTGTCCAGCTGCCTGCAAAGACGACGGCGACGGCGGCGGCGACGATGGCGACGGTGGCGACGGCGATGACAGCAACGTCAACGTCGACGTCGACGAGGGACGATGGACGACTGACGGACGACGGAAGACAGACGACGGACGGGAGAACGGACGACGGACGACGACGACGGCGGCGGGGGCGGAGGCGGCGGCGACGATGATGTCGTCGGACGACGGTCGACGACGAGCACGACGACAGCGGCGACGACGCCGGTCACGGCGACGGCGGCGACCACGACCACGTCGACGACGACGGCCACGACGACGACGACAACGACATCGACGACGACGACGACGGACGACGACGGCGATGACGCCGCCACTGCCGTCGGTGTTCGTGTAGTTTTGGGCCGTTTTTCATAATGTTTTGGGTTATCCCGGTCGTGTCCGGAAGTCTTCGGAGATTGGCGAACATTTCTCGGATTAATTCGATGGCCATCGACCGTTTCCAGGCACCTCCAAGCGCCCCAAGCGGTGCTGGAGCTTTCAGGTGGGGCGCCCCCGTGGCAAAGCAGGAAAAAGTCCTGTGAGCTTGGTGGAGGGTGCTGGAGAGAGTGAGAGGTGAGAAGGGGAGGAGGGCGTGAGGGAGGACGAGGAGGTAAATGAGAAGGCGGAGGAGGAGGAGGAGGAACATGGAAAAGAGGCAGATAAGAAGGAAGAGGAGGAGGAGGAGGACGACCGTGAAGATGAAAATGCTAGTGGTCTGCGGCGAGAGGCAGTCCTGCGTGAGTGCAGCAGGGGGCTGGGCAGTGCAAAGGCACGTGCCCTCCCGCTGGCCGCCGCTCCTTGCAATCGTTGCCTGCCAGCCGCGCGCATCGGGGCCTGGCGCGATTCGGCCTGCATGGGGGCATCCTGCGCCTTCTTTGCCAGGGCAGACGCAATCAACCAACTCGGGTGCACCGAACACAGAAGGAAGACGAGGATGATGATGATGATGATGATGATGATGATGATGATGATGATGATGATGATGATGACGATGATGATGATGATGATGATGATGATGATGATGATGATGATGATGATGATGATGATGCTGGTGATGCTGATGATGCTGATGATGACGATGATGGTGACGATGGCGATGCTGACTTTGATGATGCTGCTGCTGCTGATGATGATGATGATGATGATGATGATGATGATGCTGATGCTGATGATGATGAAGCTGATGATTTGATGATTCTGATGATGCTGAGACGGAGGACGAGGAGGAGGAGGAAGAGGAGGGGGAGGAGGAGGAGGAGGAGGAGGAGGAGGAGGAGGAGGAGGAGGAATAGAAGGAGGAACAAGAGGAGGAGGAGGAGGAGGAGGAGGAGGAGGAGAAGAGGAGGAGGAGGGGGAGGAGGAGGAGGAGGAGGAGGAGGAGGAGGAGGAAGACGAGGAGGAGGAGGAGGAGGAAAGGGAGGAGGACTAGGAGGAGGTGAAGGAGAAGAAGAAGAAGAATAAGGACGAAAAGGAAAAGAAATCATAGGAGACGGAATAGGATGACGGGGAAGAGGGGGAGGAGGAGGAGGAGCAGGATGATGAGGCGGGGGAACAGGAGGAGGAGGAGGAGGAGGAGGAGGAGGAGGAGGAGGAGGAGGAGAATGATAAGGATAAGGAGGAGGAGGAGGAGGAGGAGGAGGGAGAGGGAGGAGGAGGGCGAGAAAGATGAGCAGGAATATGATGATGATGATGAGAAGGAGGAGGAGGAGGAGGAGGAGGAGGAGGAGGAAGAGGGGGGCGAGGACGTTGAGGAGGAATCTGATGATGATGAGGAGGAGGAGGAGCAGGAGGAGGAGGAGGAGAAGGAGGAGGAGGAGGAGGAGGAGCCCCTACCTCCAAGTCGAGCGTGGAGCCGACTGTGCTCTGTACAACAGGAGCCGGCCCATCGCTGACTGATCTCTTCCTTTTCTGCCTCCCCTTCTCTCGTCCCTCTTTTTGGCTTCTGGGATAGGCAACGAATCTTTCATGCCTTCAGTGTGCGTGCGTGCGTGCGTGCGAGGAGGAGGAGGAGGAGGAGGAGGAGGAGGGGGAGGGGGATGAGGAGGAGGAGACGGGAGGAGGAAGAGGAGGAGGAGAAGGAGGAGGAGGAGGAGGCGAAGGAGGAGGAGGAGGAGGAGAAGGAGGAGGAGGGCGAGGAGGAGGGGAGGAGGAGGGGGAGGGGGAGAAGGAGAAGGAGGAGGAGGAGAAGAAGGAAGAGAGGAAGAGGAGGAGGAACAGGAGGAGGGAGGAGGAGGAGGAGGAGGAGGAGGAGGAGGAGGAGAGAGGAGGAGGAGGAGGAGGAGGAGGAGGAGGAGGAGGAGGAGGACGAAGGTGAGGATGAGGACGAGGAGGAGGAGGAGGACGAGGAAGGAGGGAGGAGGAAGCGGAAGAGGAAGAGGACAAGCCAAACATCCAACGTCGCGTTTTGTTTACAACGTGTCTCCCCAAAGGTCTCGACCCCTTCCCCGAGACTGGCTTTCCATCCCGGGCCGTTTTTCCTACAACCCTGGGCCCCCGACAGGCCGAACACTGCAAACAGCTCCCCGTCATGTTTTTTCGCGCATCGCCGATGCCGCTACTCCCCAAATCTCTCCAGGGGCGCGTTCTGACAAGAATTTTGAAGGGGATCAAACCGTGGCCAAGAAGGCTTCCCAATAGGTCCAAGACAGCCAGAACCACAGAAGGATAGCGGTGTCGGTACCTCTTGTGCCTCCAGGGCCAGGGCCTCTTCTGGGGAGGGGGGAACAAGGAGGGGGAAGGAGGAGGAGGAGGCGGAGGAGGAGGAGGAGGAGGGGGAGGAAGAGCAGGAGGAGGAGGATAAGGAGGAGGAGGAGGAGGATGAGGAGGAGAAGGCGGAAGAGGAAGTAGGAAGGAGGAAGGAGGAAGAAGGAAGGAGGGAGGAGGACGGAGGAAGGAGAAGGGAGGAAGGGGGAAGGAAGAAAGAGGAAGAAGGATGAAGGATGAAGGAGGACGAGGAGGAAGAGGAGGAGGAGAAGAAAGGAGAACATGGACAGTAGTAACCGCACGAGGAGCAGAACGGTAGCGAAGAGGAGGAGGAGATAGAGGAGGAGGAGGAAGAAGAGGAGGAGGAGGAGGAGGAGGAGGAGGAGGAGGAGGAGGAGGAGGAGGACGGCGACGCGCGGCAGCTGCGGCGGAGGAGGGCGGCCCCCGCCTGCGGATGGCCCCCGCCCTGCCGTCGAAGCTCGCGCGGAACTGGTGGAGCAGCAGGCGGTCGTGGAGGAGCGGTATGTTGTGCACCGCCATGAGGAACTTGGACGCGTCGTCCAGCTGGGGACGGGGACTTAGTGGGCCCTGGAAACGACAGGGCCGTTTTTTATTACCGGTCCCGTTTTTTGTAGTTTTTGTTGCCGGTTCCGACGCCGTCGCCGTTCTTTTACGGGTTCCCGCTCCGGTTCCAATCCTGGAGCCGTTTTTTGTTGCCGTTTCCGGTCGCCGTTTTTGTTGCCGTTTCCATTTTCAAGGGGCACTTTTTCGAAAACAGTGAAAAAACGGCCTTGCCGTTTATAGGAGGGGGATGTGGCGTCCCAGAGGGGCGCGTCCAAGAGGAGGGTTCGCGATGTGCGCGGCCCCGGGGGGGGGTGGGGCAGGGTACATCTTGAAACGAGGAGAGGGGAATTGAATTTCGAGGAGGTATCATGGACCCCACCATGAAATCCCTCCCCATATAGAGTCACCGTTCCCGGGGAACGGCTTCTCGTCCCGAGTCGCTCTTTGACGGTCTCCCAGATATCGAAAACAGCGAAAATCCTCCTGTCGTGTGAGGGGGTCTGGTCGACCTCCCCCCGAGAGTCCCTCTTCCCCCGCGTGGCCGCCCCCGAGAAGGGAGCCAAGGACGGACCCATACCCCCTCGCTCGCCGCGATGGGTCACGACGGAAACTTTTACGGGCGTTCCCTTTGGCCTCCCCTGGGGCCCTCGCTGGCCCCCGGGACCTTCCAAGAGCAGCTCGGGGCCTCGAGCGGGAACGGGTTGCACGCGGCGGTTCCGGAAGAGAGCGCCCCCGTGCAGGACGTGTGGGAGATGGCCCGCAGCACCGCCCGCGACAAGTTGGTGTGCACGCCTCCTCTTGAGAGGGGCGCGCGGCAAGCGAGGCCCGAAGAAAGCCCCAAGAGGCCCCCGAGACGCCCCAAGAGGCCCCAAAAGGGCTCCCAAGAGGCCTCCACACGGCCCCCAAGAGGTCCCCGAGAGCCCCCTCGCGAGTCGGTCCCAGGGAAGGGGCCTTGATTTCTGGGGGGGCACGTTTCGTAACAAATCACGGTGTCGGGTGCCTGGAGAAAGCGGGAGGGGACACTTTTTCGGCCATTCCCATAGTCGGACTGATCGAAAAGGGACGTCTCGTCGTCGTCGTCGCCGAGACGGGGGAAGGAAAGAGAGGGGGTGCAGAGCAGCAGGAAAGCACGAGGCAGGAGAGGGCACAGGATGGGGAGGATGAGGACGAGGACGAGGACGAGGAGGAGGAGGAGGAGGAGGATTTCCTGATGTAAGACAGCGGGATGAAAAGGAAGGCGCGGCCGCGATGACGTCGAAAGAGCACGCCGAATGCGATCCTGCTGTTGCCTTGTCCGGTTCTAGCCAGAAGTCCGCATCGTTCAAAGCAGCGTTTCAGAATTGCTTCGAGGCGTTTCACTTGTTTGGGCTTTTGCATGGCCCGATCCCTCTTCTTTCTGGCGGAGCAAGAACAAGTCTGCCCCCACACCTCTGCCAAAAGCGGGTTTGGGCTAGAACTTCAAAATAATCCACCCGCGTCGACGATGACGCTCCAGGAGCTAGATATCCGACGTCGTGTACTTTTGTTCCAGGATGTGGCACCCTGCATGTCTGGAACATTGGACTGGCTTCTTCACTCCCCACCCTGAGCAATCTCTTGACTGTCGCGGGGCCCGCCAAGGTCCCCCCAGAGGCCGAAAATAGCCAACCAAGGCGCAACTCGGACTGTGACACATCGGGGATCTCGAACACCTCTGGCGGTTCTGGAGGATGCCTCGGGCGCCGCGGCCGTTCCGGAGCGCCGCCGGCCGGGGACGCTCTGAGAGCGTCCCAGAACGCTCTGGAACGACTGACCCCAGTCCTGGCCCCGCCCCACGCCCCCCCTCCCGACAGCGGCTGCTGTTGGACACGGGCTGTTCTGCCTCAGAAGGACAGCGTCCGCGGCGACGCCGACAGCGAGTCCTGCCCATTGTGGGCAAGAAATGCTGTTCGTTCTCGACGAAATTTTCCCGCACCCTCAGATCAGAAGTTGCCACAACTTACAGCAATCTCGCAATTCGCCACAGGAGCCCTGGACCATATCTTTCTGCGTCGCTGTTCGAGCCGGGCCGATCTGTGAGGGTCCGGGCGGGGGGAACCGCGCGAAAACGCCCGTTGTGAGCAAAACGTGCGACGCCAGGACCTCAGGGTACCCACGCACGCCCCCCCCACCCACTGGGCGGCGCAGCAGCCTGTCGGCGGCGAACCCAAGGGGGAAGTGAGAAAGGGCGGGCCTTCTCAGAAGGCTCGGAGGTCTGGCCTTCGGGGGGAATGTTCTAAGCCTTCCCCGACGACAAAGAAAACCTCTCAGAAGGCCGGAAGCCTTCTGAGAAGTCCTGCCGCCTTCTGAGAAGGCCTTTTCTTTCTCACTCCCCCCCCGCAGCGCAGCAGTCTGGGCGGGACAAGCGGCCGCTTGCCTGCGCGATCGGCTGCCCGGACTCGCGGTACTGTTTCGCGACCTGCGGGGCGCGGCTGCGGCGGCGGTCGCGCGGCGGCGGGGGGCGGCCGGGGGGGGAGGGCGAGGGAGGAGCAACGAGGAGGAAAAAGAGGAGGAAGAGGAGGAGGAGAAGGATGAGGACGAGGAGGAAGAGGACGAGGAGGAGAAGGAATAGGAGGAGGAGGCGGATGAGGAGAACAAGGAGCAACGTATGATGATGATAATGATGACGATTCGGCGGAGGGGAGGGAGGAGGAGGAGGAGGAGGAGGAGGAGGAGGAGGAGGAGGAGGAGGAGGAGGGGGATGTTGCACCACATTCATTGCTTCACATAGATTGTAATCGAAACATCTCACCACATGGAGTACATACTGAAGATTGGCACACCGAACATTGCGCAACGTAGCTTGTACCACGTATTCTGCATCACATATATTGCCTCACATAGATTTCACGTCAAAAACGCAGGTTGCACAACACATATTGCATCAAGTTGATTGCATAACGTAGGATGCGCAACATATATTGCGCAACCGGGATGGGTAGAACACACAATCTTTGGGGTCCACGCTGGCTGACATACCTCTACGTATCTCGAAAGGTTCCGAAGAACGGGGAAAAAGGAATCCATAAACGCGGGCACAGGAATAACATCGTTTAACTTTCTACGGGGAACATTTACATAGGCGAGCAGTGGCAGACATAATGCTTCAGACAATCGCGCTCCCCAGGGCATCCCTAGACACAGCCCGTGTAGGAAGAGGAGGATGATGATGATGATGAGGAGGAGGAGGAGGAGCAACACAGGAGGAACAGGAGGAGGGGGAGGACAGGACACAGGACATCCGCAGAAAGGGGGGTCAACGCCAACACGCCTAGACTGGTGCCCTGCGCGCGTCTGCAAGATCCCCCGCGATTTGGTTGCGCAACAGCCCTGGCTTGTCACAAGGGCCGGCAGGGGGCATATCCCGCAGCTTCAGGGAGTGAACTCCGAGGTGGCCCCGCAAGAAGAGGCTCGCCACCTTGTGAGTGCGAGTCCCTGCGGGTCAGTGCGGGGGGAGCAGCTGCTCGAGAAGGAGGGGGGTAGGGGGCCGACGTAGTCATGGTCCTCGCTCGCTCGCTCACCCAATTCAGGGCCGATCGGTCCGAAGCCCGCAGTTGCAAAAGGGAAAGCAGGGCCCTGGCGTGCCTTCCGTGCGCTGTCCTAGTCCTGGCGCTCGCCCTCCTCCTCCTCCTCCTCGTCCTCCTCCTCCGCCTCTCTTTGCAAGCACAGAACACGAGTGCTTCTCCCCTCTCTCCCCTGACACTGCCCGCGTGTGCTTGCGCCTCTTTCGCGCACTGTTTTTTTTCGTACACGAGATTTCTAACATTTACCTTATACGTTTCGGCTAGGTCGGTATGTGCTATCCTTGACCAAATTTCACATTTCAGGGTCGGTGCCTTGCTCTCGTCGTTCTGAATGGTGCTTTCACCCCAGCGCAAGCTACATGTCTGGATCCGGCTCAATGCTTGTCGTTGCCGCCCCCCCTGTTTTCTCCTCCCCCACCCTCCGCTGATCCCCCTGCGAAATCAGATCGGCTCGGTCACGACAAGATGCACAGCAACGCTACGCAAGCATCGGGCCGCGTCAGATCGTCGGAATATCGAGCTCGAATCGGACCGAACTAGCCGAAATCGACATCGATCTGGATGGACGAGATTGAAATTGGAACCGCGGACTTGGCGCGATCGCACCCAGCTTGACCTCCCCCTCCTCTCCCTCCCCTCTTCCCCGCGGAGGGTTGAGACGCTCGCCCTCCTCGCCAGAGGGCCCAGGAGGAGCACAAGCAGGAGCTTCAGAGTGAAGGGGAAGAGGAGGGGGATGATGAGTGTAGTGCATTGCGGATGCCCTTGAGGGTAGGCATGGCCATGTCGGGCCAGTCGGATTTTCACGGGCTCTCCAGTCCTGGAAGCCGTGCTCGTGAAGGTCGGGAGGACAAACCTTCTGGTCCCAGAGCTTGTTTCTGGGACCCCTGCTGGCACAACTTATGTTGTTCCCGTTCTACTTAAGGGCCACATCCCATAAATAATTTAGAGCACCCAGAAAAGTATCAAAAGAGTGTCGAAACAGTGTCGAAACAGTGTCGGGCGAGTGTCTCCCAGGGCCCGACACGTCAAAACCCTTAAATTTCGATACTTTTGTGGGGCGCTCGGAATTCTTCCTGGTTTTCAAAGCCAAAGTAGGTTGGAGCATCAGAAGGCACAGCAGGAGGAGGCGGAAGCAGAGGAAGGGCATGGCCGGGGGATAGGGATTGGCGGCGCACGCATGGGGGGTACGGGGAGTGGTGACGGCTCCTTGGAAGGAGGCTGCTTCTAAGAAGCAGTCCCCCCCTCTCCCTACCCCCTTTTGCGCGCCGCCGAGAAGGAGCCGTCGAACAGAAACAAAACCTCCCTTCCCCGCGACGGGAGGCCAGAGAGGGATCGTGCAGACCTTGGCCGAGGCAGCGCTGCGAGCCCGTCCTCTGCGCACGAGAGGGCTCAGGTGCACGCAGGGGCCAAAGAGCGGTCGGGCAGGATGGCACCACGCTGACTACAGCAGACGTGTGCGATAAGAGATCTTGCTAGCTGCTTGTGTACACCGCAGCGCCTGTCTAGACAACATGGCCTGTGTACACCACAATGCGGGTGTACACGACAGCAGCCGTGTGCACCACAGCGCCTGTGTACACTGCGGTGATTGTACGCACCAAAGGAGCGATGTGCACCACAACGCATGGCGAACATTTGCGTCACTGCGCTTCCGCGCACCTCCAAGGTCCCGCCGGAGCCCAAATCTGGAAAAATCCCCAGGGGCCCGAACGTATCAGATTCAAGATGTAAGTTATTTTCGTGACTATTTATTTTTCTGGCCCAGGGTGCGGTTCCCCCGTTTTTGGCCGACCATGTCTGTGGACACCACGGTGCCTGTCTGGCGTGCGCCACGACGCCTTTGTACATCACAAGTGCTTGTGTACACCGCAGCGCCTGTCTACACAACCATGCCTGTGTACGCCACAGTGCCTGTGTACACCACACACTGCTTGTGTACACTACGACGCCTATGTGCACCACGGTTGCTGCTGCAGCACCACACTCGTGCACCACAGCTCTGGTGCACCAAAGTGCTTGTGTACACCACAGAACTGCGTACACTTCCAGGACCCCCGGCAGGACCGAACTCTCGAAAATCGTGGGGGATCCGTACGTATCAAATCCAATCTGCAACTTTGTGATTATGGGCTTCTCTTGCGCAGGGAACGGTCCCGTCGCTTAGGCCCACAACGCCCGTGTACACCATAGCGTGCTCCGCGCGACCTGCGTGCACTTATGCTTACGTGCGCCACAACGCCTGCGTACACAACACATCCTGCTGCAAAAGCAGGAAAGGCGCGCACCAAATCGCCTCGCTTCCTGCGCACAACGCAATGCCCGTGTAAGCGCTGCCCAAGTGCACCTCCAGATGCCTATGGACGACGACTGTCGTCGTCTGTCGTCGTCGTCGTCGTCGTCGTCGTCGCTCGTCGTCGTCTGTCGTCGTCTGTCGTCGTCGTCTTCTCCCAGTACCACTCCAAGCCCTAACGTTTCGCCAACGTGCATCCAAACACCAGCATGCTGTGGCGAACACCACCGTGCCTTTGAACACAACGCTCCGTGCGCGCTCCCTGCGTCCACTCCCCCTGGACCTGCACAACTGGCTAGGTTAGGTTATCCTGGGGGGGGGCGAGCCAAGTAACACGGGTTATCGCCGGTTCCTAAAACAAAGTCTCTACGGGTGTCCGATGGTTGCGTGAATCTCTTGTAATCTCCTGCGCCAGTCTGGCATCCGAGATACTTCTTCGCGGCATTGCGCTTGCTTGGCCACCCCCTTTCAGCAGTCCCGCCAGCCTCGATCTCCTCCAATGTTGGGAGCACGGTGGGCTCGTGCGTCCTGGGCTCCGTCGTGAGGAGGAGGTCCGTGGTCTGGCGAACGAGGGCGGCGGGGGGGCCACTGGGGGAGACACTGCTCCTGCTGCTGCTCCTTATCCTCGTCCTTATTTCCGTATAAACGCGTATATCTGAATATATCCGCCACGGCGCCTTTGGCACGAAGTGGGATGCCCCACGGCTCGTGCAAGACTGAAAAGTAGAGGCTGTGCTGCTGCTGCTGCAGCCAGACTTGTAAGTCTTTCTGAGGGCACGCGCCAAACGTTTCCAAAACGGTCCTGAGCGATTAAGGTTTCCTGGGCTGCCTCCCGTGATTTCTGGGGTGTTTCCTGCAAGTCCCCTTGACGCTGTGTCCACCCGCAACGGTCCAGGAGAGCCCCGACTTGCCGTCGCATAACTCAAATATGTTGTCAACAGCCTCGGGAATGCCCCAGACGCCTCCAAGACAGCCCAGAGGCCTCCAACAGCACCCCAACGAGGGCCCTAAGAGGCAAACGTTATTGATGTCCCTTCGCTTAGTAAGGATTTCAACGTTCGCGCCTTTCGGTTCCCCGACGCTCCAAGACGGCCCGCGAGGCCCCGAGTATCGCCACAAAACGGCCCCAGAGGCCCCCAGGAGGACCCCAAGGCAACCCTAGATGCCCCAATGAGGCCAAAGAGGTATCCAAGACGGCCCGAGAGGGCACAGTAACAGCCCCAACAGGGTGTCCAGATGGGGAACCCGACAGGACAGCCCTCGGCCCGGAGGGGACCCCAAGGAGGCCCCAGGAGGCCCCGAAGAGGCTCCCGAGAGGCCCCCGATAGGCCCCCAAGAGGCCCTAAGCGCCCCCTAAGAGGCCCCCAAGAGGCTCCGAAGACGCCCACAAACTGATTCCAAGAAGCCCACGAGAGCGCTCCGAAGAGACGCGAAGAAGCATGCCTGAGAACTCCAATCCACAACCCAGGCATGGTGGAGAGATGGGCCGACAACAACATATGTACATCCATACATACGTACAGACATACGTACAGACATACGTACATATATACATACATACATACATACATACATACATACATACATACATACATACATACATACATACAAACGCTCCATATACTCCATCTCTGCCAAGTTGCTGGCCGATGGTGACGCACTCCGGGCTATTCCATCCGACCCACCAAACAACAAAACAAAGACGACGTTCTTCGTATCAACAACGACGCTTCCCCGTCGACATTGCAAAACGCGGGGCACGAGTGGCACGGGGCTCGCATCGCGCGCAAAAGGGCGACATCTCGCTCTCGCCTCGGCGACGAGCTTCTTCTCTTGAGCATTGAACTCCCGTTGGTTCAAGGCCGGCAGTTTTCGTTCGCCAATTCTGCCGACAACGGGGTCGCGCGCGAGCGGGCGAAACGAAGATTTCGCCCGGAAGCGGCGCTTCCGCATTGGCGCGGCGCATGTCAGGCTCGAGCTAAAACAATGTTTGTCGTTTTCGTTTTGTGTTAGGTTTTCCTTGTTCTGTCTTCTGTTCCCCCTGTGCTGCCAAACGAAATCAACACGCAAACGGTCTACGAAGTCGCCAAAACACCGTTTAGTTCGAAACCTGGCGCATGTTTTTCACTCGCCCACTCATTGGGACTGGGGCTTCATCCGGGCGGGCAATGTAACGCCCCCGCCCAAACCCCGCGCACATTTTACGTGAAAATGGCGGTCCCGCCCGGGCGCGGCGCAAATTTGTTTCGCTCGCCGAGTCGCTGGAGACCGGCTGCGAGGGCGCGCGCGAGCGGGCGATGTGCTGTCATCACCCCAGCGCCGCGCAGATTTCGTGTGTTTCTCCTCCTCTTCCTCCTACTCCGTTCCTTATCCTTATGAAAAACTCCTCCCTGTCGCACCCCGAAACCTGTCGAAAGGGCGGACCGGGCGTTTCGCCTGAGACTTCCTTACCGTTCGTTACCCTGAAGTTAAACAACCGACAACAAATTCACACATTCACGCATGGAGTGCAGATGGTTTTCAAAATGTGGCTCTCGCCTGAGCGCCGCGCACATTCGTCTTCAAACATTGCAAGAGCTTCACGGATTGAGGGCGGGCCATTTTCAAAATATAGCTCTCGCCCAAAGCCGCGCGCATTCGGTTTAAACGTTCGCGAGAGTTTCACGGATGGGGGGGGGCGGCTCTTTTTCAAAATATGGCTCTCGCCTTAGCGCGGCGCGCAATCGTTTCACAAGTTCGCACAAATTTCACGGATGGCGGGCGGCTCGTTTTCAAAATACGGCTCTCGCCTTAGCGCGGCGTACATTCGTCTTAAACATTTGCAAGAGCTTCACGGATTGAGGGCGGATGGTCTTAAAACTTGCCTCCAGCCTTCGTCGTTTCAAACGTTTGCAAGAGTTTCACAAGTTCCCATGGGCAACCTACCAGAAACTGTGTTTTGGAACGACTCGAGATTGCCAGGGCGCAACAGTTACGCAGATTCGCGGTGTTGAAGTCCCAAAAACGGCATTTTTGCACGATCCAGAATCGCCACGACGCAACAAACAGCTTCATTCGTGGCGCTGTGGTCCTAGGAATGTGTTTTGGTACGCTTCAGGATCTTCAAATTCTTGTCTCCAACCAGGGCACTTCCTGCAGTGGAAATGAATCCTTGCCAGGACCTGTGAAGAGGGAGCCTGGGAGGAGGGTTAATTCCAACATCGTTGATGCGTCTTGGGTTTACAAAGGTCCTCCTTCATTCCTTTTCCTTGTAGTTAATTTTCCCTGTCGCACTCCAGGGCCAGTTGTTTGGGCGGGCCGGGCATTTCGCCTGAGAATTCCTCACCATTTATGACTCTGAATAATAACAATTTGGCAGCAGCTTCGCAGATGGAGGGCGGGTCGTTTTCAAAAACCGCGGCGCGCATTCGTTTTAAACATTCCCAAGAGCTTCACGGATCGAGGGCGGGTTGTTTTCAAAATGTGGCTCTCGCCTTAACGCGGCGCGCCTTCGCCCGAACAAAACTGCAACAGATTCACGGATCGACGGCGGGTCGATTTCAAATAGTGGTTCTCACATTAGCGCTGCGCAGATTCTTTTCAAACATTTGCAAGAGCTTCACGGATTGAGGGCGAATGTTTTTCAAACTATGGCCCTCGCTTTAGCACGGCGCACATTCGCTCCAGACATGTGCTCCAGACATTTGCAAGAGCTTCACGGATCGAGGGCGGTTCCTTTTCAAACTGTGGTTCTCGCGTTTGCGCCGCGCACGCTCGTTTATAACAACTGCATCAAGATTTTCACGGGTTCCCATCAACAACGTACCAGAAATTGAGCTTTGAAAAGATTCTAGATTACGCGGGCGTGGGCGCAACAACTACGTTGACTCGCTGTGTTGAAGTCCCAAGAATGGCCTTCTAGCGCGATTCAGGAACACCAACACGCAGTAGTCAGGTTGATGCGTGGCGTTGGAATCCTGAGAGACATGTCATGGCATGCGTCAGGGTCTTCAAACAGTTGTTTTCCAACGAGGCAGTTCTCTCAACGGGAATGAACCATTGTTGGGGCCTATGATAAAGGGGGAGCTTGGAGGGTGGGATTATTCCAACAGCGTTGGTGACTCGTGGGGTTGCACTTGTCCTCCTCCTCCCCCTCTTCCTCCTCCTTCTCCTCCTTTTTCTCCTCCTCCTCCTTCCCCTCCTCCGCAATGCTTCTTCGGCGCGGCGCATCCTTCGTCTTCCTCGCTCGCATCGGGAACGTGCCTGCGCGTAAGTGCACTCTACCGGCCGAGGCCGTGTTTTCCTCACGCCAGGTCGTCGACAGCGGCGCCGTGCGCGGGCGCCTTCCTGTCACTGGGTGGGAGCGCGCTCGAGGCCCAATATCAGGTTGCGCCAGCATTGTTTTTTTTCTGTTGTGGGGGTGGGGTGGGGGAAGGCGGTGCCTGTTGCGCGTTCGGCCTGGCTGGCTTCACTCCCCTTCTCCTTCCTCGCTCCTCTTAATTTTCCTGTTCGCCCCCCTCCTCCACTGCCGCACTCCCCCTTCCTCGGTGGTCTCCTAAACGAAGGCGGCGGGGCGGGGGCACTAGGCCATGCGAAAAACACGCGAGAGAGAGAGAACGAGAGAGAGAGAGAGAGAGAGAAATAGAGATAGAGAAAGAGAGAGGGAGAGAGAGAGAGAGAGGCATGGAGAGGGAGACCCAAACCTTCAGGCAGGCGTCATGCTGTAAGGGCATTGGGTATGGAACCCTCCGGTAAGGAATTCAAGCCTGGAAGCTGGTGGAACCCAATTGAGGCTTGGCCATGGATATTACCGCCGCCCTCACCAGATAAGGAATCCCCAAAAAGTCTGAAGCCTCCTCGGCACATTCCTTGACGAACGCCCCCGCCGTAAGTGTTCAAATGTGATTTCGGCTTCTTGGCTTCCTGGGGCCGCTTTCGAATGACTGGGCCATCAGGAAACGCCCGCGACGGACAACTGGTCCTGGATATGAGGCCAGCAGTCGAAAGATCTGGGGGGGCGTTGCGCGGCCGAGAAGAAACACGCAGACAGAGAGAGAGAGAGAGAGAGCAAGGAAGAGAAAAAGAGAGAAAGAGAGTGAGAGAAACATAGAGAGAGAGAGAGAGAAACATCTATAGAGAGAGGCATATAATCTGAAGAAGAAGCAGAGCAAGAACAATCCGCTGGCCCCCTTGTGGGGCCACCAGGCGCCGCGGACTAGGCTTGCTGTTCACTGCGCCAGTTCCAGTTTCCAGTCTCCAATGTAGTAGTCCTGTTTTATCTGCTTCCTACTGTGACTTGTTGAAATCCGCGCGAGGGGGGGGGGGGGGGGGAGCCGAAAAGGGCCCTGGTTACAACCACCTGAGGGGGTTCTCAAACTTTCTGAGGGGGTTATTTCAATCATTTGAATTATCTAAATTATTTCGGTCGAAGCCCTAAGGCGCGAGAGTCTGCATTCCAGGGATATTTCAATACTTTAAACAATTTGAACAATTTAATGAATTAAAACCGTTTAAATAGTTCAAATCTTTGAATTATTACATGTTTCCACCCATTAAATTATTTGAATTATTTACTTCAGTCGAAATCCTAAGGCCCGAGAATCTTCATTCCATGAATATTTGAATAATTCAAATACTTAAAAATAATATGCATGATTTAATTACTTAAATTATTTAACTGCTTTAACTGATTCAAATAATTATATTACTCTAAGCCGCTGGTCTAAACAATTTAAACGAACATATGAGTACCTCATGTTCTTGACATGCTTCTATCAATTGAAATTAAATAAACGCATTTGGAAAGCTCAAAGGACGCATCGACCCTATTTGGCCCTCAATCATATATATATGCACATACACACATGCATACATGTATATATATATATATATATAGATGTGTACATATATATACACACAGACAATACACACATGTATATATGATACTTATATGTGTGATATTTGTGCCACCGAAGCCATCATCTGTCGTAAATTACGCTGTAGTCGCGCCCACGAGGCCACAGTCCCTGGTCGATTACACCTGCACACACACACACACTATTCGCGTCCCCGAGGCCTTATGCCCTTTCAAATTGCGCTGTGCTCGCGCTCCGGGGACCACTTTTTGTAAAGTATAACATGACCGCGTCTCCGAGGCAATATTCTTCCGCAGGCTATACAATATTTGTGTCCCCGAAGCACGATCCCTCGTGAATTACGCGCGCGCCCCAGAAACCAGAAACCCTCGTAAAGTATGCCGTGCTCACGCTTTCGGGGCCACAATCTTTTATAAAAGGCCCCCAAGACGGTACACGATGCCTCCGAGATGGCCCAAGCGTGCTCCAGGGCGCCCAAGATGGTCCCAAGACGGCCCAAGAGGCTCCCAAGATGCCCCCAAGAGCGATCCAGGAGCACACCCAAGAGGGGCCCAAGATGCCAACATCACAGATTTTCCTCGGAGTTCTCATGGATGTTGGCACGCTCGCCTTTTTCTGGCTTCCGACGCTGCGAGACGGCCCAAGAGGCCCCCCAAGACCGCCCCAAGATGGCCAAACGAAATCCCCAAGACGGCCCAAGAGGGACCCAAGACGGCCCCAAGAGTAACCCGAGACGGGGGACCTGAACCCAAGTGGCCGCCGTTCGGAGATCCGACGCAGCTTCACGACGGTGCCCAAGCCCCACAACATAGCTCTTGCATTCCCCATCCTCCGAGAGAGGAAGCCGGCGGCAGGGGGCGAAGCCCTTACGGATATATGCACAGAAAGAGAGAGAGAGAGAGAGAGAGAGAGAGGAAACACAACACCATAAAACAGAGAGAGAGAGAGAGACTAATATCGAATAGCCTAGGAGACGCAATAAACACGCGGAGCGGCAAGGGCGAGTGGGTGGAGGGGCAGTTCATGGTGTAGCGACGTGCTCAAGCGAAGATCGAACGCTTCAGTAAATAGATCGTATCATTCTTAATATCTTGGGTGCTCGCAGAGAGTATGGTCCAACAAATGATAGATGAATAATGACATTAAGTGGGCACATGAGTTGCGCAGGAGACTACGCAGACGATAGTGTCGAGCTCCACCACCACACTGAAGGCTGGCATTCCGATCGCCGTCGCTACTGAAACAATCGGCTGAAACTGTCCGCGTGCTCTACAAGAGTCGGCTGCGCGCACTCTGGTCGCCTTTTTTATCCAGAATGATGCCTTCACTCGAATTCTCGAGATGTTCGGCGTTTGCTCCAGTTCCGATCGTCGAGTGCGAGGTGCACGTAGCCTTGCGACTCCGATTGGCCAGCAGAACACCGCAGCCGGCGCCGTCGCCCTCATCCATCCTACCAGTGCACGCGAGAGATCGCAACGATGAGGTCGCCGGCCTTGGCTCCTCTGACATTTGCCTCCAACTTCACGGTCTCACATGGCCACTCAGAACGCAGGACGCAGCATAGAACGTGCAAGCCACGACTCGCGAGCACACCAGGACAATAAAACATGGATGCACGACTAAAACAAGAGGTGCGAAGCTACGAACAAACAATGAATGAGGCAGGCGAAGCAAGAACGGTTAACTGGGAGAAGAGGAGGATGGAGGAAGAGTGGGAAGGATGGAGGGGGACTGGTTTAAAGGAGTCTAGGGCATTTGTTTCGGACCTCGCTTCCGATGCCTTCAAAGGTGGGCGTTTGGGGGTCGCTCCTCTTGGTCGTCCACCTGGTCCTTCTCATCCTCTTCTCCCCCTCCGCTTGTGACGGGGTGTCTCGTTCCAAGAACCCTGGGTCCAACAACATCTGCATTTCTTGAAATGCAGATGTATGCTTCCGCCGCTGGAGGCTTCCGCCGGCTCCCGCCGAGAGTAAAGATACGCCGCCGAATGCGAGGCCCCTCCTGGAACGCCCGTCGTACGCGGCCCACGGCGTTCTGTGTGGGAGCGCTAGGGGTCCGCCAGGCAGTCGCGATCGTGGCTGAGAGCGGCCGTGGGGGGTACTGACCAGTTGGTTCCTTTCGAACGCCAGCCTGGGGGGCCACAGGGTGGGACTCGCTGGCGTGAGCCAGGGCCGCCGTGGTAGCTTCAAGCTGAAGACGGATACTTCGCGGAAGCAGCTGCGAACATTACCTTGGTGATGTTTATCGCCGCGCCCTCTCCGCGGCTGCCGCCAATGAGCCTCTGCCGACGTCGGCTTCTGCTTGCCAGCAACACACGTCGCATCCCTCTCGACCCTTTCGCCAAGGTAATTCTTTGACCCCCCGCTTGTTCACGGTCCCGGGGCTCGAAAACAGCCTCCTCAGGCAGGGGACGCCGAAAAACCTCAGACTCGACATCTTCGAGTCTCGGGAAGTCTGGGAATGTCCTGGTTCCCGCGGCGCTGACCCCACGCGCTGGTGGGCCTGGCGAGTCCACGGCTGGATCCTTGACAGGCACAGTGCCCGCGGAAACCCCCTAACAAGATGTGCCGACCAATTCCCGCTGAGCCCTTCGGATGCGCAGCCGCGCGCGAGCGCGGCCCGTGCTCAACGCTCGTTCTCTCTGGCTCGCTCTGGCAGCCTCGGGGCTGAGTACCTTCTCGTCCAGGCTCAGGATGGCCTCCCTGATTTGGGAGGGCTGGAAGTCGCGCAGGGAGTGGAGGCCTGCGGGTCGGGGCGGGTGGGAGGATGGCCCGGGAAGAGGAGCATGATGACCCTGGCGTCCCCGCGCCGTGATGGGTACGACGGTGCACTTTTGGTCCTTACCGGTCTCTGGGGGCCCCCCCCGAAGACCTTGACCCCTTACCCAGGATTCGACATTTCAATCCGTTGACGACCCCAGGGCCCCCTGACGGCCCCAGGGTCAGTGACGGCCCCAAGAGGCCCAACGCGATGAAAACCTTGATTTGCATTAGTTGTCGCGCCGCGAGGGAGTGTGGGTCCTTCTTTCCAGGCAATGCCCAGGGGGGGTCACCACTAGGGGGGCGACAACCCCTCGAGAAGCCCCCTCGGGACCCCCGACCCCCCCGCCCCCGACACCCCCAAACCGCAAAACCTCCCAAACACCTCCTCTCGACTCTCGAACCTCGGGAGGAACCGGCGACCCCCTGAGCGGTGACCCCCTGGGCGGGGGGGACGTAAGTCCCGAATCTTGGGGACTCGAACCTGCTTGACGGGGCCGTCAGAAAAACATATATCCGGACGAAGGACCCAATCATATGCAGTTGTGAATGCCGCATTGTGGCCATCGCTTGCTGTGGAGCCCCCTATGGAAATGGGTGGTGAATCGCATGTGAACTGCGAAGCACTCGGTGGAGCTCCCCATGGGGCCACAAAACGTGTGAGGGGTGTGCCGAAACGGGCGTGCCGCACACATGCGAACTGCGCCACAGAGGCATTCGGGGTACCTCACTTTATGGGGCCACGAAACGTGTGAGGTGTGTGTGTGTATGTGTGTGCCGGATGGGGCGTGCCGCCCACATGCGAACTGCGCCACAGAGGCACTCGGTGGAGCCCCCTTATGGTGCCAAGAAACGTTAGAGGGGTGTGCCGAAACGGGCATGCCGCCCACATGCCGCCCCAATGGGGCCACGAAGCGTGTGAGGGGTGTGCCGAAGCGGGTGTAACGCCCACATGCGGACTGAGCCAACGGAAGCACTCGGTGGAGCTCCCTACGGGGTCACGGAGGGTGTGAGGGGTGTGCCGAAAGGGGCGTGACGCCTGCATGTGAACTGCACCGCAGAGGCACCTGTTGGAACCCACTTCTTGTGCCACGAAAAGAATAAGGGATAAGGCGAAACGGGCGTGACGCCCACATGCGAACTGGGACACGAGAGGCACTCGGTGGAGCCCCCCTATGGTGCCAAGAAGCGTGTGGGGGGTGTGCCGAAATGGGCGTGCTGCCCACATGCGAACTGCGCCACGGAGGCCTTATATGGAACCTCCTTGTAGGGCCACGGAACGTGTGAGGGGTGCGCTGAAACGGGCATGATGCGCACATGCGAACTACGCCACGGAGGCACTCGGTGGAGCCCCCATATGGGGTCACGAAACGTGTGAGGGGTGTGCCGAAATGGGCGTGACGCCCACATGCGAACTGCGCCACGGGGGCCTTAGATGGAGCTCCCTATGGGCACGAGACGTGCGAGGGGAGTGCCGAAGCTCATGGCGATGATGGTGATGATAATTAACGGCGATGGTGATGATGATGATGGTTGTGATGCGGGCCATGATGCTGCTGCCGCTGATGATGATGATGCTGATGATAATAAGGATTATGCTGCTGATGATGATGCTGATGCTGACGATGATGATGCTGCTGCTGCTGATGATGATGATGATACGGATGGTGTTGATGATGACGACGGTGTCGATGGCGATGATGGTGATGATTATGAAATTCATGTTGTAAATTGAGATAAGGATAATGATGCTGATGCTGATGGTGATGCTGATGCTGATGATGATGCTCATGATGTTGATGATTATGCTGATACTGATGGTGCTGACGGTGCTGATGATACTGCTGCTGATGCTGATGCTGCTGCTGATGATGATGATGATGATGCTGATGATGATGATGATGATGCTGGCTGTGTTGGTGGTGCTAGTGGTGGTGAGATGAGCGGAGGGGGGAGGGGCAGCGGGAGGAGGAGCGACACGAGGTGCTGTCTTTTCACAAGAGGACCCAACGCCACAGGATGGTTGGAATTTGCGAGGACTTCATCTGAAATTCGACGCGAACTCCCGCTGCAATCACCTTACAGATATTGGACCGTCAAAACTCATGTCAAACCGACGTGTTCTGGCAAACTCGAGTCTTACGATGCCCCGATCCTCCTGCCCCTCCAAGAAATCCGGCATCGTGCCTCTAGAGGTCTGGAACACTTCCCCGGAAATGCTTTCATCCCGAATCGTTGTTTGACAGGCCCCGGGGCCAGTGAGTGCCCCCCGTGTCCAAAAACAGCCAAACGCTTAGCGTCGCGATACTTCACGACGCGAGGGTGTCAGGGCTCCTGTCCTCCGCCAAAGGATCGGGGGCGCCCAGAAGGGGGGGGGCCTCCAGTGCGGGGGGGGGGCGCAGATCATGGCCGCTGGTACGTGGCGCCCGGGCGACCCAGGGGGGGCCGGGGACGTACGGTGAGGGCATTTTTTTACTCTTCGAGCACCCGCGAGCAGGCGCGTGGTCATGCATGCAATTCTACAAGGGGAAGGAGGGCGAGAGGGCAAGGCACGTCTAGCGGCCGCACGATGCCCACGACCACCTTCACGAGTCGCCCTGTCGCCTGGCGTGCTCCAGGGCCGCGAGCGCCGCTCTCGCAGCTTCTCTCTGTGGGTCCAGCCGCCGCGGCGAGGCACGCTCCGACTCGAGCGATTCGAACGACAGGACCTGGGCCTCCAGCGCCCTCTCGAGGCGGGCGCGCTCCAGATCCTGCACATTGGGCACCGCTGCGTCGTGCACAGCCTCCGCCTGCTTGCCTTCGGGCTCCGCTTCGCCAGACTCGGGCTCCTCGATCGGGTCGAAGAGCTGCACGGCCTCACATGCGGTGCCCGACAGTTTGCTGGGGTGCCGAATCAGCTGCACGTCAGCCTGGCTGGCGGAGCTCACGGAGGCGCCGACCTCTAGCATCTCTTCGAAGCAGGCGAAAAGCTCCTCGAGATCGGCGCTGGGTCCGTGCGCCGCCGCCGCCTGCTTGCTGAAGTGCGCGTCGTACTGCTCTGTCGCCTCCAGCCGCTCGGGGCCGAGCGACTCGGAGGCTCCTTCCGCCAGCCGCCAGCCCGCCGCCAGCCCCTGGACGAAGGCCTCCGCGCGGCCTCCGCCAACGGCTCGGAGGTGTGCCACATCCCAGGCGCCAGCCCTGGGCCCGCGGGAATGGCCTCCTTGTCAGAACAGATGGGAAACGTTCCCAAGCCCCCAGGTATACTAGGCCCTCTGGGGTGGTTCCGTGCAGATGCCCTTGGGCGTCGGGGAGGTCTTGAAGATCAGTTCCTCCCTGACCTCCCAGCCCTGGCCGCGGAGCGCGCTCCGCCGCCAGGGCATCGGCCTGCGCCAGGAGCCTCGGCTCCAACTCGGCCACGTGGAACACCCGAGCATGAAAGGGCAAGCCGCCTCCCGCCCAAGGATCCTGGGTCTCGAGAGCCCCAGAAGCCCCTCGGGTAGCCAGCGCCTCCGCCCAGCCGCTCTCGTCCGTGTCCACGTCGTCCACGCCGTCGGAAGCTCCAGTCGCCACTGCGGCGCGCTCCAGCCTCGGCCCCCGCTGAGCAGCGCGGAGCTCGGCAGCCTTGGCCACCAGGATCCGCGCCCCCGGCGCCGCGGCGTGCAGCGCGACGTTGCGGCGCAGCTTCTGCAACCAGGTCGGCGCCCGCCCAGCCACCAAAGCCGCCAGAGCTGGCAGCAGGCAGCGGATGCGCGCGCCGACCTCCGCGTCGCCGACGAGCGTGTCGATGGCCTCCTCGGCTTCCAACCTGCGGCGGTCGGCGTCCGCGAGCTGCCGCTGCAGCCTCGCGACCAAACGATCCGCCGCCGCACGGGCTCCAGCTGCGCCCCGCAGTGGCGCTGCTGAGCCCCCTCCCGCAGCCATCTCAAGAGGCCCCGCGCGGCCGAAGACGGGCGGAGACACGACTTGAGCCAAAATGGCCACGGACGGTGAGGGCATTTTTTTATATATGTAGGCCCTGCGCGCGCGCAGGGGGCTCATGCATGCATTCAGGAAGAGGGGGCGGCAGGCCGAGGCTACCCGCGCGCCCGCGCGGCCGCCAGCTGCGCCTCCAGGTCCATTAGGAGGGCTGACGTCGCGCCTCGGAGCTCGTCCGATGCCGACCGCCATTGGCCCGAGGCCTTCTCGGGCGCGGTCGGGCTCGGCTCCGAGTGGCGCCCCCGCAGGTCATCCGCCGAGAGGTCCGCGCAGGCGTCCTGCTCAGCCACGGCCTCTGCAGCAACCACACTGCTGTTCGTGCCCTCGGACGCCTGCGGCAGCACCTCGCCACCAGCAGCCTCGGACAACCCGATGGGCTCCGAGGTGCCTGCAGTGCCGCCGCTCAGGGCGGCCTCCTGGGCGAACCCGCCGCGGGCCCGCGCGCCGCTGCCGTGCACCAGCGCCGTGCCCCCAGCAGCGGCATACAGCGCGTCGAGCTCCGCGATGCCAGCAGCGTTCACCTCCGCGTCGTGCGGCTTCTCGAACTCGCCGCGACCCTGGGACTGCGACTGCGGTGGGCTGAATCCACCTGTCCCAGGGCCGGGCTCCGCCGCGGCGGCGTACCTGGAGACGGCCTCGCCGCCGAGCTCCGCCGCCAGACCAGCCATCAGCTGGTTCAGGTCGTCCTGGACGCCGAAGGCCTCGTTCGCCGACACGAAGACCTCCTCCACGAAGGCGTCGTGGAGTTCGGCTAGTTCGCGGGCGCGGGCGGCCGCAGCGCCCTGGGGGCCACCGAGCTGCGGCCCGCCGCTCCCGCCGTCGGCGGCCTCCAGCTCCGCGTCGATGCCGTCGGTCTGCGCGCGCTGGCAACCCTCGCCGAGAAGCGCCTCCTGCATGGGGGCGGCGTAGGCGATGAGGTCCGCCAGCAGCTGGTTGGCGTCGCGCGGCGTGTGGGGCACGCCGCCGCCGGGCGCGCTAGCGCCGATGGGGCCGAGGGGGGCGAAGGGAGGCGCATCCGCCCTCAGCGCGCCATCGGCCGCCGCGCGCCGCTCCAGCCGGGGGCCCCGCTGCGCAGAACGTAGTTCCGCCGCGCTGGCCGCCGCGATGTCCATGCCCTGCGCCTCGGCATGGAGGGCGACGTTGCGGCGCAGGCGCTCGAGCCAGGATGGGGTCCACCCTCCCAGCGTGGCCTGCAGCGCGGGGGGCATCGCCTGCAGCCTATGGGCCACCTCGTCATCCCCGATGACCGCGCCCAAGGCCTGCTCCGCGGCCTCCAGACGGGCCCGAGTCCTCCCCAACTCGCCCGACAGCCGCCGCACGGCGTTGTCGGCGGACCACTTAGCCCACTGCCGTCCCGCAGCACGCTGGGCCGCCGAACGCATTGGCGCGCACTCCGCGCCATCCCGCGCCATCCTGGGCCCCGCGCGCCCGAAAGCGGGCGGACCTGGCCTTGAGCCAAAATGGCTACGGACGACGGTGAGGGCATTTTTTTATATCTGTAGGCCCTGCGCGCGCGCAGGGGGTTCATGCATGCATTCAGGAAGAGGGGGCGGCAGGCCGAGGCTACCCGCGCGCCCACACGGCCGCCAGCTGCGCCTCCAGGTCCACGAGGAGGGCTGACGTCGCGCCTCGGAGCTCGTCCGATGCCGACCGCCATTGGCCCGAGGCCTTCTCGGGCGCGGTCGGGCTCGGCTCCGAGTGGCGCCCCCGCAGGTCATCCGCCGAGAGGTCCGCGCAGGCGTCCTGCTCAGCCACGGCCTCTGCAGCAACCACACTGCTGTTCGTGCCCTCGGACGCCTGCGGCAGCACCTCGCCACCAGCAGCCTCGGACAGCCCGATGGGCTCCGAGGTGCCTGCAGTGCCGCCGCTCAGGGCGGCCTCCTGGGCGAACCCGCCGCGGGCCCGCGCGCCGCTGCCGTGCACCAGCGCCGTGCCCCCAGCAGCGGCATACAGCGCGTCGAGCTCCGCGATGCCAGCAGCGTTCACCTCCGCGTCGTGCGGCTTCTCGAACTCGCCGCGACCCTGGGACTGCGACTGCGGTGGGCTGAATCCACCTGTCCCAGGGCCGGGCTCCGCCGCGGCGGCGTACCTGGAGACGGCCTCGCCGCCGAGCTCCGCCGCCAGACCAGCCATCAGCTGGTTCAGGTCGTCCTGGACGCCGAAGGCCTCGTTCGCCGACACGAAGACCTCCTCCACGAAGGCGTCGTGGAGTTCGGCTAGGTCGCGGGCGCGGGCGGCCGCAGCGCCCTGGGGGCCACCGAGCTGCGGCCCGCCGCTCCCGCCGTCGGCGGCCTCCAGCTCCGCGTCGATGCCGTCGGTCTGCGCGTGCTGGCAACCCTCGCCGAGAAGCGCCTCCTGCATGGGGGCGGCGTAGGCGATGAGGTCCGCCAGCAGCTGGTTGGCGTCGTGCGGCGTGTGGGGCACGCCGCCGCCGGGCGCGCTAGCGCCGATGGGGCCGAGGGGGACGAAGGGAGGCGCATCCGCCCTCAGCGCGCCATCGGCCGCCGCGCGCCGCTCCAGCCGGGGTCCCCGCTGCGCAGAACGTAGTTCCGCCGCGCTGGCCGCCACGATGTCCATGCCCTGCGCCTCGGCATGGAGGGCGACGTTGCGGCGCAGGCGCTCGAGCCAGGATGGGGTCCACCCGCCCAGCGTGGCCTGCAGCGCGGGGAGCATCGCCTGCGGCCTATGGGCCACCTCGTCATCCCCGATGACCGCGCCCAAGGCCTGCTCCGCGGCCTCCAGACGGGCCCGAGTCCTCCCCAACTCGCCCGACAGCCGCCGCACGGCGTTGTCGGCGGACCACTTAGCCCACTGCCGTCCCGCAGCACGCTGGGCCGCCGAACGCATTGGCGCGCACTCCGCGCCATCCCGCGCCATCCTGGGTCCCGCGCGCCCGAAATCGGGCGGACCTGGCCTTGAGCCAAAATGGCTACGGACGGTGAGGGCATTGGATACGGGACCGCTGGATAAGGAATCCAGGGTCTGGAAGCCGCTGGAACTCCAATCGTGGATCGGCCATGGATATCGCCGCCGCCCTCATCAGATAAGGAATCCTCCAGGGTCAAGCTCCCTCTGCACATTCCTTAACGAACGCCCCCACCGTATTGAAATAAGAAGACGCGATCTGAAAGCTGGGAAGATATCATGGCCCCCGCGCTGAGATCCAGCCCCACCAAGTCATCATCCCCCTCTTGGCCGCCCCCGAGAGAAGAGAAGGAAAACCAGCGGGCCGGCGCCGCCTATGGAGATGCTCATGCACCGCTGGGGGGTCACCAGCGACACCCTCAGCGCCTCGTCTGCGGCCGGCTCGGCCTCCCGGGCGGCAGCGGAGGGTAGGGGGGAAGGAACACAGACCTCCGACGCCATGGCATTTTCACTCGGCGGCGAGAGAGGGGGGAACCGAGAAGGAGAAGGCCTTCTCAGAAGGCGGCGGGACTTCTCAGAAGCCCTCGCGCCTTCTGAGAAGTTTCCTGTGTCTTCGGGGGAGGCTCAGAAAGCATCTCCGAGGGCCAGGGGGCTTCCAGGCCTTCTGAGAGGGCCCGCCCATTTCCTCACTTTCCCGATGGGGTCGCCGCCGACTCATGGCGTCGACCCCGAAAGGTCTCGACCCACTCCCCGGGACCGATGTTTCCATCCCGAACCGTTTTCCTTGACGGTCCCGAGGCCAATAACTGGGGCCTCGGAGGCCGACCATTGCGAAGCAGCTCTCGCCTTGCTTCTTGCATGGCTCGAGGGGGTCTGGGAGTGAGATCGGTTTTGGGGCACGCAGGAAGAATCTCGGGTCGGGCGAAAGGGGGGGGGATAGCAATGGGGGGGTTTGATAACCAGCTCACGCAGCTGATTTTCCCTGCGCCGGGAGGCGCCCATGTATCGAGGAATGGTCCAGGCGGCGAGGCCGAAACCAGTTGCATGCAGCAAGATTCGTAACCCCCCCTTTCCCTATCCCCCCTTTTCGTCCGGCCCGAGAATCAAGCAGGTGTCAGCCCAGAAGCCCAGAGGACCCTGCCGCGGGACACCGGATCACGACGGAGGGTCTTGAGCATCTTCGGCCCATGGGGGCCCTTGCCCTGCCGAGTACCGTCGATTTAGCGGCCGCCAGATGGGGCTCTCGCCGTGCTCGCTGGGTACCCCTGCCCAGCGGCCGCCGGATAAACATCCTGCCGCGCTGGATGGGTACCCCTGAGAAGCCGGTCCCGAGAAGGGGTGCAGACCTCTGGGGAGCCACGCTGCGAATGAAAGCACGCCGCCATATGATTGAGGCCTCTAGATTCCACACGGAGCTTCTGGGAGTCCGCCAGGGGGGGGGAGGAGCACAGCGGTCGGGCATCGCGAGCCGAGCAAGTTCGTCACGATCGCGGGGTGCAGAGCCTGCGAATGCAGGATCTGACTGGAGGGCTGGCGCTTTCCGGGGGGGGGCACGCGCTGGCACGCATGTCCCGCCCAGCCCAGCCCCGGCGCCCGACGTCGTGCTCTTCCGATGCCTTGACTTTTTCAATGCGGAGTCCCTGGAAGTCCCGACCCGCTCCCAGGGACTGGCATGTCACCCTGAGTCGTTGATTGACGGTCCCGGGGCCCGGCGAGGGCCCTAGAGGCCGAAACTAAGGAAAAACCTCCGTATTGTTTTTTTCAGTGCGTTGGATCTCTGGGGACGTCGAACACCGACGTGGCGCTCTGTTCACAGCGGAGCCCCCCACCCCATCGCCGCGGGTTGCTTCCCGGCTGAGGGCACCTTGGGCCAAGCGGCCCAGCGCCGATCCAAGAACTCCGAGTGGAGCGTAAAAACTGTATGTTTATGCAATTCGGGTCTTTCTTTGAAGACAGCCCCGGGGCCCGGTGAGGGCCCCCCGAAGGGGCGAGAACATTGGCCCAACCAAAACCTCTGTCGTGATTTTCCTCCTCGGCGCGAATAGGTAAGGGCTGAGCCTGGCTCCTCCTTGTCCTCCTCCTCCTCCTCCTCCTCCGCCAGTCGACGACGACGACGACGACGACGACGACGACGACGACGACGACGACGACGACGACGACGACGGCGAGATGCCGCGGCGAGCGCGCGCGCGCGGCCGTCTTCTGCGCGAACTTGGACGTGCCCGTCCGCCACTCGAACAGCGCCTCTATCATCCCGTCGGGGAGCTCGATCCGCGGTGCCCCCCCCCACGCCGCCGCTCGTGGCGCGGGGGGGGGGGCGTCGGGCCAGGAGGACAAGGAGGGGTGGAGGGGGCAGGGGGCGGGGAACGGGGGCAGGAGGATGCGTCTGTTGTCGGACGGCCTGCGCTAGGGTGGGCATCGATCGCCTACGACGGCGCTTCTGGGCTGCTTCAAAGTGGCTGCCGTTTGTGAAGCTGCCGCGCCTCAGTGCCAGGCGAGGGCCCTGACCTCCTCGCGTCGCGAACGCATCACGACGGACAATCGCTGGCCACTTGCGGCCTCGCGGGGGGCCTCAGCGTGCCCCGGAACCGTCGACAAACAGCTCGGCATGACATCCCAGCAGTCCTCTGGGCGTGAGTGGTTCATGGGCCTTTGTCTTCTCCCTGCCAAGCCCCCTCCTTCCCGTGCTCGGGGGAGGGATCCATCACTGCTCCCTATGAATATACACCCCCTCCCCCAGGAGACCGGCAGCCAACCAGGGACAATGCCGACCCCGTGCTCCCCCCCTAGCCATCCATTTCAAAAAGCAATACAACAGACACTTTGGGGCAAAGTCTTGAGTCATGTTCGCCAGGCCCGCGAACACTCCTTGTTTTTCCCAACCATCCTGTGGTGTTGGGTCCTCGTTTTGAAGAGACGGTGCCCGCGTCCTCTCCTCTCCTCCTCTCCTCCTCCTCCCCCTCCTCCTCCCTCCTCCTCCCTCTCCTCCCTCCTCTCTGCGTTTCACCCACCCATTACAGCGCTTCGTGGCTCCATAGGGAGCTCCACCGAAGGCCCCAGTGGGGGTGTTCGCATGCGGTTCCCCCACCCAGGGCAGCGTTTCGTGGCCCCATAGGGAGCTCCACCGAAGGCCCCAGTGGGGGTGTTCGCATGCGGTTCCCCCACCCAGGGCAGCGTTTCGTAGCCCCATAGGGAGCTCCACCGAAGGCCCCAGTGGGGGTGTTCGCATGCGGTTCCCCCACCCAGGGCAGCGTTTCGTGGCCCCATAGGGAGCTCCACCGAAGGCCCCAGTGGGGGTGTTCGCATGCGGTTCCCCCACCCAGGGCAGCGTTTCGTGGCCCCATAGGGAGCTCCACCGAAGGCCCCAGTGGGGGTGTTCGCATGCGGTTCCCCCACCCAGGGCAGCGTTTCGTAGCCCCATAGGGAGCTCCACCGAAGGCCCCAGTGGGGGTGTTCGCATGCGGTTCCCCCACCCAGGGCAGCGTTTCGTGGCCCCATAGGGAGCTCCACCGAAGGCCCCAGTGGGGGTGTTCGCATGCGGTTCCCCCACCCAGGGCAGCGTTTCGTGGCCCCATAGGGAGCTCCACCGAAGGCCCCAGTGGGGGTGTTCGCATGCGGTTCCCCCACCCAGGGCAGCGTTTCGTGCCCCATAGGGAGCTCCACCGAAGGCCCCAGTGGGGGTGTTCGCATGCGGTTCCCCCACCCAGGGCAGCGTTTCGTGGCCCCATAGGGAGCTCCACCGAAGGCCCCAGTGGGGGTGTTCGCATGCGGTTCCCCCACCCAGGGCAGCGTTTCGTGGCCCCATAGGGAGCTCCACCGAAGGCCCCAGTGGGGGTGTTCGCATGCGGTTCCCCCACCCAGGGCAGCGTTTCGTAGCCCCATAGGGAGCTCCACCGAAGGCCCCAGTGGGGGTGTTCGCATGCGGTTCCCCCACCCAGGGCAGCGTTTCGTGGCCCCATAGGGAGCTCCACCGAAGGCCCCAGTGGGGGTGTTCGCATGCGGTTCCCCCACCCAGGGCAGCGTTTCGTAGCCCCATAGGGAGCTCCACCGAAGGCCCCAGTGGGGGTGTTCGCATGCGGTTCCCCCACCCAGGGCAGCGTTTCGTGGCCCCATAGGGAGCTCCACCGAAGGCCCCAGTGGGGGTGTTCGCATGCGGTTCCCCCACCCAGGGCAGCGTTTCGTGGCCCCATAGGGAGCTCCACCGAAGGCCCCAGTGGGGGTGTTCGCATGGGGGTGTTCGCATGTTCCCCCACCCAGGGCAGCGTTTCGTGGCCCCATAGGGAGCTCCACCGAAGGCCCCAGTGGGGGTGTTCGCATGCGGTTCCCCCACCCAGGGCAGCGTTTCGTGGCCCCATAGGGAGCTCCACCGAAGGCCCCAGTGGGGGTGTTCGCATGCGGTTCCCCCACCCAGGGCAGCGTTTCGTGGCCCCATAGGGAGCTCCACCGAAGGCCCCAGTGGGGGTGTTCGCATGCGGTTCCCCCACCCAGGGCAGCGTTTCGTAGCCCCATAGGGAGCTCCACCGAAGGCCCCAGTGGGGGTGTTCGCATGCGGTTCCCCCACCCAGGGCAGCGTTTCGTGGCCCCATAGGGAGCTCCACCGAAGGCCCCAGTGGGGGTGTTCGCATGCGGTTCCCCCACCCAGGGCAGCGCTTCGTGGCCCCATGGGGAGCTCCACCGAAAGCCCCCGTGGCGCAGTTCGCATGCGCTTCCCCCACCCAGGGCAGCGTTTCGTGGCACCATAGGGAGCTCCACCGAAGGCCCCAGTGGCGCAGTTCGCATGCGGTTCCCCCACCCAGGGCAGCGTTTCGTAGCCCCATAGGGAGCTCCACCGAAGGCCCGCCCCGGTGGCGCAGTCCGCATGCGGTTCCCCCACCCAGGGCAGCGCTTCGTGGCCCCATATGGAGCCCCACCGAAAGCGGCACCCACAACGCGTTACCAACAATTGCTTATGGTTGGGTCTTTCGCCAGGATAATTTGACAGGGGCGGTGGGGGTGTCACTATATTGCCTGCTGCCCGCAGGGCTACCACCCCTCACAAACAACAATGCAACATGCACCTCGCGACTACATCTGGATCCTGCGCGGCCACCCCGCGATCACTGTCATCGGTTTTTGGGTCGGGACGGCAAGGGTGGTGGCGTATGGCCTGCTGTGCGCAGGCCCACCAGACACAGCGATGGGCATGCGTTTTCGACACGGATGGTGGGGGGCGACATGTTTCCCGAGGCGTGCTGTCGCGTGCGCAGTCGCACCTGCCGGACTCCGCGCGTGCCCCGAACGTGGCGCACCTGGGGCGCCTGGAGTATGCGGCACAGTTGGCGCACCAGGCGTGCCTAGCACGCTCGGGCCCCAGGGGTGCCACGTGGCGCACCTCGCTCCAGCGTCGCGCGCATGGGGTCGGCTTTGGTTCCCAGTACCTGCCCATTCAAAGACGACCGCTGAACATGCTGAAGCTCGGGTCTTACTTCTGTGTTTGGGTGGAGGGTGGGAGTGAACTAGATGGAGTGCTATATTGGAGGGTTTCTTGATCACGGTTCCCGCTTAATGAACACCCCCTCCCCCAGGCGACTGGTAGCCAACCCTGAACCATGCGGCCCCCCCCACCATCCCTTGTACAAAACCATACCAACCACACTCTGCCTCCAAATTCGGCGCATGCGCAGCCGAACCGATGCGGCCTCCCTGTCAAAACCACAATGCAGCGTACACTTGGCGGCGGCGGTGGCTGCGGCGGCTGCGGCGGCGGCTGCGGCGGCTGCGGCGGCGGCGGCGACGGCGGCGGCGGCTGCGGCGGCGGCGGCGGCGGCGGATTGACCCCCGGTAGCTGCCCGTCCAAAAGCGACTGCTGAATATGCTGAGGCTCGGGCCAGACCCGGGTGCTACGTATGTGCTGGGAGGGCGGGTGGGAGTGAGCGAGACGGCTTACGGGCGGGGAGGGGGTCTTGATCACTGTTCCCTCTGAAAAACACCCCCTCCCTCAGGCGACTGGGGGCCAACCAGGGTCCATGCCGACCCCCCCCCACCATCCCTTGTAAAACAACCATACAAAACACACTCTGCCTCCAAATTCGGAACATGCGCAGCCAACCCGATGCGACCCCCCCCACACCATCCCTGTCAAAAAACCATACAGAGTACACTTGGCGGCGGCGGCGGCGGATGCGGCGGCTGCGGCGGCGGTGGCGGCGGCTGCGGCTGCGGCGGCGGCGGCGGTTTGGCAGCGGGGGGCGGCGGCGGCGGCGGCGGCTGCGGCGGCTGCGGCGGCGGGCTGCGGCGGCGGCGGCGGAGGAGGCGGCGGCGGCGGCGGCGTGCGGCGGCGGCGGCGGCGGTAGCGGTGGCGGCAGTGGCTGGGCGGCGGCGGCGGTTTGGCAGCGGGGGGGCGGGCGGCGGCGGCGGTGGCGGCGGCGGCGCCGGCGGCGGCGGCGGCGGCGACGGCGGCGGCGGCGGCGGCGCCATATTGGCCCCCAGTAGCTGTCCATCCCAAGACGACTGCTGAATATGCTCAGGCTCGGGCCAGACTCGGGTGCTACGTATGTGTTGGGAAGGCGGGTGGGAGTGAGCGAGACGGCTTGCGGGCGGGGAGGGGGTAATTTGACCCTCCCCCTGCCCCCTCCACAAGGCCTTTCGGCGGGGGCGGAGAGGTTAGAGCGTCCCAGATTGCACACGATGGCTCCAAGAGGGTCTCAAAGAACCCACGATGGCCTCCAAGATGGCTCACGATACCTCAAGATGGCTCAAGATAACCTCCGACAAACATCCAAGAGGCCTGAAGACGGCCCCTAAGACGGTTTCAAGTGCCCTCCGAGTCCTCCACGGACCCCCCTTCAGGAGGCCAAACTGGCTCGAACGCCGAAGGAACATCATTGTTTGTTGCCTTCTCGCCGTTTCGCTTCCGACGGGCTCTTGAGGCCTTACTCTGATCCCCAAGACGGTCCAAGAGAGCCCCAAGAGTGGCCCAAGAGGACCCCAATAGTGCCCGAGAACGCCCAAAGAGCCTCCCCGAGACGGCCCCATGCCGCCATGTTTAAGCCTCCGAGAGAGGGGGGGTGGCTAAATTTATAACCCCCCCTCTTTCCCAACATTGCCTCCAGAGGCCTCCCAGAGCCCCCCAAAAAGCCCCAATAGGGCTCCCAGACCTCCAAAAGAGCCCTCAGACGGCCCCAAAAGTGCGCCAAGTGGCTCCGAGAGGACCCCAAGAGAGACCCAAGATGGCTCCAAGAGACCTCCGAGAAAGCACTTCCAAGGCGGCTCTTGCACTGCATGCTTCTACATTTCCCTGATCAAGGTAACTCGCCTGGGGATATGTTTCTGGATGGGTTGGTGGGGATATTTTTTTTGGGGGGGGGCGGCGACCACCAGACCAAGGGTCAGGCGGCAAAGGCAACGTCCGGGCCACGAACGAAGCTAATTTGCTAGAACAGCGCCGGCCGGCCTACTCAGACGGCAGCTGCAAGCTGGGTGGGCTGAACTCACTGGCGCACTGCAAGCACAGGCACATGCACTGGACAAAATGACCAGAATTCGGGCGGCCGGGGCAACACCCGCACTGAGTCCGCGGGCGAGTCCTTGTGCAAGGTGAAGACGGGATGGCCCTTGGAATGAGTCGCCACTGCGGCGCCAGGCTCCAAGCGGACGACCTGCGTAAGCCAAGCCGGCAGAGCGGTCGTGAGCCGCGGTGCAACGCACAGGGGGGGCTGGAGGTGGGCCTGTAGGACTGCACCTGTTGCGGAAGGCTGAACCACTCTGCACACTAGCCAGCCCCAGTCAGACCGCATCACAGTGTCGGAGGGAAGCCGTGCGACTGTGAGCCACGGGATGTGGGGGAGCCCGCTGGCGTGGAGAGCATCGCCAGCGAAGAGGTAGATGGAGTGCACTGGAGTGGTGGTGTCGCAGGGCGCACCGGGCCCGATCAGGGGGTCTCCAAAACCACAGGTAGAGTTGTGCCTCACGGGGCACGTGGCGTTGGCACGGGCGATGTGAGGTTGTCCCAAAGTGGTGTGCCAGAGGGGGGCTGCGCAGTGAGGACAGGAGGGCCGTCAGACGCAGGTCCGGCCACGCCCGCCGCAAGAACATCCCACCCTGGCCACGGACCCGCCAACGAACGCCAGGAGCCCACCGGGGCCGCACCGGACCGCCGCAGGGGGGGGAACCCAGCCCTAAGCAGCGATGGGCGAGTGCGGCCCTGGGAGGGGAGGCGCCACCAACAGCCGTAGGAACGTCGGTGGTCTCTGTGGCCAAGAGCGGGGGACACCCGCCTCGCTCCCGCGGTGGGAGGCGGGGGGAAAGCCGCCTCTCACCTTGGTCAGGCCCCCACCCGCGTGGGATAGGGGAAGTGGTTGGTGCAGGGGGTCGCAGCTGATCGCCGCTCAGGTCAGTGAGTGTTGTGTGGGTCCTAGCAGGTTGGTCATGGGGGTCGCAGCTGATCGCCGCTAGAGTCGATATGCAAAAACTGCGGCCTGGACAGGTCGACCGGCAGGTGCGTGGGGGGGTGTTCCCTCGGCCGACCCCCCGACACCGGCGGGTGGGTGGCTGTCGTCGTCAGACAGCAAAGGGGTGAGCCCGGGCCCTGTCAGCCCTGCGGGCGGGCCCCCTGTCGTGTCAGGGGGGGTGAGAAGTCGGGTGCAGGGGGGGGCTCCCCCCGCGCTGGGCCCGAAAAGGAGGATAGGTCCGCTTGTCCAGCGTGGGCTGTCTAGCTAAGCTGCGCCGTGGGTGAGATGCAGGGTAATCTGCGCCCCAGCGGAGGTGCCCCCCTAGGTATTACGGCCTGAGCCGGGCGCGGCGAGGTGAAACGGGCCCCTTAGGGCCGAGAAGAGCCGGTAGGGAGGAACACGTTTCGTTGGCCAGGAACGCCAGAGGTGCCGAGCGGGTAGCCAGGCACAGTCACCCCTGGGGATTTTTTTTGTTGGTCGGCGGCCGCGCGACAACGGTCTGGCGGCAACAGCGATGCCCGGGGCAACGGAACACGGCGAATTACACGCGATGCGTGGTGTTCTTTGGGTTTTTTTTTTGCTGGCGGCTCCAAGGCGACCGCCAGGGAGCGGGAGCGACGTCCGGGGCGGCGGAACGGTGCGAATTGGCGAACACGGAACCCCTGGGGGTACGCGAAGCTTCACGAATTCCTGTTCCTGGGAAAAGGGGTCCAGATCTATATACGGATCCAGGCTGTGATCAACAAACCACGACGTCGGATGCCTGGGGAGTAAAAGAAGATGGGGGAGGCGGGGGAGGATACAGCCAAAGTATTGCCATAAGGAACCTTGGATAGAGGAACGGCGCGCCTTTTTGGGCGTCAGTTGCGCCTCGATGCGCAAGTGACCCGCATGCCAAAATTATGGCTGCATGGGGACGGGAAGGGAATTTTTCCATCACCAGGCCTGCCTCGAGGTTCTTGCATTCCAATCTCACACCCGGAGGACTACAAAAAACTCAGAGGCGGTGTTCCTCCCGTGTCTAAGAACTGCCCGTGCGTGCCCGCTCGCTTGCGGCCCAAGAGACTCACTCCGAGCGTGCCCGCTCGCGGGCACGGCACTTCGCGTGACCAGCGAGGCTGCCAGGAAACTCACTCCGAGCGTGCCCGTTCTCTTGCGGCACAGACTGCGTCACCAACACACTTGCCGAAACAATCACTTTAAGCGTGCCCCCAGGCGTCCGGCCGCCACCGCTAGAAGAAGAACCGTCTGCATAAGCATCAACTTTCCGAGGTCCGCTCGGACTTCTTGGATCGGCGCTGGACACCCTTGGTGGCGCCAGGACAGTGGCTAGGCTTGCCGCGGGCCGCTCTTTGATATAGTCAGTGTCCGAGAACGGCCACACCCAGACATTTGATGTCATGTTTTTCTGAAGGCGCGGCTCTCCAGGACCCCTTCCCGGGGTCCGGCTTCCCATCCCGACTCGTTCTTTGATGATCCTGACGCCCCCCCCCCTAGAAGGCAAAAGCTGGCAAACGCCACCTTCTGTATGTTTGTTGCACGGCGAGGGCGTCCAAACACGCCCTGCCGAAAATCACAGCAATCGGCTCTCCTCCGCCTCCCGCCTCCTCCTCCGTCTCCTCCACCTCCTCCTCCCCCTCGGCCCCAGACCTAGGTTTCCAGCTGCCCCGCGGGGGCCCGAGACGTCCTGGGGCCCGGCAGGGGCCCCCAGGTTTCGAAAACGGTCTGAAGACCGCCTGCCGTTGTTGGCGGCGCGCGCGAGGGGAGGGGAGAGCTTCTTAGAGGGAGGCTGCTTCTTGGAAGGCGCTGGCCCTTACATCTATAAATGAGGCCCGCGCCTTCCAGGAAGCAGGGGTGCTTCTAAGAAGCCCGCCCCCTCTCCCAACCCCCCGCTGCGGGTGGCTGGCGTTGGTTTTCACGGCGCGAGGACGTCGGGGATGATCCGCCCCCTCCGAGGGTGCACGGTGGACCCCGCCCTCGCTGCCTGGCCATCGCCCGAGCACCGTGGCCCCGGAGAAACGCGCGCGCGCGCGTCGCCTCTGTGCCCTGCATGGGGGGCGCCCTCGGCGGAAGGCACTGGCGGGCGAGGGAGGTCAATGGAGCGGATGGCCGCGAGGCGAGGGAGAAGGGCTAAGAGAGCGGGTGACCCCACATTCGAGAGGTGAGGGAGAGGGGCTAAGAGAGCAGGTTTGAATTCGTCGGTGAGGTGTTGCCCTTTTTGGGACACCTGTCGTTCTCGTGGCCACGGCTGGATTCCCCTTAAATTCCTGGCCAGAGCGAACATGATAGCAGGAGAGGTCTGGGGGTCAACTTTTGACCCCTCGGACCTCTTCGTGTCGCGAAGACAAATGAACGCGACGCGACCCCATGTTGGGAACGCTTCCTACGCGGTTTTGCCTGGAACTGCTTGGCATTGCATTGCTTTCTTGACCTTGCAGTGATTTGCATTACTTTGCGTTGCTTGACATTGTTTCCCATTGCTTGGCCTGGCTCGGTACTGCTGCGCATTGCTTGGCATCGCTGGGCCTTGCGTGGCGTTGTTTGGCGCTATTTTGCGTTACTTGGGAGTGCATGGCATTGCTGGGCGTTCCGTAGCATTGCTTGGCATGTCTGGACATTGCTTGGTACTGCCTGTATGGCTTGGAATTGTTTGGCATTGCTTTGCATCAGTCGGTATTGCTTGGCATTGCTTGACGTTGTTTGACGTTACGTGGCGTTGATTGGCCTTTTTCTTGGCGTTGAATATCCTAGGCGGCATTGCTCGGAACTGTTTGGCGTTGCATTGCTGTTCTTGGAAGTGCAGTGTGTGCATTATGTTGGTTGCTTGGCATCGCGACGCGTTGCTTGGCTTCGTTTGGCACTGCTGCGCATTGCCTGGCATCGCTCGAGATTGCTTGGCGTTGCTTGGCGCTGTCTGGCGTTATTTGGTGTTGCTTTGCATTGCTGGGCGTATCGTAGCATTGCTTGGCATGGCTGAACATTGCTTGGCACCGCTTGCTAGTGCAGCGTTGCTTGGCATTGATCAACATTGCTTAGCATTGCTTTGCAACACTCGGCATTGCTTCGCACGGCCTGGCGTTGCTTGGCGCTACTTGGCGTTGCTTGGCATTGCTTACTACTGCTTGCTATGACTTTGCGCTGCTCGGCATTGGCTCGCGTTGCTTGGCATTGCTGAACATTGCTTGACGTTGCTTGGCATTGCTCACCGTTGCTGGGCTCTGCTTCGCGTTACTAGGCATTGCTCAGCATGGCTCGGAAATGTTTAGCCGATGGACACCTCTGTACAGAGGAAACCTAGCAACCCGGAGAAACGCTGTTGTGAAGAAACGAAACCAAGCAACCCCGAGGAACGATACCGTCAGGAAGCCACACCGAAGATCCCAGAGGAAAACCTTTAAAGAAAACAAGACCAAGAAATCCTGGGGAACCAGGCGATGACCACGTCCAGCACCTCCTCTCCTACTCCTTCTCCCACTGCTCCTCTCCGCCGCCTCCTGGCTCTCCCTATTTCCTCCTGTTCCTCCGCCACTCCGCGGTAACTCGATGGCGGGGGACGTGACAGGCGGCGGCCCTTGCATGTCCGCGTCGTTGTCCTCTTCTCCCCAGATGGTGCCCTCCGTGTTCAAGATCTGGAGGCCGCTCCGCTTTTGTAGACGTGGCACTCAAGGGTGGCCCCTGGCTCGTCGTCGTCCTCCTCCTCCTGCTCCTCCTACGCCTCCTTGTTCTCCTCCTCCTCACCCTCATTGTCACCTCTCGCGCTCCCTCATCAGTGTTCATCTTGTCCGATGCCAATGCAACTGTAGAGGAATAACTAACTGCATAAAACATAGACTTTCAGGCCGGGCGGATTTCTTGGGTCGGCGCTTGACCTCATCCTTGGCGCGCGAGGAGCGCCAGGGGCGGCGCCCGAGGCGCAGACAGAGAATTCATGCTTGGCCTGTTGTTCGTCACATTTTTTGAGCAGTGACCGACCGCCCTGACATTCACAAGCCTACCACGACATTCTTGTAGAAAAAAGACTGTTCCAAGAACACAAACAATCCTTTTAGACCATCGCCCCGATGCATAAAGCCAAACCGGTCTTAGCCAGAAAGGTTCTAGGAACATGTCGTGCAAACCACGAAAAACGCTCTGTGAACATTCTTTGGTAGGCCTGTAGGCAGGTGAGGGCGCATCGCCACAGTCGGCCTGTATCATAAGGCTGCGCTATGAGCATGGAAGGGCCTTGGACGCCCGCTTCGAAGCTTTTCGAGCGGGGCGCGGCCAACGAAAGTAGTCAAGGATGGGCCGATGAGGCAAGGACGCAAGGGTACCCTTGGGAAGATTGCCCATCCTTCCTATGCGGGTCGACTGTACTGAATGATTCTTGTTTTGCTGACGGGCTGGGACCTCGTAGGTGTAACGTCCGCTCAGCGGCGGGCGCAACTCGCGATCGGCGCGCGGCGTGGAGGAGCGCGCGAGGCGGCCGGGCCGAACGCTCAGAGAAGGCCGGGCGATGCGCCGACGAGGGGGCGAGTGAGGCTGGCGACGGACTCCTTCGGCGGCGCGCGCAAAACGGTGGCGCGGGGGGGGGGGTCTTCTTGGAAGGCAGGGAGCTTCTCAACAGCCCTCCCGGCTTCGCGGAAGCCCTCTGGAGAGCCGCGGGGGATCTCTACGAAGGCCCCCGCCTTCCGAGAAGCGACCCGCCTGCTTACCCAGGCATCCGACGTCGTGTCGTTTTCACAGCATGGCTTTTCGGAAGTCTGGGCCTTTGTGGGCCCCGGAAACGGCAGGGCCGCTGTTTCACCGTTTCCAAAAAAAGTGTCCCTTGAATATGGAAGCGGCAAAAAAACGGCCACCAAAAACGGCAAAAAAACAGCTCAAGGAATGCAGCCGGAGCCGGAACGGTTCAAAAAACGGCGAGGGAACCGGTAACAAAAACGGCGTCGGAGCCGGCAGAACAACGGCACAACGGAACCGGTAACAAAAACTGCCCTGTCGTTTCCAGGGCCCACTAAGGTCTGGGCCCCTTTCCTCCCGGGTGGACCGGCTTTCCATCCCGAGTCGTTCTTGGACGGCCCCGGGGCCTGGCAAGGGCCGCCGCAGGCCGAACAGTGGCCCGAACTCTTCGGCCACGTTGCGCCTCACGGCGCGCGGGAGGCTGGGAAGGCCAGCCCCCTCGCCCCTCCCCCCCGTGGTAAGTCGGGCCCGTCCTCCTACAGAGGGATTTTGGACGACAGATAAAAAATACCTCCAAATGCTCCACAAATGCTCGAAACATCGTCCCCAGACGATGTTTTCACTAGTTTTGAAGATTCCCCCTGGTAGAAGGACAGGCCCGACACTGAACCCTTGCGCGCGCCGCCAGCTCCTTCCAGCCCTGGGACCGGGCGCAGGAGTCCACCCCCCGCGCGAGGAGCTCCTGTGAGGGGGGGAGAACGTTTGGGGGGGGGGGCCGGCTCAAAGGGGGAAGCAGGAAGCATCGAGCGCGAATCGGCGATACACCTTTAGGCGATGCTTAAGAAAACTTCAGTGTTCGGCCAGAGTCTGGATGATTCTTAATGTTTCAATGCAAATCCTAAGATTTAAATAGAAATTTTGATGTTATACCAATTTCTGAGACAATGAATTTCTTAACCCATGATTTCTTAAACATTTCGCAGGGTGTACATCGCCGATCGGTCGGCGATGGGCCCTCGATTGCGAACCAGCACGATCCTGGGCGGCTTCGGCTAGCAGGCCCCTGTCGGCGATCCAAGGGCGATCGGAGGCCGATGCGTTGCCCCCTGAGCCTGTCCCCGATCCTTGTCGTTTGGCATTCGGACCCTACCTCGGGTTTCTCGCGAGCGTTCGGGACGACCTGGCCCCCCCCTGCAAAACCGCCTAGAGCAGACAGAAACGCCCGAAAACCTCGAATCTTGAATGCCCCCCCCGAGCCCTATAACGTTGCCCCTGATCCTGGTCTCCACCGTAGCCGGCCGTCCAGGTGGCCGCCAGCAGGTGAGAGTCGCTCGGGCACCGCCCCGTGACGTCCCCGAGCTGCTCCGGCGGCGCCCACGAGCAGTTGAGGTCGCCAGCCGCGGCGGAGACCGAGTCGCCTTGGCGACGCGCCCAGGAGGAGGGAGGAGGAAGGGGGAGGGAGGGAGGGAGAAGAGATGAGGGAGGCGAGAAGGGAGAAGGGAGGAGGAGAGGAGGAGGAGGAGGAGGAGGAGAACGAGGAGGAGGAGAACGAGGAGGAGGACGAGGAGGAGGAGTGAGGAGGAGGAGGAGGAGGAGGAGGAGGAGGACCGAGACTTCTGGGCATGGCTTTCGTTTTCGCACCGGGCGTTCGCGCCCGGCGTCGGGACCATCACAGGTGCCGCAGAGAGATATTGCGGTGCGTGAAGCCCCATGGAGGTCTCGAGGACTTCCCGAGGGCTGGCTTTTCATCCAGAATAAACTTTTTGACGGTCCCAGGACCCGTTGAGGGGCCCCCCGAGGCCGAGAACAGTCCCAAGTTGGCCGCTCCAATTCTTTCGGAGCCTCGAATCTCGGGGGCCCACCCCTGGCGCCACCCTATTGTGCGCGCCGCCCGTCGCCGCTGCAGCAACACTTCCCGTGGCCCACCTTCCCGTTGATGGCCACAGCCAGCCGCTGGCTCCGCTTGGCCATGAGCGCGTGGCGCATATGCAGCTCCTGGACCAACTGCGTTCCCATCTGCTTCTCGGAAGACATGTCCAACTTCATGGCTGCAGTCAGCTCCCCGCCCATCACCTCCGCCTTGCTCAGGAGCTCGTCCTCCACCTATGTAGCGAGCGGAACAAAGCAACATAACAATACAACCATCCCCTCTTTTCGGCGAAACTGTCTCGCTTCTCGCCCGTGGAAGTGACATCCCGCCTCCCAGACAATGCGGGATCTCACCAAAATCATAATCGGTTTCCGTCTAGGCCCCAAACGGATTCCAATGAGAGCCTAAGGGGGTTGCAACATGGACACACTAATATCCCAATATGGTTCCACTCGGATTCTCATAAGAAGTTTAAACCGGATCCTAGTAGGAGCATATCCCAGTATGACTCCAACATCGGACTCACCCATAGGAGCCCTCCATTGGAAAACCCCGTCATATTCCGCCCCGTCGGATTCCCCCAAGAGTCTTGAGGCCTCTCTTGGGCTGTCTTACTCATCTTGTTCCCCTTCCCCCCACCTCGCGGTATCCAATCCCGCCAGCCTTCTGGGCGTAGGTGGTCTAACGATATCTTCCTTTCCTCATCCGAAGCCCTCTTCCTTTCGGGGAGGGGTACCCCCCGCATTCCCTCCCACGGCCCTCCCCTTCCATGGGTCTGGGCGGAGGGCGGGGCGGAGCGGTCAGATGGCCTAAGATAGCCCCAGATGTCTCCACAAGGGGCCCCGATGCTCCAAAATGGCCTCCGAGATGGCTCAATATAGCCGAAGATGGCCCAAGACGGCTTCCAACATGATCCAAGAAGCCCCAAATACCGCTTCAAGACAGTTCCAAGTGCTCTCGGAGCCCTCCCGTCTTACCACTATGAGGCCAACATCCTTTAGACACCTACAGGGCATCAATGCGTTGCGCCGTCCTGCCTGTTCGCTTGCGATGCGCTTTGAGGGCCTCAATATTGCCCAAGGTGGGGCCCAAGCGGCCCCCCCAGACTTCCCTAAGAGCGCCTCAAGAGGCGATTTTGTGGGGCCCAGAGGGAGCACCTAGACATGGGACCCCCACTTTTGATCGATGGCCCCCAAGGTGGCCCCAGGAGGCCCACGAGGGCCCCCAGAGAGCCCCAAGAGAGCCCCGAGAGGGCCTCAAGAGGACTTCAAGACCTTCAAAACAAGCCCCAGAGGACCCTAACACTCTCCAAAAGAGCCCCAAGAAGCCTCCAAGAGGCGATTTGGATGGCTCCTGAGGGAGGCCGGAATCGAGAACTCATCAAGAGGCCCTCCAGGGCCCCGGAGAGGCTCCCAAGAGTGCCCCAAGACCAACGACCTGGCAAACGAGCCTCAAGAGGAGCCCCGACATTCCCAAACAAGCCCCAAGAAACGTCCAAGAGGACCCCGAGGGTGATCTCTGTTCGCCCTGGTTACCCGCTTTCTTTCACTAGATGTGTCTCTTCGTCTTTTTTCCCGTCCACTCTCATGTGTAAGGTTTCTGAATGGGCTGGTGGGGATACGCGAAGAGTGAATACTTGATTCATTTGTCGTTGTGCTCACGATGTCGCTCGGCCATTCCCCCCCTCGGGAATTGATTCATGAATTCGGGTGCCACGAATAACGGTGGGGGGATCGTTCATCGCTTGCTATGATTACAGATGTGCACATGTAAATGCACCTGTGCATGTATTATGTCTGTAATTGTATTCGGTGCATATACATAAATATATTGGAACGGCCGTAGACCAAGATCCTGGGAGATGGAGGTGGGGGAGGAGGAGGAGGAGGAGGAGGAGGAGGAGGAGGAGGAGGAGGAGGAGGGCCGATTGCTGTGAGTTTCGGCATGGCGTCCCTAGACCTCTTCGCGCCGCGGAATCAAGCGCCACGGGAGGTTTCTGTCACTTTTCGGCGTCCGTGGAGTCCTCACGGGGCCCACTGGGCTGTCAAAAAACCGCTCAGGATGGGAAGCCCGTCCCTGAGAATGGGTCCCGATCTCTGGGAAGCCACGTCGTGAAGAAGTCACGACGCCGGACGCCTGGGTGTGGCCGTTCTCGGGCCCTGGGCCCATCAAACGGCGGCTTGCGGTACACAACTGGCCCTCTGGCGCCGCTAAAAGGGGTCCCGCGCCGACCCACGACATCCGCGCGGACCTCCGACAATCCGTGTGTTTGTAGTTTTGTTGTTCGAGCCTTGCCCGCGGTCGAGAGGAAGTGGTCGAGCAACTCCTCGAGGTCCGCAACGGTTGCCAGCTCCATGTGCGCGCCGTGTGCTTGCACAGTCGCGAACTGGTGCCAGTAGCTGGCGGCGTTCACGGACTGCCCTGCCGAGGCGATATTCAAGTCGGGGCCCTCGGAGCGATCGGGATGATGCGCTGCGAGCGCGAGGAGCGGAAGGGTCGACAGCACCATCATCGGCGAAGCCATCCTCGATGGAAGGAAGACGAGTCAGGGCCGAGGTGGACCTGCCAAAGCGTGCTGAGATGCCACGCTGATTTCTCGCTGCCGCTGCTGCGGGAGCTTCTTTTGCTTTGTGGGTCGGGCCAGAGCAGCTTGAACCGAGATAGCTACGGTCGTTTCTTGTTTGCTTTAGTTTTGTTCTCTCTCTTTCTCTCTCCCCCTCTCTCTCTCTCTCCCCCTCTCTCTCATCGTCGTGGTTATGCCACGTCGCCTCCTCGCCAAGGTCTTCCCTGTTGTCGGGCTACTCCCTGGGACCCCTCTTCGCTCCCTGGGATCCCTTCTTTTTGTTCTCTCTCTCTCTCTCTCCTTGCGAAGGCGGTGCCCCGAAGGCGCCCGTAGCGATTTTTGTTTGGGGACGCCTGGAGGCCTGATATCCTGACACCCTCGCATCGTGAAGCGAACTGCTGCTTTCTACCTCTGGGGCACCTGCCGGGCCATGGGCCATCAAAGCACCGCTCGAGATGGGAAGCCCGGGATCCTAGGAGATGGAGGTGTGGGAGGAGGAGGAGGAGGAGGAGGAGGAGGAGGAGGAGGAGGAGGAGGAGGAGGAGGAAATGGAGGGCCGATTGCTGGGCGTTTCGGCATGGCGTCCCTAGACCTCTTCGCGCCGCGGAATCAAGCGCCACGGGAGGTTTCTGTCACTTTTTGGCGTCCGTGGAATCCTCACGGGGCCCCCCGGGCTGTCAAAAAACAGCTCAGGATGGGAAGCCCGTCCCTGGGAATGGGTCCCGATCTCTGGGAAGCCACGTCGTGAAGAAGTCACGACGCCGGACGCCTGGGTGTGGCCGTTCTCGGGCCCTGGGCCCATCAAACGGCGGCTTGCGGTACACAACTGGTCCTCTGGCGCCGCCAAGGGGGGTCCCGCGCCGACCCATGACATCCGCGCGGGCCTCTGCAAATCCATGTGTTTGCATGTTTGTTTTGTATCTGCGTTGCCTCTGGGGAGCCACGTTGAGAAAACAGCGCGACGCCGGATGCAGCGCGGAGGCGGCCGACAGTGCGGCCTGCAGGGGCTCGTTTTTTCTATCGGTCTGGGTCAGGGGCTGCGGCCCGCAGGGGAAGGAATTTTGGATTTGCTGGGCATTTCTTCCCTCGGCGCACGGTCGGGTCGACTCCAACTGTGAGGTGCCGAGGGTTGGCGTCCAGCAAGCTGGACACTGTGCTCTGAGATTCCATCGGCATCTGCGATTCGATGCCTGGGCCCTTCGAACATCGGCCGTCAGTCTGTCCGGGAGCGCGTTCCGACCAGGGCTCCGAAGCGGATCCAGGCCGTGGCGACGAGGGCCCCCCCCGAGTGTCAGCATCGCGGCGTTTGCAGTCGGTGTCGGTGCAAGCGTGCGCCGCCGCGGGCGGGGACGGACACGGCCCTGCCACTCTGAAGTGGCCCCAGATGGTTCGGAAGGGGGCGTCGCGTCACGGGTTCCGCTGATGATCGTTCGGTGGCAAGCCCAGTGGGAAGGTGAGATGGGGCAGGCCTTCCGAGAAGGCGGCGGGGCTTCTTATAGAAGCCCTTCCGGCCTGCTGGGAAGTTTTTCTGCGTCTTCGGAGGAGGCGCGGAACACTTCTCAGAAGGCCAGAGGCCTTCCGAGCCTTCTGAAAAGGCCCGCCCCTTCCCACTTCCCCCCCCCTGGCGCGCCGCCGAATCGTGGTCGAGGTAGAGTAGAAGAGGAAAGAGCGGCATAAGCATAAACTTTCGGAGATCCGGCAAGACTCCTTGGATCTGCGCTGGACCCCCCTCCCTGGCGCGCGGAGCCAAGAACTCCGCGCAGAGCTCCGTCAACTTATGTTTAATAACAACTATTCTGCGCCAGCATCCGGTAGAGCATGCGGGATGGGATCATGAAACTCAGCAGTGTATACACTACCACGCGTAGTGTACGCATACACATGTGCCAACATATGGGGATTTTCACGTATGCGTTACATCTGCATGAATTCTGGTTAACTTCATACTGATAAAGGTAGTGTGTGTGTGTGCTCATGTATGTGTATGTAGCAAACTATGATACCACTTTACGTATGTGCGACACGTCATACGTACGCGTGTGAGCATGCAGGTTTGCACACTCGCATGCAATACGTACAGGTACACACATGCACACTCATTTATTTTTTACATATACATACACACATACATATACAGTTATGCAATGTATATATATACAAACAAATATATGAATAAATCTAGCGCGCGCGAGCGTGCGTGCAGACTTTCTTCCCTGGAGACGCCCTCCCGAAGCAGCTCAGCTCCCAAGACGCTCTCCCGAGACCCCCCCCCCCCAAGACGCCATCCCAAGACCCCCCCCCCCCCAGACGCCCTTCCGAGACTGCCCCCCGAGACGCCCTCCCGAGACTGCCCCCCAAGACGCCCTCCCTGTAGAAACATCCCCCAAGACGCCCTCACGAGACACCACCCCGAGACGCCCTCCCAAGACGCCCTCCCGAGACCCGTCCCCCAGGACGCACCCCAAAGACGAGCGGCGGAGAGGCGTCGAGGCGTCTCCCAACTGGGGAGATCACGGCCCCCCCCCGCCCGCCTGCATGGAGTCCTTTCTCCCCCGATTGGGCCGAGCTCTTTAGAGGGCAGAAAATCCACCCCGATAATAACCACCCCGACATGCGAGGCCTTTAGTAAACGCGCCCAAAGAAGGAATCGAACAGGGCATAGCTGTTTAGTAAACGCCCAAGGCCGCTTAGTAAACGCCAATTTGTCCGGTCCGGGTGTTTTTCCTCCCTTGACTCTTGGCGCAGCCAGAGGGGGTTCTCGGAGAGGGCCCCATGGACGGTGACGAGCTAGCGGCCATTCCTGCAAACCACTGGCTGCGCCGATTTCTTGGCGCAGCCAGCGGGCACTCCGAAAGGCCAGGCCCGACAACAAAGTCCAAATCTTGCCATCCGACGTCGTGAATTCTCACCACGTGGCTCCCCTGAAGTCTGGACCCCTTCCCAAGGACCGCCTTTTCATCCTGAGTCTTTCTTTTTAACTGTCCCGGGCAGCGTGGAACAGCAAACGACAACTCCCTTTGTATTCTTTTGGTTTTGCGACGCGAGGGAAGTCACGACATTGCTAATAACCGGCCGTCCCTATCTGGCCAGCTACGAAAACCCGGATTCCAGACAACTGTTGATGACTCACTTTGACATCCGCCGCCTCCCGCAGCACCTCCGCATGCTGCCGCCGGCGGATCCGCAGCCGCTTTTCTTCCGCCGGTTTCCGCCGAGTGCCAGACGCACTGAATGCGAGGGCCTTTCTGGAAAGCCATATCGTGTGCTTCTTCACCACGCGAGGATGCCAAGGTCCTCCAACTCTAGTCTCCGGCGGCCGTCTGTGACGATCGGCCCATCCCCGGACTGCTCTCGGAGAGGCGCAGCTGCTGGAAGGCATCCCGAAGCCGCCAAGAACCGCCGAACACGATCTCCTCCGACCCCTCACGCCATATTTTTTCACAACGTGGCTCCCAGAGGCCTGGACCCCTCCTCCGGGTTTCTGGACGGTCCCGGGGCCCAGCGATGGCCCCCAGAGGCGTCTTCTATCTTTCTGTGCTTCACAACAGAAAAACCTGCAACCCTCCCCGCCGTGCTTCTTTTCACGACGCGAGGGGTCCTGGGTCTCAGACCTCTCCGGGCCGCCGCGCTTCCTGGGTCAGGGGGACGTAAGACCTGGGTACAGGGGACTCGGAAATCCCCGACGAGGTCGTCAGAAAAATGACGAGGCCGAGCCTGCATTTTGACGAGGCCTCCCGCTGCAGACATACCACGAAACTCCTCCTCGTCAAAATCCGAGGCACGGTCGTCAAAAAAACGATGGCGAACCCGAGTCCTGGCAAACCCGGGTCTTACGCTCCCCCGACTGGGGCGGCGGCGGCCCCGCAGCGCTGCGCGGCGCGCCCCGGCCCCGGCCTTCTGCCAGCCCAGCGGCTTCAGCTTCGCGAGCTGCCGGCGAGCGTGCGCCCCCTCCTCGGGCCCGGCCGCAAGGGGGGGGGGGGGAGCCTGTGCCGGGGGGGCGAGGGCGAGCGAGCCAGCGAGCCACCCTTGAAGGGGCCCCAGGACACACAAATAAATACACATAAATAAAAATATTCTCCATATTTTCCAATATTTTCTGGGTTTTTGTTTTCACGCCCAATTCCCATATTTTCCAATATTTTCTGGGAATCGCCGATTAATTGTGTCTGTGTGTTTTTTCCCCTCCTGACTATAGGACCTGGTGGGGAGGCCGTGGCCTCCAGAAACCGAACCGATGAGCTGCGCGCAGTCACGCGAATCTGAGCAGCGAGAGAATCGAAACAAATTATGGCGGAAGCGCGGGGGGACGAGGGGCGGTAAACAAAAACTGGTCCGCACGCGATCGTGCAAATGAGCAGCGAGACGATCAAAAAGTTATGACGGAAGCGGGGGGGCGAGGGGCGGTCAACAAAAACTGGTCCGCCGTCGGGGACGCCTGCCCCAGGGCGGCTGGGACATTTTAGCCCGCTACGGTGGGGCACGTCGGGGTGTGCACTGTCCCGACGCCATGGTGCAGGCGTCCTCGACGGTGGGCCCCCTGCCTCCCCCCTGGGGGGGCTGTCGGGTTCGACGCCCCTCCCGAAACCCAGACCTCCTCGCGCCGTTCAAAAGCTACACGGCGGGACGTTTTTGGCAGCCTTCGGCCTCCAATGGCCCTTCCTGGGCCCCGGAGCCATCACGAACGGCCCCGGATGGAAAGCCGGTTCCTTGGAAAGGGGCCTCGACCTCTGATGGGCCACGCTGCAAACAAACGTAACAACCTCGGCTGTCTTGAAGTATCGTCGATCTCACGGGGCCTTCCCAGGGGTTACATGTAGGAAGAAGCTCGTCACCCCCAATTGTAGCTGGTCGGCTGGTCCTCCTCGTCCTTCTTCGTGGGCGGCGCCTCGGAAGAGCGGGCAGCGAGGGGGCAGGATGAAGGAAGAAGCCGAGAACGCGAGTGCTGAGGTCTGAGGGGCCGAGGTGATTCGTACTGAGCGAATACGTTCCCTCCGCCTCCTCCTCCTCCTCCTCCTCTTCCTCCTCCTCCTCCTCCTCCTCCTCCTCCTCCTCCTCCTCCTCCTCCCTCCTCCTCCTCCTCATTCTCCTCCTGCTCCTCCTCTTCCTCCTCCTCCTCCTCCTCCCCCTCCTCCTTCTCCTCCTCTTCCTCCTCCTCCTCCTCCTCTTCCTCCTCCCCCAGCAGGCGGCCGCGAGTCTTCCTCGCGCGGCCGGCGCTTTTTGGTCGGGAGCCGGCATACTCATCCGTAGCCGGGGACGCCTCCCCCGGGGATGGCCGGCTGTCTGAGACAGCGGCCACTCCCAGGGGGGAGGGGTCTGCCGGCCGGGGCCTCTACCACCCGATACACGGGACCTCGGCGAGCCCCGCGAGGATGAAGTAGGCCAGCTTCCCGACGGGCTGGCCCGCGCGGCGCCGCCAGCCAGTCGCCCCGCGCAGCCGCCCCCTCCTCCTCCTCGCCTCTGCCCCGCGCCCGCCTGCCGCCGCCCGCGGCCCGGGCGGCTCTGGCGGCAGCCTGGCGCCCCCGCCCAGCTCGCCCTCCTGCTCCTTCGAGAGCCGCCCGGCGTGGCCTCCGCGCCCGGCAGCCCGCGCCAGCCCCGCTGGTCGCGCAGCGCCCGAGCCGGAGCTCGCCTCGCCCCAGCAGCCCCCGCCGCTGCTCAGCGCCCAGCGGCAGCCCGGCGGCCTGGCGCCCCGGCAGCCGGCGCCGGCATGGGGCGCGGCGGGTGGCAGTCTAGCCCCCTGTTCCGGCTCCGCGCCTGGCGCTGGCGGCCCAGTCCTGCGCCTGCGTCGCCGCCAGCACCGAGTCGGCGGCGTTCCGCTGGAGGACGCACCCGAGCGACTGGTGCAGTCGCCGGATGGCCGCGGAGCGTGCCGTGTCCTGGGCGGGCGCCAGCAGCCTCGTCAGGGCCAGCGCCTCCTCCCCCAGGCGGTCGTGGTCCTCGACCACGAAGGGCACCACAGCCACCCCGGGGTACTTAGTGGGCCCGCTTGCGCCGCGCCACGGCCGCCGCCGCCGCGCCGTCCCGCCGCGCCGAGCCGAGCGCGAGCGCGTCTTGTGTGAGCGCGCTCACCACGGTCAGGTCGACCATGAGTGGCTCAGCTAGACCCTGGGCGTGGGCGACGAGGTCCATCCGCGCCTCCGGGCTCGCCGGCGCGGCGTGCGGGAGGAGGACTTCTCGGTGTACACGGTGCACCCTTGTTCCTCGCACAACTCCGCGAGCGCCGCGCAGCCCGCGTCGTGGCGGCGGGCCAGCCATCCGCCCACCTTGCAGCCGCGGGCGTGCCGCCCCTTGGGGTCCAGTGGCTCGCCGCAGACTCTGCCGTCGGGGTGCCGGTGCTGGCAGAGCCTCGGCGGCCGTGGCCCTGCTGCGCCCGCCGCGGGCGCGGGGGCCGTGCAGCCAGGCAGGTCGAGGTTGAGCCGGCACCGCAGCGCAATGTGACCTCTTGGGCGGCGGCTCCCTGCGGGCACCCCTCTGATCGAGGCTCCGGGATCGAAGCCAGAGGACGGAGCTTCTGCGGGTATCACGCGCCTTTTTTTGGCGGCACCTCCTGGTGCAACCCCTGGTGGCCGCGGCTGGACTCGCGCCAGCGTCCTGGCCAGGGCGCGCCCCTGGACAGGTCCAGATCATCATATGTCATCTTCGCTCCTCCTCCTCCTCCTCCTCCTCCTCTTCCTCCTCCTCCTCCTCCACCTCCTCCTCCTCCTCCTCCTGCTTCTCCTCCTCCTCCTCCTCCTCCTCCTCCTCCTCCCTCCTGGACATGTCCAGGGGGAGGCCCGGACGTCCAGGCGTCGCGGACAAAAAGCTCTACGGGTGCTTCTCCCAAGCTGCGGCCTCTGGGGGCTGCTTCCAGGCCCCGGGGCCGTCCAGAGACGGCCCGCGGCGAGGAAGAGGTCTCGAGGAGGGGGCCGGAGGCTCCGGGAGCGAGCTCTGGGGAACCACGGCACGTGGTGCCCGATGATCTGCGCAGCCCTCTTCCTGGGCGATTGATTCAGCCGTGGATGGATACTACGGCTGAGCAATGAGAACTGCCTCCCCGTCCCCCCACGACGAGGGAAGCAAGTCTTGACGGAATCGTGGGCCCTATGGCCTTCCCCCGAGGCCCCTCTTCATCTTGAGCAGCTTTCCACAATCACGGGCCCCTGCTCAGAGGCCTGGTGCCTGGGGGCCGAAGACGGGGAACAATCTTAGGACCCGTGTCCCTGAAGACCTCTTTCCTTCATGGCGAACTCCTCCTTTTCCTCCTCCTTTCCTCCTCCTCCTCTTCTTCTTCCTCCTCCTCCTCCTCCTCGTCCTCCTCCTCCTCGTCCTCGTCGTCCTCGTCGTCCTCGTCGTCGTCGTCGTCGTCCTCCTCCTCCTCCTCCTCCTCCTCCTCGTCCTCCCTCGCAGGACACTGCTTACCCCCGTCCTCGCCGAGCTAATCATATTGGGCCCAAGATCGGTGCACACGTACTCCCAGCTTGGCCACGAAAGCATGCGCACCAATGCCGCGCTCAGGAACGAATTGGCCTTCCCACTCCTCTTCCTCCTACTTCTCCTACTTCTCCTCCTCCTCCTCCTCCTCCTCCTCCTCCTCCTCCTCTTCCTCGCCTCTGCCTCTTGTGGTACACGGTATCCTCCAGCAATTGTGTGGAACCTCTGGAGGCTCCCAGACCCTCCGAAAACCTTCCGAGGCCAACGCGTCTGTGAAGAACACATATTACAACAAGGATCATCTCATTCCCTTCCCTTGCTTCCTCGTGATACTATGCACCCGCCTCCATGTCCTTCTCCTCCTCCTCCTCCTCGACCTCCTCCCCCTCCTCCTTCGCTTCAACCAACTCCTCCTCCTCCTCCTCCTGCTCCTCCTCCTCCCCCTCCCCCTCCTCCTTCTCCTCCTCCTCCTCCTCCTCCTCCTCTTCCTCCTTCGCCTCAACCATCTCCTCCTCCTCCTCCTCCTCCTCCTCCTCCTCCTCCCACTCATCCTCCTCCTTATCCTCCTCCTCCTCTTTCTCCAGCAGGCGCCCTCGTGAACTGCCAAAAAGGAGCACGAACACCGGAAAACGTATGACATTAAAACGCACGTTCTGGAGCCGCCAGACACATCCACTCCTGACCCCCTGCTTCACCCTTCTCCTTCGCCACCTCCGTTTCCCTCTCTCCCTCCTCCCCCTGCTCGTCGGTTGCTCATGAGGGGGCCGCATGCGAACCCTACCCCTACCCCCCACGATTTCTGAGGGGGAGGGTGGGGTTCACTTCGCTCGGAACCTCCCGAGCGAAGTGAACCCCAGCCTACCCCTCAGAGATCATCGGGGGTAGGGGTAGGGTTCGCGTGTGGCCCCCTATCCTGGCTCAGGAAGTCGAGGCTGACATCGCGGGGCGCCTCGGGGCGCCCGCCGGCTCGCCCTGACGCCGGCGGAACCCGGGCCCGGGCTCCGCGCCGCGGGGCCGCCCACAGGGCGCTCGTGGCGGCCAGTGCAGCTGCGGGCCTCGCCGCCGGGCACGGGCGGCGCTCCGCCGCGCAGATCTCCTGCGCGGCCGGCGGCGGCGGCGGAGCTGCGCGCGCCGCCCAGCGCCACGCCGCCTGCGGCCGTGGCCGCCCCCGTCGGCGATGCCTCGGAGGCGCCGCCGACGGGGCGGCTGTGGCGGCCGTGGCGGGCGCGGGCGTGGCCGCGGGAGCGGCCCGACGCCCGCGTGGTGACGGTGGGGGGGGCGCGCGGGCTCGGCGGCGGGCCCGCCGTCGCCAACGAGCCGCCGCCACCCAACGCGTGGGCCGACGAGCTGCCGCCGGTGCGTCGTCGCGGCCGCGTCGACGGCGGCAGGGGCCAACGCGAGGGATGTGGTCGGGCGCTCGGCTCGGCCCGAGCTGGCCACCGTGGTGACGTACCTCGGCCCGAGCTGGCCACTGCTGGCCGGGCGCGGCGCGGCGCGGCTCGCCGATTCGTGGGCGAGGGCGGCATGCCGCCGGCGCCGCGGCCGTGCGCGGCCGCCAGAGTATTTGGGGGCAGCGCCGCGCTGGCCGCCGTGGCTCGAGTCGCCCGCCTGGGTCGTACGGTCGGAGGGCCCCTGGCTGCCCCCTGGCCCCCGAGGGTGGAGGCCGAGACCCTCCGCGGGCGCGCGGGCCGTGGGCGGCGCGGGCCCTCTGCCTCGTCTCAGGTCGGGCGTGTCCCCCTACAGGGGAACTTTGGGCGAAAAACAAAAAGGACCCCCCAAAACACCCCAAAATGGTCAAACAATGATAGGAACATAGTCCCCATACTATTTGGGACTATTTTGGAATGTTCCCCCTGTAGAGGGACAGGCCCGGCTGACTCCTCGCTCCCTCCGCCCCAACCGCGAGGGTGGGCAACACCTACGAATGGAGAGCGAAGGCGGGAGCAAAACGCATCGCGGGTGGAGCCAGAACACTATTTACTTCGCGCGCTCCCCCGCATGGAAGAATTGCCGACCTTCGCCGGACACGCGATTACTCAAGTTGGGCTCGCGCAATGTACGATGCACTCGAAAAGCATACTTCCTGCTTGAACTCAGGCCAATCTTCGAATCAATAGCTTCCGTCATTCCTCCTCCTCCTGCTCCTCCTCCTCCTCCTCCTCCCCCCCCGAGAAAGAAGGCCCCGCGAGCGCGGCTTCGGGGCGACTTGGGCCTCCAGAAGGGTGCCTTGCCCTTCCCTTTCGCCTCTCCTTTCTGGGTACTCCCCCCCGCCCCCTCCTTATCTCCTTCTCCTCCTCCTTCTCCTCCTCCTCCTCTGGACATCCGATGTCGAGCATTTTCCGAGGTCTGGACTTCCTCCCTGACGATCAGTTTCTCAATCCGAGTCGCCCTTCGACGGCCCCAGGGCCCAGCAGAGGGCCCCCATGCGCCGAAACGGCCAAAAGCATTCCGCCGTCAGTTTCTCGCCCTCCTCCTCCGTCGGTCAGTCGATGATCAACTGCTGCTGCGGTCTAGAGGCGATCGTGCGCGCGCATCAATGCCACAAGCGACACGTCGCCTGCCTTCTCGGACACCCACGCCAGGGTGCCGGCGCACGGGACGAGGGGGGTCCACGGGGGGGGGCTCCGCGCGTCCGCGCCTTCGCGGCGGCCTTGGCCTTCGGAGGCGGGGCCTTGCCCTTGCCCTTCGCCTTGCCCGCGCCTTCGGCGGGGCCCTCCGCCTGCGCTGCGCGCGGCGTCGCCCAGCCCGAGGCGGAGATGCCGACGCCGTCGTCGTCGTCGTCGTCGTCGTCGTCGTCGTCGTCGTCGTCGTCGTCGTCGTCGTCAGCGTCGTCTCGGCGGTCTCCGCCGCCGCCGCGGTCGTACCGTCGTCGCCGCCACCGACGCCGCAGGCGGGTGAGGGTTGGGACCCGCTCGATGACGTCACGAAGCTGGGAGGGGTATAATAAGGCAGAGGATGATGAGATCTGGGGGAAGGGCCGACCGTGCCACAAGAAGCAAGAAGCGGAGTTGGAGCAAGAGGAGGGGGAATAACATGATCAGCAGTACGCAAGTGGAGGACTTGAAGGAGGAGGATGAGGAGGAGGAGGACGAGGGGGAAGGATCTGGAAGAGGAAGACACAATTACACCATGACGCAAGCGGAGGGATCGCACCTGGTCGTCACCGCTGTCACGTAGCGACTCAGAATAACCTCTCGGAAAACCGACCCCGCGAAGTGTTCAACTCCTGCACCTGGGAACCACACCGCCGTCGAATCCACCACCTCTACATCTTCACTTTTACGCAGACCAATCCCATCATTCAAGTCAGACATAATCACTGGAACCGACCTATGAAGACAAGCTGCCAACTCACGACGCCAACGCCACTGCGTCATGACCCTGGAAGTTCGCTTGTAAGCTGGCCGCTTCTTGGTCTCCGCCGCCTTCGGAAGGCAATGCTGCGCTAGAATCGGGAATTCCTCCGTCAACGTTCTAATTCGCACCGCTGAACACCGACTGATATCCCACAGCGCTCCGACAGCCCTAACGTTTTCATCACGAATCGACGGTGCAGAAGGACAGCCACACCGCACGACTTGTTGGAGTTGGGCCCGCGTTGCCACCCAGCCTCAATCAAAAGACGCCCGCGGACTCGGCGCCGTTGAATGTCTAGCTCTTTGGCCTTCAGCTAGGTTCCCGTAGTAACCACCGCCTCCACATCAGGGAACTCCGGGCGTATGTCATTAATCTGCGAACAATGCGTGTACATGCATGAGGGCTAAACCGAAACAGCTTCCATGAGGGGCCAGCGAAACTCTGACGGGCACGCCAGAGTGGCACGAAGAGCCGGAAGAAACAATACAGGCAATTCTGCCATGTGGTCTAAGCCGCCCTGATGCTGAAGCCAGAACTACGGCTAGGAGGAGGAGGAGGCGAAGGAGGGGAATGAGCAGGATCAGGATGAGGAGCAGGATGAGGAGGAGGATGAGGAGGAGGAGGAGGAGGAGGAGGAAGAGGAGGAGAGGGAGGAGGAGGAGGAGGAGGAGGAGGAGGAGGAGGACGAGGAGGAGAAGGAGGACCGGGAGGAGTGGGAGGGAAGGGATCAGGGAGGGTGCGAGGAAGAAGAGGAGCGAGGAACGAACGACTGGGGGAACGAAAGGGAGGGCGAGGGGCACTGGAGACGGAACCACGGGGCGAGTCGTCGTCTCCTCTCTCCTTCCTCGCTCTTGTCGTCGTCCTACCTCCTCACCATCCTCCTTCCTCCTTCACTCTTTCCATCCTCCCTCCCCCTTCTCCTTGAACCGCACTGCTTCTCCTCCTCACCCTCGTCGTGTGCAAAGCCAACGGCCGCATGTTGGGTACCCCCTCCTGAGGGTCTACACACGTGAAATCTTATCCCCAAGGCACGCGTGCCACAGCGTGAGAACGGGTAGGCTTGGAGAATGTACCCAGCACCACATCCGTTCCAAACCCGTCCTGAACACCCTGAGAGCGCTCCGGAACGCTCTGCCGCGACTTCTTCTTGTTTTACCCAGATGGCCCAGACACCCGTCGTCGTGACTCTTCGCGACGTGGCACCCCAACTGTCTGAACCCCTTCCTGGGGATCCGCCTCTCAGCCTGCAGATTGCTTGACGATCCTGGGGCCCGAGGCGCGCTCCTAGAAGCTGAAACCTGCCAGAACCTACCTAGAGGAAAAAGAACTATGCACATACACCGATCCTGGCCAGGCCCATCCTGAGCCCAGGATCGGTGCACACGCCCTCCTGCCTTGGCCAGGAAGGCATATGCACCGATCCTGGGTCAAGGGTGGGCCTTGCCAGGATCGGTGCATGTGCATAGTTCTCTTCGCCCAACTACCTCCCCATCGTGATTGCCTGAGGCGCGATGATGTCAGGGCAGCGCTGAGCAGAGCGGAGCGCGCACCTGTCCGCTGGGCGGCGGGGCCTGGAAGGCCAGCGCGGGCGGGCCGGCACCCTGGCGTGCAGAGGCGGGTGCCCTCGGCGGGTGGTGCTGCGAGCCGTGCGTGCTGCAGAAGCGCTGCTTCCGAGGTGCTCCCTTCTGTGCTGCTGTGTGCCAGGGTGTACACCCTGGCACCGCCACCGGTGTCGGGGCAGGCCTGCCTGAATGACGGCTGTTGGTCGAGCGAGACGGAGCCGGATCGAGGGGCCCGGTGCGGCGAGGCGAAGCGTCGGGCTGGCAGCGGTCCACCGCGGGAGGCGGCCGTCGTCATCGTCGCCGTCGTCGTCGTCGTCGGCGGCCGGCGTCGTCGTCGTCGGCGTCTCCTCGTCGGGTCGACGTCTGCTCGTCGCCGACTCCTCGTCATCGTCGTCGTCTCCCCGTCGTCGTCAATGTCGTCGTCGTAGTCGTCTCCTCGTCCACGTCTTCTCGTCGCCTCCTTGTCGTCGTCGCCATTGTCTCCTGCACCTTCTCCGCCTCGAGCCCCGATGACAAGCCGGTGTGCCTGTCCTTTGCTGGGCGGACGAGCGTGCATTCGTGCTTCCTCGTCCCCCAGCCTGCTGACCTTCCCTCCTGGGGGCCGCCTTTTCCAGCTTCTCCCATTCTCCCCCTTCTTGCATCGTGTCGTCCCTGACTCTCTGCAGTCCCATCTCGCTTCGAATGGCGAGCGCGGCGCTCCTGTTCACTGCCCTCCCTCCCTCGTCGCGCCAATTTTCCTCCTCCTGGTGCTGCTTTCTACGCCGGCCAGGCTCCGAGCGACGGAGCTCGCAGCGTCTGATCGGTCTCTGCAACAAGCTCAGAGAGCGTGCGATATACACTCAAGCATGCAAGCAGTATAGCCACCCTGGTGCAGACTAGGCGGCGCGGGAGGTGCAAAGAGAAACAGACAAGTGGCGAAGCCCGCTGCGGGCGCCCACGCTCCCCCCCTCCCCGCCCAGCCGCCGACAGTGGACGCGCCCGCCTTGGGCGCTGGGGGAGCTGGCCCCTTCTTCCCCTTGCCCTTCTCGGGCGGCTTCTGCTCGGGCTCCTGCGGCGGCGCGCCGGCCACGAGAGCCGCGAGGATGAAGGGGGGCATCGGCTGCAGGGAGGAATGATGAACAACGCGAGGGTGATGATGCTGACGAGGACGAGGAATGTGCAAGAGTGTGCAGCTTGGCGACAACAGAAAGCGCAAGGCACCAAGAGAACCCGTGTGAAGGGAAACACCCTGGCCATTGTCACCTGACCACTCGCGGCCACCGTCCCGCAGTGGTGTGACGCCGCTGGTGGTGCTGGGTAAACGAGACGAGGGGGAGAGGGAGAAGGAGGAGGAGGAGGGGGAGGATGACAAGCTAGGTGCGCTCGCGTCATATCTGACGTCCTACCCCTCCCTCCCATCCCTTACCATGGCGCTGATTTTCTCTATCCGCGGAGGCGTGTCGTAGCGGACCTGTGGCTCCGCGCGCGCGTGCGAAGTGGGTGGTGGTGCACGTGCGTGCGTGCGTGCGTGCGTGCGTGCGTGTGTGCGTGGTTGTGGTGGTGGTGGTGGTGGTGGTGGTGGTGGTGGTGGTGGTGGTGGTGGTGGTGCTGGTGCTGGCTGGTGGTGGTGGGTGCTGGTGCTGGTGGTGGTGGTGGTGGTGGTGGTGGTGGTGGTGGTGGTGGTGGTGCGGCGCGGTGGTGGCGGGCGGATGGGCGCGCGAGAAAGAGGCCCGCGCTGGGGCGAGAACGCCATCCTGAACGACGGAGGCCAAACACCGATCCGAAAATGAGGCCCACGCTGCAGCGGGAGCACGATTCGGAACGATTCGGGAGCAGAAATGAGGCCGGCGCCTCAGCGAGAGCATCATTATATATATATATATATATATGTAACAAAAAAACGCAGGCGAAAACCCGTTTCCCGGGAATCCTGTGTAAAAAACAATACGCGGGGGGCGTTCGGCCCGAAAATGACGCCGGCGCCTCAGCGAGAGTCGTTTCCCGGGATTTTCCGGGCATCCTGCGTAAAAAAACAGTACTCGGAGAATCCGCGGCCATCACCCGGACGCCATCAGGGGAAGAGGGAGAGTATTTTCATGTTGAGTAATTGTGGAGGAGGAGGAGGAGGAGGAGGAGGGGGAGGAGGAGGAGAAGGAAGAGGAGAGAGAGGAAGTGGTGGAGGAGGAGTGGAGAGGAGGATTGCGACTCGAAGGATCTCCGTTTCTGGCCAGCACCTGACGCAAACACCCACACGTGCCGAGAACAGAGACCACTAGCAGCACTGAGCGGGCCCACCAGAAGAAGGCTGAACATGGCAACGAACTGACGTGTTTTTCACGACGCGAGGGTGTCAGGGGAGGGCGAGGGGGAGGATGAGGAGGAGGAGGAGGACGAGGAGGAGGAGGAGGAAGAGGATGAGGAGGAAGAGGAGGAGGAGGAGGAGGAGGAGGAGGACGGAGGAAGAGGATGAGATGAGATGTGTAAAAGGTGAAATGGAAAACCGAAATCGCCCACCACGCTCGTTTCTTCGGCGCCGCGCAGCCGTGACGGCGTGGCGGCTCCTGCCACACTACTGCACCGTGGGACGGCCAGGGCCGACGTGATATGTGCGAACCCAAGAACTCTGAACTCAACCGCGGCGTCGCACTTGCAACTGATATTAATTTCCAGGCGGCGGCGAAACGCCCCTCGGACCAATTGTTCCCGCAGGCCCCGCCCCGAACGCTCGCAAGACATGGCGGCAACTCGCTCTTGGAAGGTGGATTTGGGTGTCCCCAACCATGTGTCCTCAGTGGGTGCTGAATTGCAAACCCATTGCATACGTGTCGCCACTCCAGATGCTCCTATTCATTTGCAGCCAGTAGTCGTGAGTTCATTTGGACCGAACTCCAGCGTCCGAGCTTTGTCCATTGAGGGTAACGCGTCGCCCGACCAATGTCTCATGCGCAATCACAATGGAAGTCACGGGTTCGCAACCGCAGAAGCGAACTTCGCATTCTGAGATGATAGCCAACGTGGGCCCCACACAATGTGTTCTAGCGAAGTGGTGGTGTGTTTCTAACATTGTGTTTTGTGCAATGCGTGTGGGCAATATGTGTGGTGCAACACGCGTGTTGCAACCTACGTTGCGCAATCTATATGGCGCAACGCATGTTGAGCAATCTATGTGGTGCATCATCGGTTCTGCTGTTTATGTGGTGCACCATATTTGGTGCAATCTACGTGGGGCCTTACAAATTGTGAGCTATATGTGGAAAAAAATGGTGCCATGTCGGTGGTGCAACCGATGCTGCGCAATGCTGTGCAACCTATGCTGTGCAATCTATGTGGAGCACTCTCGGTGGTACAATGGGCATTTGGCAATGAAACCAGCAGAAACGGCAAGACCAATGTCGAAACCGATGCTGTTCACGCCGGTGACGATGATGGTGTCCACGTGTCGGCAATGAGGAAGTTGGAATTTCGACATGCGCGCGCGGCCGACGTGGGCGAGTGGCCCGCATGGCATGATGTGAAAATGGAAGCGTCCCGCCCTCCCCAGCAAGCGCGCACGGGCGTTCGAATGATTGCGGAATGCGCGGGCGAGAGGCCTGCTTGGCCGAATTTGATGAAAATGTTGGAAACCAGCGGTTTTACCGAACAGTCGCGAGAACGCGCGCGCAAGTCTTTGTTTTGAAAAATAGGGATTGCAAGCTGGTGGTTCTTATATGTGTTCGGGAACCTCGATCTTGAACTTCGCACGCAACCTACGGATTTGGAAACAATTCGGCATGCGCGCGCGACGACGCGCGCGCGTCTGGACGTTATTGAAATTTTGCGCGCTCACTTGTAAAATCCTTACGACTTCTTATACATGGGTGTGCGCGCAAACAAACCATGTGGCAGGGATGGGAAAAAGGTGTGGCGGTAAGGGCGTCAAGCTGGAATGGTAAACGCTCATATTGGAAAACGAACGATGGGGTATACTCGCATCTAAACTGCACGACCCCACGAGGGCCCATAATTCCGGGGGTGGGGGGTGGGGGTGGTCTGGACATCTTTTTAAAAAGAGGGTGTGTACCTATGTATATATAATATGGTATAACCGACGTGGTGCAATCTATGCGGTGTGGTTCACCCTGCCGGCCTTGAAATTGTCAAAACCACACCTCGCGCAACCCGTGCGGCGGCGATTGCGATGACTGCTTGGCGTTGGTTGGCGCATCGCTGCGGCCGCGCTAGCGCGTACAGGCTCGAGCGCAGAGCGGCCAGCGAGTCTGGCGCGACCGACGCGGCCGCAGTGGCGCTGACCGCCGGGGGCTTCCCAGCGCGTATCGCAAGCCGCATGAACGCGGGGCCACTTCAATGCGAGGCGGTGAGTCGAGCGGGCGCGGTATCATGGCGACGCCGACAACGGTAGACGCGATGATGATAACAGAGATGGTGGTGACGATGATGGCAACGCCGACGGCAAGGCCAATGATGGAGCCGATGCTGATCACTCCAATGAAAATTGTGGTGTCCACGTGTCGGCGTTGAAGGTTTTGGAAGGATTTCGACGTGCGCGCGCGGCCGACGCGGACGAGTGGCCCGCATGGTGTTATTTGAAAGGGATCGTGCTACCCCAACAAACGCGCAAAAGCGTTCGAGTGATTTCGACATGCGCGCGCGAGGCCCGCTCGGTCGCATCCGACGATAAAGCTGAGATAAGAAAACCTGTTCCCACAGAGTATGCAACCACACCACGCGCGTTTTTTGAAAACAGCTACTTCTGTTGTGAAACGCATGTTTCTGCATGTTTTCGGGAAGCTCGATCTTGAATTCCCTGTGGAACCTTTTGGATATCGAAACAAATCGGCATGCGCGCGCGACGACGCGCGCGTGTCGACTTTGCCAATTTCTAGTGCACAAGATCGGTGGATGTGTCAGATTTCAATATACAAAAGGGATGCAGCGGGGCGATAACGACACTCTCTTCAATTATATGAATTTACACCTAAACGAAGTACAGTGCAGAATCGTATGTAAATGGGCGTGCTCCAAGAGGGGTACACATAAGTTGTTGTACAGGGGGCGGGTCGTAGATCCTCGGGGCTAGCGCAATCAGCATCTCATCCCAAATGCGGCGGCAAAGGGCGTCGGCGACGGGCGGCGACGACGCGGCGGCGGGCGGCGGCGAGCGGCGACGGGGCGGCGCCGGGGCGGCCACAGGCGGGCCGGAACGGCACCCAAGCCTAAGACGGGTGGCGGCGTCGGGCGGCGACGAGCGGCGACGGCGCCGACGGGGCGGCCACAATCCGGCCGGGCCCGCAGCCAGGCCCATATCTTTATCCGCCACCCTGGCCTCGAGGCACCAGTTGGAGTATCCCCATGTCCTTTACCTAATCCCTTAAATCCTAGCCTTCGTGTCTGAGGATTCATTTAAGGGTCCGGGCCCCAAGTTCGCAAATCTCTTGCGGCTTGTAGCGTGTCTCTACGGCTCCCCACGTTTCCCCGCGTGACCCCCAAGACGGGCCACGAAGCTCCCAAGAGCCCGCCAAGACGATCCAACAGGGTGCCGAATCGCCAATGGCCTCGAGTCGGCCGAAAAAGCACTCAAGATGTCCCAAGATGCCAAAACCATTGATGTTAATCAAGTGATTGAAAGATTTTGACGTTTTCGTCCGCACGGCTTCCCGACGCTCCAAGATGGCCCGAAGAGGCCCCCAAGAGCCCGCCAAGACGGCCCAAGAGGCCTCCGAAAGGGCACCCAAATGGCCCCAGACGGCCCCGAGACAGCCCAAGAGGCCTCCAGGACAGCCCCGAAGGCCATCATGACAGACGGGGGACCCGAACGGACATTCCGAGCCCTCAGCCCCAAGAGGCTCCCAAGAGGTTACCAGATGCCCCCAAGAGGCCACCAGGAAGTCCCAACAGGCCCCCAAGAGGCCCCCGGGAGACCCCCAAGAGGCCGTCAAGAGGCCTCAACACTCCCCCGGAGGCCCCCGATAGCCCTGCGTAATCTGAACCGCAACCCAGGCACAGTGGCAAGAAGTAAGAATCCCTAAGTGCACGCACTGTTTGGGAATGAAGACGCAATATTTGAAATCACATCGTGGAAAACGCAAATGCGAATTAATAGTTTGGACAAAACGCAAAAGGTGTATTCATATCTATTCTTCATGGCTCCCAGAGCGAAAACAGGAATTTGCACTATGAAGAACGCATTGGCTGGGCAATGAGTATCCGCTCACGGACAACGTTCGGGCGCCGCCTTCTTGCCTCGATATGCCCACGAGTAGGGGGTGCCAATCATACGGGAACATCTGAATCCGCGAAACATAAGACATGCATGAACCATTCATCACCCGTTGAAGACACCTTTTTGCGGGCGCCCCCAATCCACCCTCCGAAAACCTGGAGCTTCAGTTTGGTGCCCACGTGGCAGCCCGCGCTGGGAGCGCGAAGAAGCCGATTCTCTGAAAACCCCGAACCCTGAACCCACAAACGCTGGCGTGTCGCGCTTGCTTCCGCCGCCTGCCGCCGACCACCCGCTGGCGGAGCCTCCTTCCTCCGGAGGAGCCGCCGGTAACCGCCGAGGGCGGGACCGCGCGCAGGGCGAGACCCTCGCTGGAGCGCCGCAGATCTGGGAAGATCGCGCGGGCATCTATGGCACTGCTCGTGGCACGCAGTCTTCGGTGGCGTGGGGGGATCGGGTTCTGAGCGAAAGGGGTCCTGGGAGCTCGAGTTTCTAGGATCGAGGTCCGAACGCTTGTTTGGCACCTGTTTTGCGCGTGCTCGTTGCCACGCCAGGTCCCGCCTGGCAATGGAGGCCTGAAAGCACCCCAGGACAAATCTGGGGTCGAAGCCTCAAGGCCAGCCAGCATCATCAAGGACACGGGCCCCATCAGAAAATTACTCGGGATGAAAAGCTGGTCCTCGGGACAAGCCCCTGGGTTCCGTTGCCTTCGAACCCCTCTCCTTCACGGCGACCTTGTTCCTCCGCCGCGGCGGCGAGGCAGCATCCGGCACGCAGCAAGCGGGGCACGCAAACAGAAACCGCGTGCAGCAGCCTTGTGCCAAGTGCGCTCGAGCCCGCGCGCGCGCTCGGCGCCGCAGCTGGAACCGCGCCGTGGCGACTGTAGAGCGAACGGCGCGCACCGAACAAGGTTCGAGGGAGACGCGGTCTGAGCTGACGCTGGTTGTGCAGCATCGTCGCAGCGGCTGGGGCCAGGAGAGATTCGGCCGATGGGATGAAAAAAGGCCAAGGAGCACGTCTTCCCCCCCACCCCCCCTTCCCTCCAATTCTGAGGGGGAACGTCAGGGGGGGACTGGCTCAAGAAGGAAAACATCAAGTGTGAACCGGCGATGCATCGCCGGTCGGTCGGCGACCGGCCCCCGATTGCAGACTCGTTCGCTCCTGGGCGGGGCGGGCTTTCGGGACCCCATCGCCGAGACATGGGCGAGCGGGGGTCGATGCGCCCCCCCCCCCCGTGAGCATGCCTCCCCCGAAGGTTGCCCCCCGACCGTGGTCTCCGCCGTAGCCAGCCGTCCAGGCGGCCGCAAGCAGGTGCGAGTCGTTTGGGCACCGCCCCGTGGCGTCTCCGAGCTGCTCCGGCAACGCCCACGAGCAGTTCGCTGGTTGCAGTTGAGGTCCCCCCTTAACGTTACCCCTGGCTCCCTCCCTCATCCTGGCCTGACTCAGGGGAGGCTACAGCACCGCTCAACGATGTTACTGTTGACCAAATCTGCAGGGTGGGCTCTTTCCATGTCATGTGGGCTTCAACTTACGCTTCGGCTTCAACTTTGAGTGCTCCGTGAGTCGCCTTCGGGCCGGGCCAACTCACCCGAGTCCGTGTTACACCCACACGGGCGCATCACTCCCTCGCTCCCTCCTCTCCTCATCCCTGCTCCTTCCCATGCGTGTCCTCCTTCTTCTCGGGCGGCGCCTCTGGGGCCTTCGCTTTCGGCGGCGGGGGCGGGCCCTTGCCTCGGCAGCCGCGGACGGGGGAGGGAGAAGGGCCGAAAGGAGTAGTAGTAGTAGTAGTAGTAGTAGTAGTAGTAGTAGTAGTAGTAGTAGTAGTAGTAGTAGTAGTAGTAGTAGTAGTAGTAGTAGTAGTAGTAGTAGTAGTAGTAGTAGTAGTAGTAGTAGTAGTAGTAGTAGTAGTAGTAGTAGTAGTAGTAGTAGTAGTAGTAGTAGTAGTAGTAGTAGTAGTAGTAGTAGTAGTAGTAGTAGTAGTAGTAGTAGTAGTAGTAGTAGTAGTAGTAGTAGTAGTAGTAGTAGTAGTAGTAGTAGTAGTAGTAGTAGTAGTAGTAGTAGTAGTAGTAGTAGTAGTAGTAGTAGTAGTAGTAGTAGTAGTAGTAGTAGTAGTAGTAGTAGTAGTAGTAGTAGTAGTAGTAGTAGTAGTAGTAGTAGTAGTAGTAGTAGTAGTAGTAGTAGTAGTAGTAGTAGTAGTATAGTAGTAGTAGTAGTCGTAGTAGTAGTAGTAGTAGTAGTAGTAGTAGTAGTAGTAGTAGTAGTAGTAGTAGTAGTAGTAGTAGTAGTAGTACTCGTCGTTGTAGTATTAGTAGTGGTAGTAGTAGTAGTCGTAGTAGTAGTAGTAGTAGTAGTAGTAGAAGTAGTAGTAGTAGTAGTGGAAGTCGCAGTAGTAGTAGTCGTCGTCGTAGTAGTAGTAGTAGTACTACTACTACTACTAGTAGTAGTAGTAGTAGTAGTAGTAACAGTAGTAGTAATAGCAGTAGTAGTAGTAGTAGTAGTAGTAGTAGCAGTAGTAGTGGTAGTAGTAGTAATAGTAATAGCAGTAGTAGTAGTAGCAGTAGTAGTAGTAGTAGTAGTACTAGTAGTAGTAGTAGGGTAGTAGTAGTAGTAGTAGTAGTAGTAGTGGTAGTAGTAGTAGTAGGAGGTTGAGGAGGAGGACCAGTGTAAAATCAAGAGTCATCAACGATATTGGAGGTAAGCCCTCCCTCCATGCTCCCTCTTCACAGGCCCCATATAACGGTTCATGTCCATTGAAGGAACCGCCTCTTTGGAAGACAACCGTTCGAAAACCTTGGAGCATGCCAAAACATTTTCTCGGGATTCCAGCGCCACGGATCGACATGACTGTTGCGTCTTGACAATCCGGAATCGTGCCAGAACGCCGTTCTTAGGACTTCAGCACAAAGAAGCAACGTGACTGTTGCACCCACGTAATCCTGAATCGCCCCAAAACGCAATTTCTGGTACGTTGATGATGGGAACCCAAGAACTTCTTGGAAAACTTTGAAACGGATATGCTCGGCGTTAAGGCGAGAGCCACATTTTGAAAAAGAGCCGCCCTCAATCCGTGAAGCCCTTGCAATGTGTTTCTCCTTTTTTTATAAAAAAACGAATGCACGCGGCGCTAAGGCGAGAGCCACACGTTGAAAACCACTCGCCCACACTATGCGATTTTCTTACACATTGAAAAACAAACGAATGCACGCGGCGCTAAGGCGATAACCACATTTTGAACACCACCCGCCCTCAATATGTGAAAATCTTGCACGTGATGTAAAGCGAATGTGCGAGGCGCTAAAGCGAGAACCACATTTTGAAAACGACCCGCCCTCAATACGCGAATCTCTTGCATTTTTTTGCAAGCGAATGTGCGCGGCGCTAAGGCGAGAGCCACATTTTGAAAACGACCCGCCCTTCATCTGCGAAGCTGTTGCCAATTTTCAGTTTCAGCGTCATAAGTGGCGAGGAAGTCTGAAACAAAACGCCCGGCCCGCCCTGTCAATTGGCCTCGGGGTGCGACAGGGAGAACTTATTTATGAGGAGAAGGAATGGAGGTGGAGGAGGAGGAGGAAATGACCGAGGAGGAAGAGTAAAAGGAGGAGGAGGAGGAGGAGGAGGAGAAGGGACGAATGGGATGATGGGGGGTGCGGCTGTACGTCCGCAGGAGCATAGCACTGGCCAGTTGGTGCTTGGAGGTGCATCCTGGAGCATCCGAGGACGAGTAGGAGGAGGAGGAGGAGGAGGAGGAGGAGGAGGAGGAGCAGGAGGAGGAGGAGGCGGAGGAGGAGGAGAAATAGTTCATACAGCGAGGCGCCAAACCACCGATGCGAGCTCAGGCTGCGCCCGCGCCTCCGGGGAGGGGGCGCGCCCTGTGGCGTCCTCGCCGCCAGCCTCCTGGGGTCAGCCTTCCGAGGTGCAGCCGCCCTGACCTTGTGGGAGGGCGGCCATGGAGGAGGAGCTTCCCCTCCTCCTCGAAATGGTGTGTGCCGAGCCCCCCGCACGCCTCACACGCCAGAACACGCTCCCGCCCAGCCCCCCTCCCCACGTCAAACCACCTCAAGACGTGTGATGGGTGCGCCCCAAGGCCCCGTCTTTCGGGGCCCGCCGCACGGCCAAACGCAGAGGGGCCTGGTCTGCAGGGCTGTCTCGGCCAGTGAAGTAGAACTCTCTTGCCTCTGGCAACGGGTTCAGACTGGCACTCGAGACACTTTCACCGCTTCGGATGGACGGTGTGACATGTTTCGGCGCGCGCGGCAAAGAGGTCGAGCAACGGTGTCTTGCCTCGCCCTGTCTCTGCGGGGCCTTCAGCGCGGACCAAGGGGGGGAAAGATGGGATGCACAAAGACATACTAGTACTAAATGTTCTCCTTGGAGGCGCGCGTGCGTCCGACCCAAACATATAGTATACCCATCTTGAAGTAGATCGTTTCCCGGGCGGTGTGGCCAGAATGCGCCCGCCACGACGCACATACAATAAGATTTCTCAGTGCGCGCATCGCCCCCGGGGGGGCGACGCACATATAGTACAAGTATGCTGGGGTGACGCCGAAGAGAAGCCGTGATGGCCAAGAGCCGTCGTCGAATTTGTTTGGCCTCTTCCTCGAGCTCTCTCAAAGGGACTGGGCCTCAGAGTCGGGTACTTGCGCGGGGCACGAGCAACGATCGGCCAGCCGATCCGCGGCCTCGTTGGCCGCCGACGAATTCAGAATTCCTCGATTCGCCGCGAGTTGCTCGTCTTCCGTGAGATGGCTGGCGGCTTTGACGGCCTGAACGTCCCGCCCGTCGAGGAGGCTCTTGACGGACCTCCATAGGTCCTTGTGGGATCTCGGGGACCACCGACCTCGTCCGAGCTTGAAAAATCCACGGACAACATACAGCGAGTCCGTAATATAACTGAAGTCTCTGGCAGGCGTCGCAGCGAGGGCCTCCCGGAAAGCCAAGGAGTTCCCCGCAGTTAATGCCTTGCCTCGGACCAGGAAGGGACCCCCCAAAGCCCCCAGTCTTGGAGGGCTTTTCTTGCGAGAGGTGGGGGTCCACGCCAAAACTGCAAGAGACCACCGCCCAAGAAATCCTTCTCAGGCGAGGGTGCTTGCTATACTTTCCCCCCGGCGCGTCGCCTCCAAGCGAAATCCTTCCCCTGCTCACAAGCGGTCCCAGGCGGGGGTGCTCAAAAGTGGTCGGGGGCGGTGGGTCAGGAGGGGTGATGCTAGGGTCGAGGGTGCCTTCAAGATCGTCCGTCGGCTCCGCGAGCCGGGTCCACGCGGCAGGGATGAAGCCACGGAGCCAATAGCATGGATGCGCAATCTAGCCAAACCTTCGCCCGATCGGCTAGGAGATTGGCTCCTTGGCACTCTTCCCACGGCATTCCCAGACAGTGTGAAAATCGGCCTCGGGGCACCTCTGGCAGCGACGACACAGACTGGACTCGATGTTCACACCCGCTTGCTCAACGCGACGGGCAGCTCGCGATCCAGCCGCCCAACTCGTCAGCTTCCGAAGCTTCATGGCTTGAAGCTTCCCCAATCGTGACCTAGCTCTGTGTCTGAACCTCCGAAAAAGGCGGAGGTGGCGTCGCTCAATGCCTATAGTAGGAGCTCGACCACAAGAAACCTTCTACAAGAAACCCGACCCTGAGACCCCAGGACGTCCATTGATCTCTTGCGTGGGGAAATCAAGCTTCCCATAGCAAAACGATAGAGAACCAAGAAACCCAGGGCACCCTGGAGACAAGCAGGGTGTTTCTTGGCATGGGATTCCACTGTAAGTCCGCGCCGGCACCTTCGCCCTTGGCCGAGCTGCCCTGGTGCTGGAGGGCCGCGGCAAGATCCGGCGCGAGGCTCTCCGATGACAGGCCATCGCAGCCGAATTCCAGGAGAGCCTGAGCCCGTCGGACTGAAGGTCAGCGGCGAACTGGACGGCGACAGCGGGCAGAGTCGGCACGACCGTTTTTTAACGGGCGAAAAACGGTATAATATAAATGTTTTCGCCGTCGGGGACACCTGCCCCAGGGCAGCTGGAAAGTTTATACCCTTACGGTGCCACCGTAAGGGTATAAACTTTCCAGCCGCCCAGGGGCAGGTGTCCCCGACGGCGAAAAAGTCTATGTTATACCGTTCTTCGCTCGCTGAGTTTTGCGAACCCCCCTCCATTCGAAAATTAACAGCGTCGACCCAGGATTTGGCGACCACTCCAAGAACGAGGTGCTCCCCGCGTTCTGGAAGGGGCGGCCCCCACCGCCTCGGCGCCATCACGTGCCTGAGCCAAGAGCTTTGCCACGTTCTCTGGTGACGCTTTCGGTGGGGCCTTCGCTGGTGGGGCCTTACTTCCATCTGCCGCAGAAGACGGTGCCGAGGAGGAAGCTGGCGCGCCTGCGGCAGGTGGCGGGCCTGACGGGCTCGCCCTTGTCACTGGAACTGCTGGCCCCTGAAGCTCTGGCGGCGATGGGGCCGCCGCCACCCCGCCGGCTTCGGTGCCGTTGGAGTCGCGTGGAGGGCCTGCGGCAGCAGCGGCGCCATCTCCCACTCGACGCTTCTTGATCGACAGGCGAGCCTCGAAGTCCATGAACTCCTGGTTCCTTTGCTGCAAGCTGGGCTGCTGCGGGGCCCACTGCCTGTATGATGAGCTGTTTGACCTCCTGCGCCACGGAGGCCTTGTGCTGTTGCCAGTTGTCGACGTCCTCCTGCGAGAGCTCGAGCTCCGAATAATTGAGCGCGTCTCCATCCTCCAGTTCGAATAATTGGCCGAGCCTGTCCCCGTCCGCCGCGAGGACGGCCGAGATGTTGAGCTTGGAGGGGGGTGGGGCCGCTGGGCCCTGCGTGGGCCCCGCTCCCTGCTGCTTGATGCGCTCGAGGTCCTCCTCAAGCTGCTGTTCGTGGGCGAGGCGGGCGTCGGCCGCCTCCTGGGCGCGCTGCTGGACGCTGTGGCGAGCCCGATCCAGCCAGCGCTCGCATTCCTGCTCGTGGCCGAGGGCGCGGGCCAGGGCCTCATCAGCCTTGCGAGCAGCCACCGCCAACCTCTGGGCCTCGCGTTCACGCTCGAGGTGGGCTTCGGTGGGGGCTGGGACGGCTGCGCGGGGCCCTGGGCCGCAAACGCGACTGCGTAGGAGGAGGAGGAGGAGGAAGAAGGAGGAGGAGGAGGAGCAGGAGGAGGAGGGGGAGGAGGAGGAGGAGGAAGAGAAGGAGGAGGAGGAGGAGGAGGAGGAGAAGGAGGAGGAGGAGGAGGAGGAGGAGGAGGAGCCCAGCGTACCAGGCGGGGTTCGTCAGCACCTACGTGAGCGGGGCGCCCATTCTGAAATCTTGGGGGATGGAGAGCGGCGACGGGCCTCCATCCGACCTGTACGAAATGAAAAGAGATGACGCGGCAGCATCGTGACTTAAGAGCGTCGACGAGGGAAGCACGGTGGGGAGGAGGAGAGGAACGACGGCAAAGGGCAGCAGCAGGGGGGCCTCGAAGGACGGGGTAGAGGGGGAAACGACAAGAACGGCATCGGCGGCCGCTACAGGCAGGGGCACGGGCGCCTTGAAGCTCGGCGCGATGGTGCGGGTAGCCGCTGTTTCAATCATGGGGACGGGCACAGGCGGGACAGCAGGCGAGATGATGTCATCGGGGAAGCGGGCGAAACAACGGGCACGGGCGAAGACAGCATCGTGAATGAGACGGGCGCAGTCGGCCAGGGGGGAGGACGCCCGAGACGGGGCGAAAGAGAGATGGGGCTGCAGGGCACGAGCGGAGAGAAGGGCACGGGGGAAGGAACGGGCGAAGAGACGATGATACCGTCGGGCGCACTGGACGGTGGCGTGGCGAGCACGGTGGAGAGGAGATGGGGAGAGACAGCAGAGGGCAGCTGCAGAGAAGGCTCGACAGACGGATCGGAGAGGGGAACGACGGGCGGAAATCCAAAGCGCCCGTCCTGCCGTGGGTTGACGCTGGGACATCGATGCGGGCCCACGAGTGCTCTGGGGACCGTGGCGAAGATGCTTCGACGGCGCGTGTGGAAGGGGCAGGGAGGAGGGGGAGGGACGCACCAGGCAGAGCTCAGACCGCACCCCTGAAGCCGTCGGGGACATCGTCGGCGAGCGCGAAATCGGCAGCGAGGGCTCCATTGATGTCCAGTCTCGGGTGAGCGCCCCCACTGCAGGAGGCACAGCGGCACATGGCGACGGCGAGCCCGAGCACGCCCACGATCTAACGCCGTCGGACGCAAGTCCGAGATCACGGCAAAGCACAAGTGGCGACGTCGAGCCCGAACACGACAACGGGACTTGCGATCTAACGCCGTCGGACGGGAGTCCGATATCTCGGCAAAGCACGGGTGGCGACGGCGAGCCCGAACACGACAACGGGACTTGCGCTCTAACGCCTTGAGCTCGAAGGGCTCCGCCGAGGGGTCTGAGCCGTGGCGACGTGATGCCCGAACACGACAACAGGACTTGCGCACTGACGCCATCATCCACAGATGGGAAGGCGAGGCTTCCGACAGCCGGCGACGGTGAGCCCGAACACGACAACGGGACTTGCGCTCTAACGCCGAGAAGTGGCGACGAGGTCGGGGAGGAACCATGGAGGAAGAGGAGGAGGAGGAGGAGGAGGAGGAGGAGGAGAAGGAGGAGGAGGAGGAGGAGGAGGAGGAGGAGAGTCCCAAGGGGTCCGACGGGTGCTCCATAACCCATAACACGCCTGGGAGGGTCTGTGAGAAGCATGGCGTGTCTGGAGGGGGTTCACGTGCTCTACAGGGAGGGGTAACGAGGAAGGCGGCAGACAGAAGAACGCCCCCCCCTCCCCCCCTCCCCTGCCTCCCTCCGCAGGCCTCCGAACACTCGACACTTCGAGTCGCGGGGCCCCAGACCTCTCCACCCTGCCGCTCTGAGCAACGGCTTGCCTCCCCGAGCCACTTCTGACGGTCCCGAGGCCCGTGACTGGCCTCGGGGGGCCGAGCGCGCGGACAACGGGCAGCGGGCTCGCAACGCTCGACTCTCTGGAGGCCTGGGCCCTCCGCCCGCCTCGGCCGAGGAGGCGGCGGGCGAGAGCAGGACCGCTGCGGCGAGGAGCGGCCGCTCCTCCCCCTGCCACCTGCCACTCCTCCTCCTCCGCCTCCTCCTCCTGCTCCTCCTCCTCGGCCCCCTCTCGAGGGGAAGGGACTCGCTCGGCAGTGGAGCGGGAGTGTCCGCGCGGCTGTGCCCCCTCGGCCACACCGGCAGGCGCGCGGAGCCCCGCGGCGAGGCAGCGGACCTTCCAGTTCGAGTGTTTTGCGGGCGACGCCGCGTGCTCGCGTTCCCATGCCCCGCCACCTCTCCCTTCCTCTTCCCGTCCCCCTTTCCCTCCTTCCTCGTTCTCCCCTCTCCCCCTCCTGCCCCTCGCTCTTCCCCTCTTCTCCCCCTCTCCCCCCCTTCTTCACCCCCTTTTCCTTTCTTCCCTCGCCTCCTCCCAATCCCCCTTCCTGGCCCGAGGGGCTGCCTGAAGTGAGGAGAGGGGGGGGGCACGACCAAGTCCCTCGGGGAACTCAAGCCCCCCTGCCACAGGGTCGGCATCCACCAGGAGGTGTGACGGGCAGGCTGAAGGCGGTCCGTGCTTCCTGCTCCTCGTTTTGGCATGTGCCCGTTATTTTTGCATGCGCCTTGCATGACAAAGCAAAGGAGCCGAAACAGCTTCGACGGCGTTAACTCGACGAATTCTGGGTGGTCGGTGCGACCTCTCAAGGAGCAGGGGGCTCCAGTGCGGTCCCTTTCCTCACAACTTTATGAAGTGTGGCGCATGGCTTCCCACTGCTTGCATGGCCTAAGGGGTTTTCCAAAGTTGCGGCTCCTGCCAGGTGGAGTCTCCCCACGCCACCCCGCTGCTTCGACCAGGAGGCGGCCGTTCCATTCTTGTCGCGAACTCTCGGGGAGCAGGCGCTTGCTGACCGCAGCCATCGCGTCCAAGGAACCGTCCACGGCCGCCTCTCGGCCCCCTTCCTCCCTCTCCCCTCTCCCTCCCTCTCCCCTCCCCCCCCTGCGTGCACTCTCGCGCAGGCGGAGAGAGGAATCATCGAGGAGGGGAGACGAGGCAGGACTGTAATAAGGTCAACGCGCAAACAGAGAAGAGGTGGGAGGAGGGAAGACAGGTGAGGAGGGTGAGGGGGAGAAGGAGGAGGAGAGGAGGACTGGACTCTGAACCCTGCGCTTAGGGGCATCAATGTCAAGGAGAGGAGAAACGAGGAGGAGGAACATGAGGAGGGAGGATGACTGTTAGAGATGACAAGGCTCAGCCAGAGGAGAGGGAAGGAGGGAGAAGGGAGGAGGAGAGAGGCGAAGGGATGAGGGCCCCCACCTCCTCCCCCACACACACCCTCCCCCCAGAAGACTCAAGGCCCGCGCCTTTGCCTTTACCTTTCTTGGGCGGGTCGGCCGGCTCCGGCGGGGGTGCTCGGGGCGCCTGGGCGAGGCAGGTTTGGAGGAGGACTCCTCCGAGAAGAACGGAGGGGGAGGAGGAGGAGGATAAGGAGGAGTCCGAGGAGAGGTGGGCGAGAAGGGAGGAAGGGGCAGGGTTGGAGATTAGGAGGGGGCGAGAATCGTGCCAGGGATGGAGGGAGGAAAAGGCCGAGGGAGGGGAAGTTTCTCCACTGTTTCCTGGCGAGCTCGCGCACTGGCCTTCTTTCCAGCGTCGCGTCAGGGATCAATCAAGCTTGGTGCGCTTTTCAAATTAAGCGGCGCCAAATTGCCACTGTCACCTCAGCGGCTCGCATCTGGGGTTCGCCAGCAGGACGTCGGGGAAACGACCAGAGACGAACAACTGCGCGCACTCCAGTAGAGTTGCATGGAGTAGTGCGAAGACCAGGACAACATAGATAACACTGCAGACTGGAGCACAGAGTGTAAGACGACTTGGGCTGCGCATGCAGGTGGTCCCATGATGGCAGGAAGTCCACACATGATGATGGGACTTTGGACGCACGCGACTCCGATCCTGTCGGGCACGTGTCCCCGCTCTTCTGGCGGGGAGAAGACATCATGTCGCAGCGATTGCACGCAGCTTGGGCCCACACGCTGCGAATCAACGACTTACCCGACGACATACAACACTCGGGGATACGTAAGACTCGAATCTGGAGGACCCCGAACTGGCCTGACGGGGAAGTGTATAACATGACGTGGCCCGATCTGAAAATTTGCACGACTCCCGATGCAAACATCCCACGGAAACTGGACCGTCACCTTTCAAGACGGGTCCGTCACCAAGAGCTGCCGATCCCGAGCTCTGACGAACTCGGGTCTTACATTTGCCCGACATGCGCAAAACGTTGCGTCTCTACTCCAATATAAAAATGCGAACACCAGAATATCCCTGCGACCGTCACTGTATGCTGGTAGACAACACAATAGCCGGTGAGATTGCTATGCGCCCTCAATACGTCTCAAGAGAACATCAGGACGGCCCTCAAAGACCCCACATGGACGCAAAAGCGGCATCTGAGAGCGACAGAATCCAGACAGCCCCATAGCGCCCTTTGACGGCCCCAGGGCCCCCCAAATGACCCAAAGGGCCGCAGGGCCCTCCCACAGCTGCCCAAAATGTTGCGAGATCGCTCCAAGACGATATCAAGATGGCCCTGAGAAGCCCCCCACCCCCACATCTTCCCCCATATAATTTTCCCACCGGCTGGGTGGGCACGCAATTCACTAGCGCGGCCACAATGGCAACAAAGGCGGTATCACAGCAATAATAACGTTAATCGTGAATTGTCGTGGTGGTACCGGTGGAGTAGCGGCGCTGGTAGTTGTAATGTTGGGGAAGATGGTGGTGGCGGTAATTGTCGTGGTAGTGCTGGTCGTCGTGGCATTTGTTTTGGTGCTGGGGCCACGTTAACAACCGAGCTTGAATCGAGGTTTGGACCAGGAGCAACTGGGGATGACTAGGAGAAGGAGGATGACCAGTGTGAACCCAAGAGTCATCAATTCTGTTGGAATTAACCCTCCCTCCAAGCTCCCTTTTCATAAGCCCCTGCAAAGGTTCATTTCCATTGAAGGAACTGCCTCGTTGGACGACAACCGTTTGAAGATCCTGAAGCATGCCAAAACATTGCTCTCGGGATTCAAACGCCACGAATCAACCTGACTGCTGCGTCTTGGCGATCCGGATTCGTGCCAAAACGCCATTTTGGGGACTCCAACGCCGCGAATCAGCATAACTGTTGTGCCCGTGTAATCCTGAATGTTTCCAACACGCCATTTCGGGTACGTTGATCATGGGAATCCGTGAAACTCTTGCAATTTCTTTAAACGAATGTGCGCGGCGTTAAGGCGAGAATCACATTTTCAAAAGGAGCCGTCCTCAATCCGTGAAGCTCTAGCATAAAAAAAAACGAGTGTGCGCGGCACGAGGGCGAGGACCACATGTTGATAAAGAGCCGCCCTCACCGTGAAGCTATTGCAAATGAACAAAAAAATGATGTGCGCAGAGCGCGAGGGCGAGGGCCACGTTTTGAAAAGGACCCGACCTCAATCCGTGAAACTCTTGCAAATAAGAAAAACGAATGTGCGCGGCGCTGGCGAGAGCCACATTCTGAAAACGACCCGCCTTCAGTCCGTGAAGCTCTTTTGCAATTTTTGGAAAACGAATGCGCACGGCTCTGAGGCGAGAGCCACATTTTGAAAACGACCCGCCTTGCATGTGTGAAGCTGCTGCCGTTGTTTAAGCTTCAGAATCGTGAGTGGTGAGGAGGTCTCAGGCGAAACGCCCGGCCCGCCCTAAAAACTTGCTTCGGGGTGCGACATTGAGAAATTATCGATAAGAAGAAGAATGGAGAACCAGAATCAACACTGGATCCATCAGCACTGCTGCACTACACTTCCCCGTCCCAAGTTCCCTCATAAGAAGTCCCTACATGCAGCACGTGTCAATGCGGGAAGCACCCCATTGGAAGACAACCGCCCCATGGCATTCCAAACCTGGCAAAAGCCCCGGTCTAACACGGAACTGCCCGACATCCGTCTACTTGTAGAGAAAGCGAGGCAGAAAAAACACATCGCTCAAGGCAGAGCCCAGCGAGGGCCAAACTTTGAAATTAGCGTAGTTTGTGCTTTGGTTAAGAGTTTTTGGTGGCATTGAACAAGGATGGTCCATGCGGGAACCCGACATCAAACCATGACCTCGAACACTGGCCGTGTAACTGTTGCGCGTGCTAGCACCTTTGGCCATGCCTTCTCGCGCGAGCCGTCCTCCGTCTCTACAGCTGCAACCGTTTCTACATGCTTCATGTTCTTGCCATGATGTAGCAATGCGAATATTTCGTTTTGAAGAGAAACCGCTGAAACTCCAAAAATATTCTCTGAAGCTTTGCATAAACCTCTCACGAGGTTACGACCTCTCGTAATTTTTGCAAGCGCCATTCAACAACGTCACACACAAACCTCGCCATAAACTTCAAGAGGGCCTCGCGCAATTCTTTCCGTCAACTAACCAACACTTGCGATGGCTACTGCCCACGCGGGTCGACGTCTCGTGTCCCGCGCTACGGTACGATAGCTGCCAGGAAGCATCCGCACGGTATAGAACACCCACCAGCTTACATCTGCTTGTTAGGTGTGGAAAAAGAATGATGAGGAGGACGACGAATAGAAAGTATACAATAGGAAGAGACCCGTGTATGAGATGAGTTCGTCCTCATTCATGGCCACCTCGAGGCGGATTCACGGGGCGGCGGCGGGGACTGGGCGGGCCGGTGTTTAGCGAACATGCCCGGGTCGCGGCACGTGTTGGCAAAAAACTATAGCAGGAGGAGGGGGAGGAGGAGGAGGGAGAGAAGGGAGGCAGGCGATTTGGGAGTCAGGGGTGGGCGGAGACGGAAGACGACAAGTCCGGGGGGCGGGAGAACGCGCACGGCGTCTGGCGCGAAGGCCGTGGCAGCACGGGCCGCCACCTCCAGCGCGCCTCCGGGAGGCCGAGCCGGTGCCAGCCGCGCTCCACGTCCGCCTGCTTCCGCATCGCTGGCCTCCTCCTCCCTCCCTCCTCCGCGGCCGCGCTCTGCTTTTCCACTCGCTCCCCGGCGCCCCGCGACTGGCGCGGCCCAGAGGTCCCGACCACCGCGCGCGCGTCCGCTGGCGCTGCCGACCAGACGATTCCGCAGCAGCGACCGCGCGCACTGCCGCGCGGTGTGCACGCAGCGTGCCCCTCCGCCCTGCAGCGAACAGACACGCAGCGTGCGCGGAGGCGCGCCGAGCGGGGAGAGGGCGGTGACATCCTGCGGGCATCCCCCTCCGACGGGGCCGGGACCAGGACGGCACCGAACCGGGGCCTCACGGGGAGCTCTGGGAGCGGGCGCTTCCGGGGGGACGCGTCGGGCGCCGCGGCCTCTCCCAACAGGAGTTCCGGAGTGCTGCGGGGCTCTGGGCCGCCCCGGGGCCACACGTGACGGTCCGAGGCCCGAGCGACCAGCCCCGAGAGAGGCTCAAAGCCTCGGTCCTCCTCCTCGTTGCCGACGGGGGATCCTCTGCCTCGGCCTGGCAGGGGCGGGCCCCACGGCGCCTCCGCGGAGGCGCCCGGCGGAGCCGGCGGCGGCGCCAACGGCGGCGACTTCGGGGAGGCCTCGGCGTCGCAGTCGTCGTCGTCGTCGTCGTCGTCGTCGTCGTCGTCGTCGTCGTCGTCGTCGTCGTCGTCGTCGTCGTCGTCGTCGTCGTCGTCGTCGTCGTCGTCTTCGTCGCCGGCGGCGGCGGCGGCGTCGGCGCAGGCGTCGGCGTCGGCGTCGGCGTCGGCGTCTGCGTCGGTGTCGGCGTCGTCGTCTCGTCGTCCCGTCTTCATCGTCTTCGCCAGTCGGAGACCACCAGTGACTGGCTTGACCCCCTCCTCCCTGCCCTCCTTTCTCTTCTTTTTTCCTTTGCCTCCAACCTAAGATCATCCTCCGAAATCCGACGACCCCTTTGGGTCACGGCGTGTGAGATGCTTCCCTCTACTCAAACCCTTCCCCCGGGAGCCCGATCCGGCCGCTTTGGAGGGAGGGGGGGTGGGAGGGAAAAGGCGCCGGCCGCACCCTTGGAACCTCAGGGGGCCCCCAAACGGGCCAAAAGAGTTCCAAATGGCCCCGCGGATGGTCCAAGAGGGCTACGAGTCGCCGAAAGATCGCTCCAATACGCCCAAGATTGCCTCCAGACGGTCCCACAGGCCCCCAAGACGCCCTAAGAAGCCACCAAGAGGCGTCCCGAGAGGCCCTCCAGAATCAAAAATCGTCCCATTCCCTAAGGGAAACGTCAGAGTGAGGGGGCCGAACGGTCATTCATTGTCCCTGCGTGCGTGGCTGAATGAGGAATTCGTGGTGCGAATTCTGCTTGTTGCGCTGTTGTTGTTGTTTGTTGTCGTCGTCCAACCTGTGACCCACCAACGACCCACCCCGCGACCCACCCGTGACCCACTCTGCCACCTACCCGCGACACACCCACGACCCACCCGCGACCCACCCCGTGACCCACCCGCGACCCACCCCGCGACCCATCCGCGACCCATCCGCGACCCGCCCGCGACCCACCCCGCGACCCACCCTCAAGGGAGGAAAAAACACCCGGACCCGACAATTGACGTTTATTAAACGGCCCTGGGCATTGACTAAACAGCCCTGCCCTGTTCGATTCATTCCTTGTGTGCGTTTACTAAACGGCTTCGCTTGTCGGGGTGATTATTATGGGGTGGATTTTCCGCTCTCACCCGCGACCCACCCGCGACCCATTTGCGACCCACCCGCATCCTACCCACATTGGTTTAACGAAAAAATCGGCGCCTGCGGCGGGCTCGTTGTATAATGTGTGGAACTTTGGCACCTGCGGCGGGCTTCTCCAGAGTCTCGCACACTGCCGACGTCCCCACCGCCCCCTCACTCTTATCCGCATCTGCGGGGGGGGGGTCGATATATATATATATATATATATATATATATATGTATATATGTTTATATATATACATACAGAGAGAGAGAGAGAGATAAAAGAGAGAGAGAGAGAGAGAGAAAGAGAGAAAGAGAGAGAGAGCACATTCGCCTCTTGGGCTTTCACGAGGCCCGCAACGGCCCAAGAAGCCTTCCAGATCGACCCAAGATAGCCCAAGAGGCCCCCAAGAGGGCTCCAAGACGGCTCAAGAGGGCCCCGAGACGGCCCCAGAAGCCTCCAAAACGGCCGAGGAGGGCCCCAGGACGGCCCCAAGAGGAGGCCCAGAGGGGGAGCACGAATGGACAATTCGAGCGCTCGGCCCCGAAAAATCCTGAGGAGGCGCCAAGAGGCCCCCAAGGGGCTCCCACGAGGCCCCCGAGAGGCCCTAAAGAGGCCCCAGCACGGCTCGCAAGAGGCCTCAGCAGTGCTGCCAAAAGAGCCCAGAGAAGCCCAAGAGCAGAGAGGCGATTCGCCAACCGCCCCGGACGAAATCCCAAGAAGCTGAAATCCAAGATTCCCCAAAACATCGCGCGCGTTCCGCACACTCAATGCTTCACTCTTACTGCCGCCTCAAGGGGTCGGCAGAGCGGCGTCAGCCAATGAATCCACGTCCGGACGTGACGTGCTGAGCGGTAGCGTTTACTGCGGAGGCGAGACTGCAACGTAGCCAATGTTCCCAATCGCTTTATCATTGCCACATATTCGATGGTTTTACTTGATTATGTTTCCCCTCCCAACACCCCCTTGGAGTCGCGCCACTCCGCCGACCCAAGATGTATGCCCCCCTTCTCGGGCTCTCGAAACCAATACAACAAACCATAGGACATCTAAGATTTGGGCTTCTTGGGCCCCTGGGGACTCCAAGATAGCCTCAAGATGGCCCCAAGACGGCCAAAAACGGCCCTAAGACGGATCTGGATGGTCCCAAGGAGGCCCGTGAGGCTCCCAAGACGGCTCAAGGGGGCCCCAGGAGGACTCGAAAGAGCGCATCCAGAAACCAAAATCATTGATTTTCCGGTGGTTTTTGAAATATTTTAGCGTTCTCACCTTTGTCGGCTCTCAGAGGACCATGACGGCCCAAGCAACCTCCAAGAAGACCTCAAGACGGCCAACGAGGCTCCCACGGGGGGCCCAGGATTGCTCAAGAAGGCCCCGAGACGGCCAAATGAGGCCCCCAACACGGTCCAAGGGTCCCAAGACGGCCCAAGAGGACTCCAAGAAAGCCCTGAGGCGGCCGCGAGGGGCCTCCAAGATGGCCTCCGAAGGGGCCAGACGGCGCAACAGCGCCCCAAGCCGGCGCAAGACGTCAACATGAAGCCCCACGAGGCCCCAAAGCGGCCACAAAGACGCTCCAAGAAGCCCCCACGAGGCTTTCAAGATGCTCCCAAGAACCCCCCATGAGGCCGCCCAGAAGCCCTGGGGATTGCAGGACGGAGCAGCACGCACGCGCGGCAGCCGAGCAGGTCACGCCAACCAACGCCCACACCTTCACATTTTAGCACTTTTCCACAGCGGCGATTACGGCCGCGAGAGGCCCCAGACCGGCCTCGAGAGGCCCCCAGACCGGCCTCCGAATGGGCCACACGCGGCAAGAGCGCCCCAAGTCGGCCCAAGACGCCCCCAAGAGGCCCCAAGAGGCCCCAAAGAAGCCCAGTGCAGAAGAGGCCCCCCGAAGTCCCCAAAACACCTCCAAAGGCCACAAAGAAGCTCCCAAGAGGCCCCACAACGACTGGACTGTACGTGCTCTGGACTTGCACCCCGCGAAGCGAGAGGAATCTAGGCTTTCTTACACGTGCACAAAAATGAGGGCGGCTACTTTTCAGAGCCTGGCTCCATTGGGAGAGTTCCTGACATGTCGTGACATCGAAGCTAGAACCTTCCAACAGCTACTTGGCTGGGGTGGCAGCTGCGCGGATGAGGGCGATTGCCTTCAAGGTTTGCAGCGTTGCGGTCAAGAACGTTTGCTTAGCTTATCGCGCCAGCAAATCTGGCCCAACCACGCTGCGGCGCGACACGTTCAGCTGGTTTTAGTCCCCATGCATCAATGTCCCGAGCTTTCCCCAGCTTCTCGTCCCACGAAACAGAGCCACACGCCACCCACCCAGCTTGCAAGGTGGACCGTGTCGCAGAGGCTGCCGGCGCAACGAGCCAAGTACAAGCTCCTCATCGCATGCAATCTGATCAGCAGTGCGAAGTGAGACTACGGCAGCCCAAACCCCAATGGCCAACTACCGGTGTCTCAACTCGCACTCCTCTGGGTCTTGTTCTGATCGTTGATGCGCATATCAAAGCCTCGAGGCCCCTCGCCTTTCCAACGGGGGTGCTCGTCGCAGCGGCAGGGGATGCTCGCATCACTCTTTGAGGGACTCTTTGGGAATGATGAGGGCGCATCGCAGAACCCATGGCGGGTCCTTGGTTTGCTCTGGTCCCTCATCCTCCTCATCCCTCATCCTTGTCCTCCTCCTCCTTCTTTTTCTTCGCCCTCATTAGACGTCTCGTCCTCCTCCCGAAGTCTGCGCTGGAACTACCTATTAGATGCCTCACCCCCCCCAGCTGTCTTCTTACAGAGAAGCTTTCGTGAACTGCCGATCCGATCCTATCCTTCCGAAGTCTATGGAGGGCGGTCTCTGAAGGTCCCCGCGGAGGCCTCGGATGCGCACCGAAAAAGCAAACAACTGAACATGAACAACAGAAGTTTAGATGTCTTCCTTCCCGGACACGAGACGTGAATAGCTGTTTGTTTGCTCTTTTGCACAGAGTGGCTCCCCAGAGGTCTGGACCCCCTCCCCGGGAATTCCGTGTCATCCCGAGTCGTTGGTTCACTGCCCCAGAGCCCGCCGATGGCAGCCGAAAGCCTCCCGTCGTGATCTGTTTCGCGACGCTAGAAAGTCGGGGTCCTCCCCGAGCGCCGACGACGCGCTTTTCCGGACGCGGGCCACATGGACTTCTCGACCCAACTCTTCCGTCCCAGACGGTTTCTTGACGGTGCCAGGGTCCCGAAGCTGCCCCTCCAAAATGTTGCCTCAAGGCGTTGGAGCTCTGGGCTCCTCCCCCTCCTCCTCCTCCTCCTCCTCCTCCTCCTCCTCCTCATCCTCCTCTTCCTCCTCCTCCTCCGCCTCCTCCTCCCCCTCCCCCTCCCCCTCCCCTCCTCCCCCTCCTCCTCCTCCTCCTCCTCCTCATCCTCCTCCTCCTCCTCCTCCCCCTCCTCCTCCTCCTCCTCCTCCTCCTCCTCCTCCACCTCCTCAGGTCGTCGTTTCAAATCTCGTCAGACCCGGCCCCCCACACCTCCAGGGGTCCGCCCAGCCGTGGCCACGAGGACCTCCAGAAGCGCCCAATACCCTCCGAAACGACAACGCTGATGTCATCGTCGGTCCGCTCCTTCTGCTCCTTCTTCTTCTTCCTCCTCCTCCTCCTCCTCCTCACGCCCCCTCGAAGGCAGGAGTAGGGCGAGGAGGACCAAGACCAAGGATGAGAAGAATGATAGGGAGGGACATGCTGACGGTGATGCTGATGATGATGACGACCAGCCATAACTTATGATGATGAGGACGCGGCGGAGGAGGAGGAGGAAAAGCTCTGGGCGCCTGGACATGTCCCTACAACGCGACATCCCCCCCTCCTCCTCCTCCTCCTCCTCCTCCTCCTCCTGCTGCTGCAACGCCCCAGACACTCCTCACTTTAACATCATACCTCCGAAGTTTGTCTTTGATTCACAGAATGCCCCCCCCCAGAGCTCTGCACCCCTTCCCAAAGGACGGGTGCCCGCATCACGAGTAAACTTTTACCTGGCCCCAGGGCCAAATAAAGGCCCGCGGACCCCGAAAACTGCAACAACACCTCCCGTCATGTTTGTTCTGCGAGGAAGTAATGGTTTCCGGCCAGGTCTCTGGCGGCCTGTCGGGACGATGCGCGCACTCCGGGAATGCTCTCGGCGAGGCGCAGCTGCTGCACGGCATCCCGGGGCCGAAGAACTGCTGGGCCCCCGGACCCCTCGGCCCCTTCCCCAGGGCCAATTTCCCATCTGGACATGTTTTTGACGGTCCAGAGACCCGAAACGGGCCTCCAGATGCCCAAATTGGCGGCTAAACGGCCGCCTTGACTCCTTCGCTGCGCCGAATGCCTGAGACGTCCTCCTCCTCCTCCTCCTCCTCCTCCTCCTCCTTCTGCGATGCCTGTAATTTCCTCCTCCTCCTCCTCCTCCTCCTCCTTCTGCAGTGCCCGTCTCCTCCTCCTCCTCCACCTCCCTTCCTCCTCACTGCACTGCCCCCTCGCTGAACTGCCCCCTCGCTGAACTGCCCCCCACCCCTCTGCTCGCCCCTCACGGGGCACGGCGAGCTGAGACAACGGCCTGAAGTCCAAGACCCGCATAGCGGAGCACCAGAAGGCCGCCCAAAGGGTTCTCGAAGGAGCTCTGGAAGCTCCTGCAAGGAGCTTCCGAATAGGGGAACAACAAGTCACATAAACATAAAAACTCGGAGGTCCGCGCGGATTTCTCGGATCGGCGCTGGACCCCCCTTCCCTGGCGCACGGAGCGCGCCAGGGGCGGTGCTGGAGGCGCCGCCGGGGGGGCCCCAGCGCCGATCCGAGAAATCCGCGCGGACCTCCAAGTTTCTATGTTTTATGCCACTTTCTGTTCCCCTACCGAAGGAGCTTCTGGAGAGCTTCCAGGCAGATGTCATGGGAAGCGCTTGCACAAGCCCTGCCGGGACACGCTGCAGCTTCAGGCAGGCCCCGCCGGGGATTCTCCACAGCAGCTGGAACGAGCTCTGGGGCTACACTGCGGTGCCGGCTTCTAATGCTGCAACCCTGCAGCTCTCCGAGGAGCTGTCAGGGAATCTCGAAATCAATCACCGATTTTCTGAGCTGCGTCCGGCCGTGGCGACCGGGTGGTTTTCTCCGAAGGCCGACTGCCGTTGTCTCACCTCGCCCTCTTCCGACCTTCCCGCCCGAACTGAAGGGGCCCCAGGACACACAAAGAAATACACACAAATAAAAAGATTCCCCGTATTTTCCCATATTTTCAGGGTTTTTGTCTTCCCCCCCACTTCCCATATTTTGGCATATTTTTCTGGGAATCGACGATTAATTGTGTCTGTGTGTTTCTTTCCCTCCTGACGAACGGCCCCCTGGTGGTCTTCGAGCCATCTCTCGGGCCTCCTGCGGCCTGTCCGGGACGAGCCGGCCCCCCCCCCCCCGGACGCTTCTCGGCGGGGCGCAGTCGCAAGAAGGCGTCCCGAGGCTGAGGAACCGCCGCGAGTCGACGAGGACGCCTGAAAACCTCGAACCTTGAATCTAGGCTCCGAAGGCCAACCACCGTTGTCTCCGCTTCTCCGTCTCCCGTTCCGCAGCCTGTCTTGGGAACTCTCCTGCAAAACCTCTGTCTCCCGTTCCGCAACCCAATTTTGGGCTCAGCTTGAGTCCGCCAGGGACGATACCGCTACTACTAGTAAGTTGCACCTAGAGTCTGAGGAACATCCGATAAAGAGAAAGCGCGCCCTCCTCTTGCCCTCCTCCCGAGGCTCGGAAACCGTCGCGAGTCGACGAACACGCCCAGAAATCTCGAGCATCGACCCTCGAACCCGAAGGCCAACCACAGCTGTCCCAACTGGAGGCTTCCCGAATGGGTTCCGAGAGGATGGGGTCGGAGGTTCGCGCCGCATCGCCAACGCATCGCCGATGCATCAGCAATGCATCGCCGATGTCGGCGCCGTCGGCGTGGAAATTCTGGGGCTCCACATCGAGCCGCATCGACGCTGCATCGACGCTGCGGCGCGGTCCTCCGACCCCATCTTGGAGGCCTGGTTCAAGTCATCCTCCTCCGACCCTCAGACCCTCTGCACCTAGAAGGGGTGAGGACGGGAGGCACAACGTAGCGCCTCCCACCCCCCAGACTGTGGTGCCAGACGCACTGCGGCAGTGCCGGGGACGCACTGAGGGGGGGAGCGTTGCGTGATGGGGGGGGGGGGGAGGGTAGGGGGCACAACGCGCGCTATGGCCCAGAGGGTAACAGAAACAATCTCCAGGATCCGGGTCCGAACAGCGAGGTCCGAGGACCCAGGATCGACGCCCTTCCCGAGGAGCCGCCTCGGGCGCTCGCCCTCCTCCCGCCCGCCGCCCCTGCGGCGCCCCCCCCCCCTGCCCTCCCCGCGCCGGCCCAGCGGCCCGCGGCCTCGGCCTCCGACGGCTCCGCGCCGTCGCTGCCCGACGCGCGGGGGTCCAGCGACGAGCGCCTCGCAGGGGGGGGGCGGCGCCCGGGCCACCCTCGCGCGGGTGGCGCGCGCGGGCCGGGGAGACGCAGGACCTGGGCTCGGGAGGCCAGCTCCAGCGCGACTCTCCACGACCTGTGGAGTCCCACTGGAAGAAGCTCTGACAGCTCTCGAGGGGAGCTTCCGAGGGAGCTTCCGGAGAGCTCGACAACACACGTCTTGGGAAACGCGTCGACGAGGCCTCTCGGGACACGCTGCAAGTTCGCGCAGGGCGCAGCGGCGGGCTCAACGTCGGCGCGATCCTTCACGGTGTCGTCAAAGGGTGCGCAGTGCGTACGAAAAAAGGGTCCACGGTCGGTCGGGGATGTGGCTCGGGGTGGCGGGCCCGGGCCGCCCTCGCGCGAGCAGCGCGCACAGGCAGGGTTGCTTCCTTTCCTGCGCGAGGGCAGGCAGCAGAGCAAAAGGGTTCCGACGGAATCCGGGCCCGACGCGCTCCGCATCCGACGCTGCAGCAGGGGCAGCGAGGTCCCACAGGCCTAGCTTGGAAGCCATACGGCGGGAGTCGCCCTACAGTGCGCCCCACTGTGGCAGCAAAAACGCTCACAGCATCATGCAGCAGCACAAACGATCACAGCATCACGATCATCATCATCATCATCATCATCATCATCATCATCATCATCATCATCATCATCATCATCATCATCATCATCATCATCATCACCATCATCATCATCATCATCATCAGCATCATAGCATGGTCACCACCATCACAAAAATCACCGTCATCATCATCATCATCATCATCATCATCATCATCATCATCATTATCATCATCACAATCATCATCATCATCATCACCATCATCATCACCTTCATCATCATCATCAACATCATCATCATCTTCTTCATCATTATCATCGTAAGTATCAGCATCACCACCACCATCATCATCAGCATTATCGTCAATCTCCTCCTTCCCCTCCTCCTCATCCTCCTCCTCCACAACATCATTATCATCACCATCACCATGATCCTCCTCCTCCTCAACATCATCATCATCATCATCGTCATCATCATAAGCATTACCATCAACATCACCATCACCATCACCATCATCATATTCTTCACCATCACCATCATCGCCACTACCATCATCATCACCAACATCATCATCAACATCATCAACATCATCACCATAATCGTCACCATCATCATCATTTGATCATCATCATTTACCATCAATATTTTATCAGCATCGCCATCATCACCATCACCATCACCATCATCAGCAGCAGCCGCAGCAGCAGCAGCAACATCGTCATTATCGTCTGGGGGGCGGCGAGCACAAGCAATTTTCTGTCTCACCGCAGACCTTCCGCGCCCACGGCCAACCTCCGTGTGCCATTCTCGAGAAAGCCATGGCCAACGTCCGCCGCGACGGCACCGGTCCGCGAGCATCGCAGGCTCACGGAGGACGCCCGAGGGAGGGGGAGGAGGAGGAAGAGGAGGAGGAGGAGGAGGAGGAGGAGGAGGAGGAGGAGGAGGAGGAGGAGAAAGCGCTCGGCGCGCACAAGTCGGGGTGGAACAAGACTCGGTTTCGGGGGACTCGGGTTGGCCAGACGGGGCCGTCAGGGGAATGACGAGACGCAGCCTGAAATTTGACGTGACCTCCCGCTGCAGCAATCCCACGAACACGGGACCGTCGAAATTCAGGATGGGCCCGTCACATAGCATCGGCCAATCCTAGTTCTGCAGAACTCGAGGCCTATGTTTCCCCGAGCAGGGTGTGTGTGTGTGTGTGTGTGGCTCGGTGTGTGTTTGATGTGGGTCTTCAAAGGAAGGAGAGTTGATGTGTTCATGACCAACAAACAGTATTTCGATTGCCTACTACGCGAGGTGGCCCAAGCAAACGGCACTGACGCTACCGAATGAGTCACCGGGATCATTACCCCTGGCCGACTAGGCGTCACCCCGACCGTATAGGGGGGGGCCTTCTAATCCAGACCCCATCGCGGCATGACAAACACACGACGGGATGTTGTTCAGCTATGTTGTGCTTCCAGGGGCCCTCGACTGGCCTCGGCACCATCAAAAACGAATCGGAATGAAAACCCAGCCCCGTGGGAAGGGTGCAGACCTCTGAGGGTCCGCGGCATCATGAACAAATCATGACATCGGGGGTCTGGGACTGAAGGGGCCTTCTTGGTGGAAGGGCCCAGGGGTTTGTCACGAGCCCTTCCTGGAAATCTCCAGCCTGACCCTTCCAAGAAGGCCCGTGCCTTTGAAGAAGCCCCTCGCCCTTCTCAGAAGGCTACCCTTCCTTCGCGCTGCCCCCTTGTGTCCGCCGCAGTCCCGTGCTGCCTCAGGGATCGAGGTTCCAGGATCGAGGTCCTTCCCGAGACGCTCCGAAACTCGCCCAGGAGGGACCTCGCTGTCGTCGTCGCCGTCACCGCCGTCCCTCCCTCCCCCCTTTCGCCCTGATCCTTCCTCGGCCTCCACTCTCGTAATCGCAATCGTAACAGAAGTCCAAATGCGGCCAGCAGCAACCGAAACTACATGGCTCAAACCAAGATTGAAGAGAGTCGGCAAGGGAGACGCAAGCCCAATGAACTCTGCCGAAGGGACGGGGGAGCCCAGCTCGGGGCGAGGACCATAGCTCAACTCTGACTCTGAAACGGCCCCGTCCGGGACGATCTGGACACCCCTGGAACGCCTCTCGGCAAAGCGCAGCCGCTGAAAGCAGCCCGAGGCTGGAACTCCGACGAGAACCTGCGAAAACCCGCGATTCGCGATCGATGCGCCCCCCGCCCGAACCATACTTCCGAACTCGCAATCGCTCCGACGCCCATTACCCGTGCATTTCTCGATCTCGTGTGCGTGCATTTTCTCGCGAGATGATCCAAAATGCTCCTCGTGGAGGAACCAACGATACCGCTACTTACCGCTACTCCCCGGACCTCTCGCGGGGTGCGTTGTGACCAGGGTCTCGAGGCGAATCCAGCGGTGGCGACCAGGGCCTCCGAGGAGGCCCGAAAAGGGGGAGCATTTTTGTTTCCTCCGACTTGCGCGACGATGCTTCGCGCCTTGTCGAATCTGGCACTCCAAATCAGCGTCAATGAAGTCGAGCTCCGCTTTGCTATGTTCTCGCTTGCAATCTCTTTCTTTTGCCTCGCAACCGACAGGGTGGAACAGTATGGGCATTTTTTTTTCCTCCTCTCACCTCGATGGCCCTCGCCGAGAAACCAGCCACACGCCCGAGCGGTGCTGGGCCAGCGTTGCCCCCGGCCCAACCCCCCCCTCTCCTGCCGCTGCTCCCTCCCCCTGCGGGCGCCTGCTGCCCCGGAGCCCCGTGTCGACCCTCGGCTCCACCCGGGCCTTCGGGCGCAGCTTGCAGGCCCTGGCGGGCGGGAGGGGAGGAGGAGGAGGAGGAGGAGGAGGAGGAGGAGGAGGAGGAGGAGGAGGAGGAGGAGGAGGAGGCGGAGGAGGAGGAGGAGGAGGAGGAGAGGAGGAGGAGGAGGAGGAGGAGGAGGAGGAGGAGGAGGAGGAGGAGGAGGAGGAGGAGGAGGAGGAGGAGGAGGCGAGAGGCTCTCAGCGCGCGCGCGGAGGCGCAGGTCGGCGGCGAGCCAGGGTGGCACGCGAGGGGGGGCGGGCCTCCTCCGAAGGCTCGGATGTCCCCGGGCCTGCCGAGAAGTCTTCTGAGCCTTCCCCGAAGACGGAGACAAAACTTCTCAGAAGGCGCGAGGGGTTCTGAGAAATCCTGCCGCCTTCCGAGAAGGCCTTTTCGTTCTCATTTCCCTCCTTCCCTCGCCGCCGAGCAGGGGGAGGAGAGTCCCCCCCTGACGCTTTTGGTGAATTTCGGCCTGCTCCGGTTTTTGCTTTGGCCTCCCGACGCCTCCGGTGAACTCCCGCTGGGCCCCTGGGGGCCTCTGGGGACCTCCAGGGTACAGGATCTGGGGCCCTCTCTTATCCTCCGACCCCCGCTTGCCAGGGGTGACAAGGCGTGAGATGATTGGCCGCCCTCCTGTATCATTTTGTTTCCAAGACTCTGGTCATGAAATGGTGTTGTGTTCTATCACGCCACATGTTGATTCAGGACCACTGGTAGTCACAGAGCAATTAGTGATGTTCCATCTGAGGGACATGGGTGGGATCGAGGAGGCAAGCTGTAATGTTACGTCTGCCGCCTGTCTCTATCATATATTTGGGCCTCTGGAGGCCTCTCTCCAAAGGCATCCGGCAAACTCGAGATACCTCATGAGTAAGGGAGGGACTGATGATGAGGAGGACGAGGAAGGAGGTTGCCGGTTAGAATGTTGCAGTTTCTGCTCCTGGAGGCCCAGAGAACATCAACTCGCACTCGTGAGACCTCTGCGACCTTCGCCTTGCAGGGGCACCGCAAGCATTGCTAATCACGGCTTGCCGCAACCCAATGGACGCTGAGCGCCGCCAGGTGCGGATCCGGCGAATGGGGCAGAAAGAGCGGTTATCTCTTGCCTCCTCGCCTCCTCTCCCTTTCTCCCCCTCCCCACCCTTCTCTTCCTCTGGCCCAGACCTCCGTGGTCGTGACTTTTGCACGCGGGCCCCAAGAGCTTTCGACGCAACCTTCGGGGCTGGCTTTTGGTCACAGACGGCTTCCTGGTCCCCTGGGGGCCCAACGACGACCCCTGGGAGAGGCTGCTCCTGTGAACAAAAACTGTGGTCTGTTTTCCCCCCTGGCCCTCCTCGTGGCCGGTGACGCCAAGAGGATCAGGTTACCCTTGTCAGCGGCGCGCACAGGGGGCGGGGTGGCTTTCTGAGAAGGCGATGCCCTCCCAGAAGGCTCCTGAGAAGCGACTGGTCCACAGTGGTCCCCTCCAAAAGAAAACACCCGGACCTCTGAGAAGGCCCTCCGTGTGCACCACCTGCGAGCGCCAAGGCGCGTTCTTCAAAACCTGTAGTATCCCATTGGTTCTTGAACGATTTAGAAATCCTTTTGGACTCTTGGTGCCTCTTGGGGGCATCTTGGAGGCCTCTCAGGGGCCTCTTGGTGCTGCCGTTGGGCCTTTGAGGAGGCTTCGCAAGCTGTCTTGAGGTGTTCTTGGCCTGTCTGACGCCTTCGGAAACCGTCAGGCTGGGTTCTTCGAGATCGCTTGGGTCGTATCGAGAGACTCTTGACGGCTCTTGGAACCGCCTTGGTGGCATCTGGGGCTCCTCTTTTGGCTCTCTCGGGCAAGTCGGGGGCCCTCAAGCAGCTTCAAAGGCGGCCGCCAGATTGAGGAGAAGGAGTCAGCATCAGCATCATCATCATCATCATCATCATCATCATCATCATCAGCATCATCATCATCATCAGCAGCATCAGCATCATCATCAACAGCATCAGCATCATCAGCATCAGCATCCCCATCTTCATTCTCATCAGCATCATCATAGACATGATGATGTTCGCCACCATTACCATCGTCACCATCATCATCATCATCATCATCACCACCATCACCATTATCATCAACGTCCGCATCCTCAGCGTCGTCACCATCACACTCTTCATCGTCGACGTCGTCGTCACCAGCAACCTCGCAATCATCATGACCACCATAGACCGCATCATCATCATCATCACCACCATGCTCGTCATTCAAATTAGTATCACCATGGCCATCATAAAGATCTGCGTCATGAATATCATGATTAGCATCTTTGTCTTGCCGTCGACCAGATGCTCCGAGAGAAGCCTCCAAGAACATCAGACCTGCTGCGTATGAGGGGTTCGGACGGGCCGTCGGGAGTGAAGGAGTCCGGCATGACGTCGAGTGCGCGCCTCGGGAAGCATAGTCGAGATGTGGGGGGCTTGGGACTGACTGTCGGGGGGGTCGTTGAGGCTCCCAGTGTGTCTGTGTGACTCTCTTGGGGTCTCCTTGAGTCCCCTTCGGGGCGTCTAGAAGAGTGTCGCAATGATCGTCGTCATCATCGTCTTCGTGATTGTCATGATGCTGCCATCATCCTCACACTCGTGATCATGATCATGAGCGTCATCATCACCACCACCATCATCACCATCACGATCATCCTGACCATGATGGGTATCGACATTGCCATCACTATAACTAGCCATGGTGCCACCATCATCATGATCATGGTCATGCTCAGCATCATCGTCACCACCATCATCACCACCACCACTACCATCACCACCACCTTCATCATCACCACCATCACCATCACCATCACTATGAACATCTTCATCATCACAACCACCATCGTCTACATCATCATCATGATCAACATCATCAGCAGCACCAGCCTCATCATCAGCATTACCATGATCACCATCGCCATCATGATCATCAGCATCATCATTAACATCATCGTCATCATCGACATCATCATCATCAGCATCATCAGCATCATCAGCATCAGCATCATCACTATCACTAGTACGATCATCATCACTATTCTTGCGATCACAACCACCACCACCATCATGATCACCACCAGCATCATCATGATGATCATCATCATCAGCATCATCAACGGCATCATCATCATCAGCATCAGTATCCGCGTCATCACCATCATCACCACCATCATCATCATCATCATCATCATCATCAGACACATCATTGACACCATCACCGTCACCACCACATTCGTCACGATCAGCATTACATATCAAATCCATTCGTCATGAAAGCGTCATGATGGTGATCATCATTTTCGTGGTCGTCGTGCTGTCAGCTGATGTTCCTGGAGAGGCCGCCGGGGACATCGGGCTGGCTGCGTGTTGGGGGCTTGGACGGGCTGTCGGGAGTGAAGGATGTTGGCATCCTGGGGGCCTCTTGGGAGCGTATTGGGAGCCTCTTGGGGGCGTGGTTGGCCGTCTCGGAGCCATCTGGAGCTGTCAGGGATTGTCTGGAGATCGTCTGGGGCCGTCTTGGCGGGCTCGAGGGCTGCCTCGAGGCCATGTTCGGCCGTCTAGGAGCCATCTTGAAGCGCTTTGGGGGCCCCAGTGGACCGTCTTGGGCCTTCTCTGGTGCTCCTCTGGGACCTTCCTTGGACCATCTCTGCCGCGGGCCGCTTTCTTTTGTCGTTCTTGCTTTCTCTCTCCTTCCTTTCTTTTGTCATCTCTGCTCCTTCTCTTGTCTCCTTTTGCGTTCTTTTGTCATCTCTGCTCCTTCCTTTCTTTTGTCGTTCTTGCTTTCTCTGGCCGCGGGCCTCCGACGGCGCAAGGCCCGGCGCCCTCCGCACGGGTCCCGGGCAGCTGGCCTCCAAAAACCCAGCCGAGGAGACAGGGGGGCGGATAGGAGAGGAGAAGGAGCGGGAGCAGGAAGGAGGAGGAGGAGCAGGGAGGAGGAGGAGGAGGAGGAGGAGGAGGAGGAGGAGGAAGAGGAGCAGGAGCAGGAAGGAGGAGGAGGAGCAGGAGCAGGAAGGAGAAGGAGAAGGAGAAGGAGCAGGAGCAGGAAGGAGGAGGAGGAGGAGACAGAAATGCTGCCAGGCCGACCCCTGCGAGCGGTTGGCCTCAGAGCTTGCCGACCGTCAGCATTCGGGCGAGGCCCGCCACGAAGAAGAAGATGAAGAAGACACTGAAGAACAACCCGGCCTTATTCAGCTCCTGCTCCGACCACGCGGCCGCCTGCTCGGGCACCGCGGCGGCGAGGCCACCGTACACCGCGGCGGCGGCCGTGGCGGCGCCGCCGCGGAGCGCCGGTGCCCGGGAAGCCTCCGCCGTGGGGGGCACGAAGGCGACGACGGACGCCAGCGTCGCGAGGCCGAGCACGGCAGTGACCAGCAGCGGCGCGGCAGAGCGGGCCATCGGGGCGTCCGAGGGGCACCTGCGGGCGGGTCTGTGGGCGCAGCGGGGCGGGCCAGAAAAGCAACAAAAAACTTTAGCAACAGTGGCTACGGACCACGCTTGGACCATCCAGAGGCCTCGGAGGCCTCTCGGGAGCTAAGAGGCGAGGCATTCAAAAGCCGATGGTTTTCCGCAGTTTTTGAATGATGCTGACCTCCGGGGGGCCTCTTGCAAGCATCTTGGGGGCCTCCAGGGGCCGTCTGGGGGCCATCTTGAGCTGCCTGGAGCCGCCTCGAGGCTAGCTGGGATCGTCTTGGCGGGCTCCAGGGCCGTCTCGAAGCCATCTTCTGCTGCCGCGGAGCCATCTTGAAGGGTGTTGGGGTTCCCATTCGATAGTCTTGGGCCGCTGGGACTTCTCGTGGGAAATTGTTGGACCAGTCTGAAGCCTGAGAAGCCCCTCGGAAGCGAAAAAGAGAGTTCCTGAAAAACCTGATGTTTCCCGTAGTTGTTTCAATGGGTTGTTCCCCGTAGTTGTTTCAATGAGTTTCGTCTCCTGGAGGCCTCTCGGATACTTCTTGGGGATTCTCTGAAGGAACTTTATGGGATCGTCCGGGGGCCATCTGAAGCTGTCCAGGGCTGCCTGGAGGCTATCCAGGGCCGTCTTGGCGGTCTCGGAGGCCGTCTCGAAGCCACCTTCGGCCGTCTCGGAGCCACCTTGAAGGTTCTTGGGGGCTCCAATCGACAGTCTTGGGCCTTCCTGGGGCTCCCCGACTGCCGTCGTTGGACCTTCCTGAGGCCTCATAGGCCCCTTGGAAGCGACGAGGCCAGATCTTGAAAACCATTGATTTCCCTGAGGTGTTTTGAGGACGTTCACCTCCTGGGAGCCTCTTGGGAGCCTCCTGCGGGCCGTCTTGGGGCCATCTTGAGCTTTCTCGGGCGGTCTGGAAGCCATCTGGGGCCATCTGGGAAAGCTCCAGAGCCGTCTTGGACCCTCTGGGGCCGTCTGGAGGGCCACAGTCCACCTGTGGAGGTTTGAGGCACCTGATCTTGGCTCCTGGAACGCCTACACCGTATGATGTCTGTCTGTCTTATCTGTCTGTCTGACTGCCTGCCTGTCTGCCTGCCTGTCTGTCTGTCTGTGTGTGTGACAGTCTGTCTGTCTGTCTGTCTGTCTGTCTGTCTGTCTGTCTGTCTGTCTGTCTGTCTGTCTGTCTGTCTGTCTGTCTGTATGTGTGCACGCATGTATGATTGTGTGCATGAACGGATGCATGCATGTATGCATGTTTGTATGTATGTGTGCACGTATGCGTGCATGTATGCATGTATGCGTGTGTGTGTGTGGACCTGTTTGCATGTGTGTATGTACGAGCGCATGCATGCATACCTGCATGTATGTGTGTATGCATGTATCTGTACCTGTGGGCATGTATGTATGTGTGCATGCATGCATGCATGCATGTGTGCATCTATGTCTGTGTGCATATATACACGTGTGTGTATGTTGGGATGCGTGTGTGTGTGCATGCACGCATGCACACATGCATGTCTGTATATATGTATGTATGTATGTGTGTAAGCAAGTACGTGTGTATGTCCGTATGTATGTATGTATGTATGTATGTATGTATGTATGCAATTAGGTAGGTATGTATGTACGCATGCATGTATGCATGCAAGTCTGTATCCGTGTTCATCATGTCGACATGCATACATGCATGCCAGCATGCATGCATACATGCAAGCGTACATGCATGCAGGAACGCACGTACGTGCGTATGTATGGATGTATGTGTGTATGCATGTATGTATGTAAGGTTGTGGGCAGGTATGTATATCTGTATGTATATACGTATAGACGCATGCATATGTATACACACATATATATATACACATGTACATATACACATGTGTGTACATATATGTACGTATACAGACATGTGTCACCATGATATGTATATATATGTATATATATATGTTTACGTATGTATATACGGTGCCTTTGGGGGTTTGTTGGGGCGTCTTGGAGCTTTTTTGGGCCGTCTTGGGCGCATCTTGGGCTGTCTTGGAGCCCTGCCAGGCCGTCCTCTTGGGCCGTCCTGGGGCTATCTGGGGGACGTCTTGGGCCGTCTTGGAGCGTCGGCAAACCAAGAAGTCATAGATGCTATAATTGTGCGCCTCCATAAAGGAATTCGATGGTCGTGGCCACTTGGGGCTCCCTTGGGATTGCCCGACGCTTATTGGCGCAACCGCGCTCTATAAAGACGGAACTGCGAGGGCACGCCAGGCTCCAATGACTTGCCACCGAGGCGGTCGGCGCCCAGGCGCCCCGTGGCGCTCGGAGGAGGGTCAGCCGCGCGCCGCGGGGACGCTGCTGCGCAGGAGCGTGGCGAGCAGTGCGGCGACGAACATCACAGCGCCCGAGGCCACGAACGTGGCAGGAAGACTGTCCTGGGCATCGAGCAGAGGACCGACTACAGAATGAATTTGCCCCAGTACTTGTCGTGACGACGCTGCGACACATGCGCAGAATGCCCCGTAGATCTACAAACATTCTGCTGCTGCTTCGTCGGTTCTGGGAAATCAATGTAGGGGTAAATAGCTTCTGCTGTCGCTCTCCTACTCGGACACTCGCCATCGCCTGGACGTCAACTCCCCGTGCATAGTCCGATGCCGTGCGTTCATTTCTTCGCATCCTTCATCGGATGATCCAAGATGCGTCTCGGTGGTCCTCGCGGGGGGAGCAATCTATGCACACGTCCGAGCGATGCCAAGTTACATGGGGGGGCAACATCGGATCTGAGACTCGGGTCGGGTCGGGCCATGCGTTGGGTCGGGCCGCATGGGCACGGGGTCGGCGTCGGAACCGAGTCGGCCGCGCCAAGATGCACGGCGCCCCATGCAAGCATCGGGGCGCATCATATCGTCGGAACGTTTCGCATGGAAGAATCAGG